CCTCTCTTACAATTGCCATCAAACCAACACAAACCACAGCAACAACAACATATTAAAACACAAAACCTCAAAAACACATTCTTATAATCTGCAAATCTTACTCTCTTGCAACCAACCTGCATCCATTCCAATTTGGATGCTCTTGTTTGCTTGAGGTATATATAACTCTTATTTAATTTCTTGCTAGCTTTGATGAATATGTCTTCTTCTAATACTAGTGTGATCAAGAGCTTGAAGGTGGTGGAGGAGGAGGTGGCAGCGCCACCAACGACGCCGCCGCCGCTCCCGCCGACGAAGAAGAGCGTCGGGGGTGGCGGGAAGCAAGGGATAATCGCCATTCTTGGATCGGATTCTGAGAGGAGTAAAGCGGCGGGTTCCATTAGAAGAACTCTCTCGGCTGATATGTCATCCAAGAAATGGCTTTCCCAGAATGGGTTTGCTTCTCCTCCGGCCATGAAGAAGACCGCTTCTTCCGACGAGCTCGCGGCGGCGCCGGAGGAGGAGGAGGAGGAGGAGGAGGATGAAGAAGATGAAATTAAAAGGAGATCATTGGATGTTTGGAGCTCGATTCTACAGTCCCATAGAACAGTGGACTCGTCGTCTCAGCTCCCTCCTTCGTATGTCCACCCTCTCGTTAAAAAATCGGCCAATTCTCTCACCGGAAAAAGCCTCGAAATTTGCACGGAGAGTCTCGGCTCTGAGACCGGCTCCGACTGCTTCTCCTCATACCCTTCTTCCGAGTCCGGCGACTCCGCCGACGAAGAAAAAGACGACCACCAATCCCCGCCAGAGCACGAGCTTATTTTCCCACCATTTCCGGAAGAATTCCCAGCTGTGAAGCACAGTTACAGCAAGAAATCGCCGCCGCGATCCTTCCCTCCGCCGCTTCCCTCTCTCGTAAGAGGCGACGATAAGCCTGCCGTCCGCATGCACTCCCGCCGCCACCACGGCCGGCTGATCCTCGAAGCGGTTTCCGTCCCGGCTCAAAACTGCTTCCGCGCTGAGCGACAAGACGGGCGGCTAATCCTCACCTTTGCAAATAATCCGCCCCAGGAAGAAACAGAGGGCTGGGATGCAGACAAGGTGCTCGACGAAATGCCAGACAGTGAAGATAACAATCTCACCATTGATGGCTACGATGAAGAAGAAGAGGAAACGGAAAATGAAATGGAAATCATGATCGGAAAAAGCTCAAAATTACTCATAAATGTCAACAGCTTAATAACTCTAAACAACAACAAAAACAAGCTCAACAGGCCAGCATTCGTAGAGGAGATTGAAGATGATCAAACAACACCACTCCAACTATTCCAGGCGGCGGCGGCGGCGGCGCCCACCGCCGCCTCCTTCAACCCCTACGATTTCTTCTGGAAAAAGAAGCCAACCACCATAGCCACCTTGGTCCACATTCCCAGCATCACAGATCAACAATACCGCAACAAAGTTGTCACAAAATGCCCAAAAACATCAGCCTGTGAAGGGAAAGATCACAGCTTGGTATTGATCACAGGAAGACACCACTCAAACAACAACAAACTCATTCTTCCCATGAAGAACAGGGGCTGCAAAGAACCTAGGATGTCTCTTCTCTTCTGGGATTCTTACTGCATTGCAACATCCTAAACAACACTCAATTCAACAATCCCATTAATCCAACACTAATATTATTAGTTAATTTCCAATCCAATCCAATATATATAAAAGTATATATATGTATGTATTTTCCTCCCTGTGGTGATCGGTAGTTTTTCCTCTTGATAAAAGAGTCTGGGTAGGCAAATAAACCCCCAGGGAGAGAATGATTTCAGGGAAGAAGAAAATGAAATCTTATATTGAGGTCAAATATGCACATGATGATGATGATCTTGATGATAAGAAATTTTCTTGATTTTATGATTTTGAAAGTGATGATTATGTAAGTAGGTAGGCAGACCACATCCCATGCATTATGAGGCAGCTTGACTATAGCTAGGTGAAGGATGATGTACTTCTTGTCTCAGCATTACAATGGGAATGCATGCTCAACTTTATGTCTCTAGCTCTCTCTCTCTTCCCCACAAAATTGAAATTTTCTTGCTCGAGGGCCTGATAAGACAGTGAAAGATAAATTACTATTACTCAAAAGTCAACTAGGAGTCCAATATATTGGGTGTAACTTACATAATACGACTGTTCGGGTTTAGTAATGTATACTCTTATTCACAATTTATCACTCAGGAGAAACTGACTGAGGTGCCCATACAATTTTTTATTTTTATTTTTTTGGTTGGGGAGGGGGTGTTAAAAACAACCAATGGGGTTTTGGATATTATGGGTCATGTCTTGATCCTGTGTGGTGTTGTTTTTGGGAACATCATGATCCATGGTTGATGTGCTGAGTTAAATTCTTGGTGGAATCAAGGTTTGATGACTGTCCCTCCTTGGCTGCTATGGGGTTTTTTACTTTTTTTTTCCTCCCATATATTTATAATAATTACTGTTATAACGAATTTTTCTCATAATCACATAAAAAGTACGAAGTATATTATAAGTTAAGTTAAAAATATTTCATATTCCTATCAGAGATAACTGTGACATACTCGAATTTGAGATCTCTTAAAAGTTAATAACTACTCAATTACACTTTAATTTTGGTGATTTTTTTTTTCCAGATTTAATCTTTTACTAAAAACGTAACCTTCCATGGCATATCCTCTATATATGATACAAAATGATCGTCAATTCTATTCAACCATGAAGATAAGAAGATGGATTTGAATGCAATAGTAAAAACACGCAAAAACTACTACAACTGTAAACTCAATCAAAAAGTATACGACATAGAATTAACGCTTAAGGTTAAAATGCGGTTAGCGAATCAGTGATTGTTATATTAACTCAAATTTCTCATATAAAATCTCATGTTTATGTCATTAGGTTATAAGGTTCTTGGCATTTTTGCTTTTATTTTTAAAAAAAAATTACAAGAAAAAATCAACGGTGATTGAGGCAGATACTGTCTACTGAAGAAGATTTGGATAAATAGAGATTGTTTTGGATTCGAAAATTCAGATGCTGAAAATGATAGAGAAGAAATATTCGAATATGGAGAAGAGGATATGATGAAGATGGTACGGATAGCCAAAATTTTAAATAAATAAATAAATTCTGAAAATGATAATAGAAATATTCGAATATGGAGAAGATGGTACGGATAGCAAAAATCATGAAGAATTTAGAATTTAGTAATAATATTATCTTCTTCTTTTTTTTGAAAGGGTAATACTATTATCTTTCTTTCACTTTTAATTATTATTATTTTTTACTTTTTTTAATTATATTCATAATTTTATTAACGAAATATAGACATAGCGAACGATAGCTTCAACTAAATATTCATATTTTTTACTATTTTGTTGAATTGTTGATATAATATTCATATGGTGTGGACCATAATCCACATAATTGTATAGACCATAAATGTAATATACATTTTTAGTACATTAGAAGTACATTATTTTTGTACTAAATATACATTATTTTATAATATATAAAAAATTATATACTTTTAAATAATGTACTTTTAATATATTAAAAATATAATTTTATTTTTGGTTCACACAAATATGTGAACCCTGGTCCATTGAATAATGATTGTTTCTCAAACGAAAAGGCTCCCAGTACCCAGAATCCTCATTAAACCCAGCCAACGTGCCTTCACTGGTGATCATCCACCGGCACTTCACCCGGCACCGCCGGTGATCCCGGTCGTAGTCATACGCGTCGAACCAGTAACAGCTCTTGGCATATGCGCCACCGCCCCATTCGTCGTCGTTCCATTCGACGTCGCAATGGAACAACGTAGTTCCCCAGATGTTGGTACGAAAGCTCCAGGTGATCTCGGCGTTGTCGTTCAAGGTTGAGTACCCAAGGTCGTCGTCCTTGGACCGGCAGTGCACGGACAGCGCTCTGCCGGACCCGAGGCGGTTCGTCAACCGGACCACCACCCGGTGAGGCCTAAGGAAGTGCAGCCCTATTGCATGGTTGCATGGACCAACAAGAGAGCAGAGGAACAATATGACAGTGAAGAGTTTCATCCTTTGTGATATGATATGATGGCAGAAGGATAAAAAAGGAGAAAAATATATAAAGCTTCTTAGCTACTTCTTGAATCAAGAATGCTAGGTACTTGAAATAAAGATGATGATCAACTGACTGTCACAAAATTTCATCCTATAACTCAAAATTGTAACCTACTCGCGACAAATTCATGTATAGCTTAGCCACACAGCAAACTTGGCATAAAAGGCATAGATATAGCACAAGAATGAAAAAAGCGTACTCTCCTTGAGCTTTGGAAAGGGGGTCAAAACCGATCCTTTCGTTTTCGTGCTGTGTACTTGGTGTCGTTGGGAACTTCTTTCCCTTTCTTCCTCATCTGGTCTTTCTTCTTCATAACCCACGCTCTTCCTTTGCCTTTCTTGTTTACCTTCTGCTTTTTCCTCGGTCTATGCCGGTCTGATACACAAACCTGCAAGGCATTGATTGTGAAAAGCATTGTTATACAGGAATAATAAGAGAGGAAAACAGCTCGAGGCAGGTAATATTAAAGAAAATGTCGAGACTTCAGACTATGCAAGATATAGAATGATTTGCAGCTTTTACAGATCTTTAAATTGAGAAGAGATTTAGAATGGACTTACAGTTTGGTTTTCTTCATCTTCGCTACTATCATCATCACTAGAATAACACTCCCCGTCCTCGCCCTTTCCTTTGGGAGTGGCACTGCTGAGAGACGGTGGACCACAAGTGAGCACCAAGTACTCTTTCCTCTTTTTCGTACTGGAAAAAAATAAAATAAAATCAATTCATGTCAGATATCAACTTGCTATCTCTACACTTGTTTAATAGTAATAACGATCAACTCCCCGAGGATTTATCTAAAAGAATAAATAGTTTCCTTAATAGGAATCAAATTTTTCATGAAAGAGCCTCTTATTTACCTGTGTGGGAAGTCGATAACTATACCGCCTGCAAATCCAGCTCGCATAGCAAAACCCAGAATCAACTCTCGTTGAGCAAGATTTTCAGGATACACTTGAAATACTGCTCTTGCTCCCCTCGCCAAACTTCTATACAATGTCCCAAAGAAAGCCCTACAAGGTAATTGTGACAAAATCTCAAACTTGTTCAAAGTACCATAGATTCATGTTTCGTGTGAAGGCCAGCATAAGACACAAAACAAGACTTACTTCAATCTTATCCGGGGTTCATGAGATGATTTGTCAGCGTTGCACAACCACTGTTTGGCCAATTATATATCAAAGTGAGCATTGGAACAAATAATATACTGTCTTGATCAAAAGTTATTCAGTTGTCATACAAATTGCAGCTTATATGGTTTATTCAAGCACTAATAGGATATATTAATTTCTTATACTGAAATATATTTATATACAGAGTATTTGTCAAACTATTTTGAGTGCCAAAAAATGAAAAATATGTAAATATACAGAGGTCACTCCAAGGTATCAAAATGTTTTCAGTAGAACCTTCAAGGTGCCTTTCATAAACTTACCTTGATTTATTAACAAAAGATAAAGAAGAAAATGTTGGAATCCCTCTAAAATATATGAGATTGAATTAACTATCAACGAAAGATAATTCAGTGTATTAAAAAATGAACAAACCTGTATAGATGAAATGCCAATTGCCCCATCAACAACTCCAGGTCGAAGTCCTAAACCCTATAACAGGCAATGAAATATTTCACATAAGAATAAAACTCTATCGAAGGTCAATAAAATACTAAAATAAAATGTCACTAGTTATGATAGCCCTGTGAACGAATAGAGAATAAAGAATTTGCAAATTGGCTGCCAACTCTTCACATTTCACCCCTTTTTTTTTTGTTTTGAAAAACCATAAAGCCAAGTGATGCAATGGAGGTAACAATCTTACAGGTTATTGTTTAGGATAAATAAAATTTTACATACAACAAGGAACAATAAAAATTTAAAATCTATTGCAATGAATTAATTACCGAGCCTATACAAGTTAAGGGGACATTGATGCCTACCTGACCCATGTCACCAAGTATTAAATCACCCTCGACTTCACGCTCCACTGCAATATCTGCAGAACAGAAAGCCAAATGTTTAACAATACAAGAAAAGTGAATACAGAAGAATTTGGAATCTCTTATAATTTCATACAATTTTCAAAAATTACTTACCAAGCATTGATTCAGATATATCCCAACCAATCCACTGGTGTCCAGCCTCAGTTATAGTCTCCCCACTTAGACCTGACCCACAGCCTTAAAAGACAAAAGAAATCACCATCTTCTAATGAGCTTGAAAAAAGGAAATAAAGACCTCAAATTCAATGAATAAGCATATTATAAAACAAAATCAAAGAGTTTATTTGGCAGGCCACTATAATATCCCAGCAAACACTTCATGCCAAGGCATACAAAATGCTTTAGAGAACACTGAACCAGTAAGATATATGCAAATGAACCTGAGAGTTACAGGTATAGGTGTTCCAGTTTTACATAACGGATTGAAAAAAAAAAAAAAAAAAAAAAAAACTTAAATGTCTTAAAGGGGAACCAGTAGTTTACTCCACCAAGAGCTCTCAAAGTAAAAGATTGCTAAATTAAGTATTGCACTTGTTTAGATAATCAACAAAACTACTTCCAAAGAGTTAGCTTGAATTAGAGTTGTACGACAATGCCTCAAAGTGCAATATACTTAAAAGTTCTTATTTTGCTTAGCATAACAATCTACTTTCAATGAGCAATTGATTCCATGAATGATCATAAAACAACAACCAGCCAGAAAATCGAGACATTTATGTAAATCATACCTATATCGAGAAGCAGTCTGGGGACTCCATCGTCCGGCAGAGCAAGAAGCTCCAATGCTCTCTCAGAAAGTTTCGCCTAATATTTTGATAACAAAATAAAATAAATTAAACGAAAAACATGCATATATTACATATACAAATAACGGCGATGAGAATCAGAACCTGAATTTCGACGATACGCGAAGAAGAAGTGTACTTGCGAGCTTCCTCGTCGTTGTAGAATATCTCCGGCGGCGCTTGCAGCTCCGGTCTAGAAGATGCCATTTTCTTTCACCGTCGACGTGACCACGCTCCGCAAGATTCAGGAAAACGCGGCAAGAGGGATGGATGAGAGCGGCGGCGTTTAGCAGCAAGCCTAGCTCAGGAAACAAAAAGAATGCCCTAAGTTAATATGGAAAAATATAGGGGCAAAAGTAAATATATCAACAACATACGAGTATTTATTTACTCCGTATTTATTTATTTTTTGAAACATACGAGTATTTATTTATTTATTTATTTATTTTTGAAACAACATAGTATTTATGTAATTAGTAATTGTCCCGTGCGATGCACGAACTATTATTAATTTAACAAATTTATCAATTCAATTTTTTACATTATCTGAATTAGCAAAGAAAGTAATGGTTGTGAAAACAGAAAAACGTATTCGAGTTCTTGAGCTCATAATTAATTTGATTAAAAATGTAAGTATAACTATACAATATTTTATTTACTAGGACTATGTGGTCCAATGGTATCCGAGTTAGATTTTCATTTGGAAGGTTGTGAGTTCGAGTCTTAATGGGGGTGTTATTAGCTCTTTATGCTTTAGTAAGTTGATAAAGTATATGAACAGATGCTACATTGTAATAGAGCTAGTAACATTCAAAAAAATACAATGTTTTATTTAATATTTTAAAAGTTTAATTATGTTATTATTATGTTGATTTTAAAGTTTATTGTTACTTGTATTATTATTTGAATTTGATTTTTTTTAAAAGGAATTTGAATTTGAAATAACTACTTTAATTATATAACTAATGTATATTTAAATAAAACTTGTAAATAAAATATCAGACGATATTTGTCGAAAATCTCAACCAAAAGTTTAATTATTCATTTAAAAATATAATTTATGTAAAAACTATATTTATTTTATATATAGTTTATCCTCTTTATATTTGTGGAGTCAAATTAATTATAATTGAGGTTTAAATGACACACAAATTATATTAAATATAAAACTTTACTAATAAATTTGAACACAATAAACTTTTTTCCATACTTCATTATGCTTTAATATATATATATATATATATATATATATATATATATATATATATATATATATATAGAGAGAGAGAGAGAGAGAGAGAGAGATAGAGATAGAGCTATAATAATAAAATATAATTTATAAAATATAAATACACATAATAACTTCAACAAAAAAATATGTATAAATACATATACCCACACAATTAATGCATTCATTAATCTTGTTTCTATCAAAATGCATTGCACTTTGGATGAAAATTTTGTGGCTAAATTCGGCTTTATTATATATCAAGAGATATGAAAAATGGTTAAATAAACATATTTTATTTTTGTGCAATAAAACTTAAAAACAGATTAATAACCTATGATAGCAGGTCATTAGAGTTTCGACATCTTTTCCAATCAAAGATCGACCGCGAACGATTGGCGTCGTTTGTCGGTCGCCTTCTCCATCAACTAGACCAGAACGTTGCCTTCCCGAAGGAGGCGACCAGTTCTTGTTTGGTCGATAGAGAAGGCGACCGGCACCGGTTGCTGGTGGTCGATCTTTGGTCGAAAAAGATATCAAAACCGTAGTGACATGCTACCATTGGTTACTAATTTATTTTTGAGCTTCATTACACTAAAATAAAATCTTAAAAGATTTAATTACAATTTTAAAAAGTTTAGGTACCTAAAGTAAAGTTTGAAGGCTTATTTTATCATTTTCCTTATTTAATACATTTTTAAAAAATATAAAAACTAAAAAAAGGCAAAAATAAAAAATAAATCTCTATAAACCTCAAAAACCTCGAAGGAAGAAGCATAATTCTGAAACCGGTGAAAAGAAGCAAGCTTCAATAAATTGGCCATGGCTGCAAATGCCGCGATTCTAACCCGCAAATCCCTGCTGGGTTTACGCTTCCCGGGTTTATTATCTCGCAATCCTCCCGCCGCTACTTTCATTGCTCAGCTTACTCGAATTCCGCTCAACCACCTCCACACGCCGCGCTTCACGGCCCGCTCCTCTTCCTATCCGGCTTTTCCTGCTTCTACTTCAGCTCGCGGGCTGAAAAGACTGGAACTTTTTGAGTCCGGGCCGAATCTTATCCGGGCGTCTGCGGTTTCTGACGGCAGTTCAAACAGTGGCGGAGGGTATGGTGGCTCCGGTGACGGCAATTCCGGCGGCGGCGGAGGCGGAGGCGGAAGTGGTGGTGAGGGTGGGAGCAAGTGGTCATTGCTCACATGGTAATTCCCTTTCGTTATTATCAGTAATTACTATATTACTCTATCTTTAAAAATATGAACTTTGTTCGGGTTGAAGTGTACTCATTGTTTATTCATATCATTGAAAGTTGGTTTTTATTTCAATTTGAAGGATTAAAAGCTAAATTTTCTGTCCCCCAAAAAGCTTTTGACAGTTATTTATTTTCTGCTTTCTGTTTTGGTGGAAGTGATTATTTTGCCTTACCTTCTTAGTAATGGCTTTAAGCTAACTCAATGGCCAAAAGAAACCAATATTATTCGACTCCCGCTTATTGGCTTTATTGGTTTGAGCTCGTAAACTATGGGCATCCTAGGGGTTTACATCCTCGTGGTACATTGCCAGCTAGGGTGAGAAGGCGGGATGTACCCAGTGATTGCAGGTTTCTAGTTGCTCAAAAAAAAAAAAAAAAAAAAAAGAGAGTGAAAGAAACCAATATTAATCATAAAAAGTTCACATTTTGGTTAGTTTATAGTCAAGTTATACAAAAATGATTTCATCTCTTTTGCAGGTACTTATCTCTTCTTGAGAAGTATCCTGTGTGGACAAAGGCTATCACATCTGCATTTTTGAATTGCGTTGGAGATTTGATCTGCCAGGTAAATTTTTTATGGCATTGAATACGTAATACGAGTAATGGGCGTGTTGGCTGAGTAGAAATATTTGTCCTTTTTAGTGTTTGTAATCTGACAATTAGAACACGTTTCCTTATTGATATTGCCTTGGACGGTTTTGTGTGGGAAGTTATACTTCCGGGCTTCTAGTTCTAGGATTGCCCTATTTGTTGCCTCTCTGGTTTTCATGTTTGGCTGTCTTTGATCTCCTTCACCAAATTGACTGGAAAACAGCATATATAAAATATGTTTCTCATTTATTGTCGGCACTTTTTGGGGGTGTTATTGGGGGTTAGTAATGATGTAGTTCCATAGTGGATCAACGGGGGTGTTTGGTAAATAGCTTGTAGTTGATTGGATTAGTGGGTTTGACTAGTTGATAGCATTAGCTGATTGTAGAAAGTTGTTGGTAATTAGTTGTAAGTTGATAGCTGATTACATGCAAAATGACTTTCTCAAAAAGTTGATCGAAAAAGTTGCTTTGAATTTTAGTGTTTTGGAGCAATAAGCTGTTACAAAAAGTTAATAAATCAAACCCTTATATTGGTTGTTTAACCAAGTCAAATAGCTAATAGTAGTCAAATAAGTCAAAATTGACTAATAAGCTAACTATGTTACCAAACAGGGCCAATGTCTTTGGATTTAGCCAAACACTTTTCATTTCTATTCGAGCTTTCTACACAAATAAGCATTGCAAGAATGTATGGATTGACCGATACATTTAAATTCCCTCTATACAGCTGAACTCCATCAAGTCTCTAAAAGTAGCAAAGAAGTAATAGGGAGAGTTGTGGTTGGAATCACGCTTTCGTTCATTTTGTAATTCTTAAGTCTTTACTTGATGATTTCTAATGTTTTATTTATCCTTAAATTTAATATCTGCTATGAATTTAATTTAATGTGTTCTGCATACATTTGACAGCTTTGGATCGATGGAGTCCCATCTTTAGATGGAAAGAGGACATTCCTCTTCACATTTTTGGGTCTGGTCTTGGTGGGTCCGACATTGCACTTTTGGTAATAGCTTTTGATGTTCGAGAAATTGAGAAATTGTCTTTAATGTTCATAAAAATTTTATCCTTACCTCATGTTAAAATTTTGTTCTTTATTGGATGATTTATATTTGCGTGTTCTGATTTACGTATAACATAGGTACCTGTACTTAAGTAGATTGGTTACAACGCCTGGAGCATCGGGGGCTTTCTTTCGCCTTTTACTTGATCAGGTTTTCTTAAAATTTGTTGATGTGTCTTGTTGCTTCCGTACTTAATAGATTCATGGCTATTAGTGGTTTTTTAATATCACGAACGAGCTTGTTGTGGTCAAATGCAGTTCGTTTTTGCTCCGATTTTCATTGGAGTATTCTTATCTACACTCGTGACACTTGAGGGGCGGGCATCACAAGTGATTCCAAAGCTTCAACAGGTATGTTCGGTTGTTCGAATGACACCTCTCTCATTACCCTAAAAAGTTGACTTCTTTTTGTCCACGGTATAAATGTTGAAATGCTTGACTAAGCTTTAACCTTAGCTTGGGTACGACTTGTGATGCTCGTTTTCTAATTTTTGACTTCCAGGAATGGGTCTCTTCTGTTCTTGCGAATTGGCAACTATGGATACCCTTTCAATTCCTCAACTTCCGCTTCGTCCCACAACAATTTCAGGTTAAAGTTCAAAAATGAATTTTAGTGTACACCTTTTCGTTTTCTTTCTAGATTTAAAAATGCAGCAAACCGGTTTGGTGATTTTATGTTAGATGGACCCCCGACCTCTCCTCATTTTGTTCCTAAGAGATAAAGCTAATGCTATGTTTATAGACCTCCCCTTCCCCATTTGAGACCATACGTTTTTCATTTATTTTGTATGCTGACATTTACGTATTAAACTCAAACTCTTTTTCATCAGCGTAATCATATATTTGCAGGTTCTTGCTGCAAACTTAGTTGCTTTAGTATGGAACGTGATTCTCTCGTATAAAGCTCACAAAGAAATCGTTGTCAAATAAAGAGGTAAGTCTATTTCGAAGTACTGATAATATGACTCGAAAGGGTGCTCATTAGAGTAGAAATGGGCGATTTTGATAACATGACTAGAAAGGGTCCCATAGTTATATGCAGTGAGCAAATAAGCACATGTAACGAAAATCTCGAGATGTTAGCACCATCTTGTAGTCCAACGGTTTTTGGAGGGGTATATAGGTCCATAATCAGGTGAGAACCAACCTTAACCTGCGAACTGCGAATTTACTACATGATTACACCGCACTTACTACATGATTGCACTGCTCCCGGATACGATTAAACCTCAAGGTCCTCCAGGCATGTGTGGGGACCGTAGCAGTGCAATCATGTAGTAGTTGCGGTGCATTCCTTCAGAAATTCGCATATATGCACACATATATATGATTGGCTTGTTAGTACGAGTAGAATGAGCGAATAAGCCCTCTACCTCCACACCACACCACCCCTTCCCCAACCCCTGCACCACCCATCTAGCAATGAAATGTGTGTGCATATTTAAGCGATTTGGTGCTGCTATAACAATGTGTCACGACTTTATCTTTTGTACCGCAGAACTTGGACGAAGAACGGGAAGTCTAGCTGCTCGTGAACATACGGTAGGCAATGCGGTTGCAGTGTTAGCCAGGACTGACTTCCCGGGCTTGACAATGATGAGACTGAGACTTGTGCCAAGCAAAAGCTCACAGCTTTATCTATGAAAGCATTGCATCTTCTTTTACTGGGAACTGAAAAACCAGTCTTTACATTAAACAACAAATGTAGTACCATGAACTGTGACAGGCACTATCATAGTTTCATATCATAACAAAATCTTAACTTGCCATATCCTACATACCCACAATCACATTTGCAATCCCACCACCCATTAATTCATCCACATTACACTCTGCACAAGTATATATGCAATCAGAAATTTGCAATTTTGGTCCCATAACTATGATGGTTGTCTAAATTGGCTTGACAATTAAGCCACACAGAAAAAAATATATCACACCAAAAAAGATCAATGGACTCAACTGAAAAAATGTTAGCAAAAATTAAATTCGTGATGTTTAATTTGATACAAAACTCATGTTTTATTCTATATTCTGTGTTGGTTGTAATGCACAGACAAGCATGCATGATGAGTTATACTAACGTAGGAGGAGCAAATGCAAATGTCATAATCACATGAAAAGTTGGAAACATTTGACAATGTTCTCGTGCCTTCATTTGTCCAGATCAGATTAGATCCAAAACTCATGAAGAATGATTTTAAGGGAATACCCAATAGCCCAATATAATATGCTCTTCTCATCATCAACACTTCAAAACAATAGGATTTGATTCACGTTGCATACACACTAATATTACATAATCTATCTAAAAGAATATTATATATTCTTTTATATATATATATATATATATATATATATATATATATATATATATATATATATATATATATATATATAATGGTTCCCGTGTGGTTGTATGTGTCTAGTGCAGTTGTGGGGTATAACAAAAAATAGTATACATGATTGTACTCATACTATCAACATCAACATATACAGTCAACTTTCATGAAATCTTATGTACTATAAAAAAAATAGAAATAAAAATGCCCACGAGAAAATTTAGTTCTTTTGTTAATTAGTTAACCACTCATGAGAGTCACATACACATCAATCTAGGTTGATTAAGGGGTGGAAAATAAGAAAAAAAAAAAAAAGAAGAGAAAATATGATGACATTTTTGTAATTATTATGTACGGTGCATAGTGCATCCGTTGATATGTTATAATGCAATCATAGTTTGTAAACGTGTTCTAAAGTTGAATGCACCGTAACATATTAGTGAATGCACCGTAACATATTAGTGAATGCACCGTGAAGTTTTGTTCAATGCACGATATTAATTATGAAAATATTATCATGTTTTCACTTTTTTGTTTTCTTTGTTTCTAGCCATTGATCAAACAAGATGCATGGATGAATGAAATTATTCCAATTTTTACAGGAATTTTGTTCATATTGATATAGATATAGGTATATATTGATTATCTAATTTTGTTCATTTGTTGCAACTATCTTGATTATATTCCACATGTCAATTCAAGAAATTGGATCAGGTTCCCTACGAATTATGTTTTTTTTTGTTTTAAAATTCTTTAGCAATTGAAATTTTGTAATCATGCCTGCATATATGTTATATTAATACACAACAAACATAGTTATGCTGGTTGCTGGCTACCCAACCCTAAAGCTAGCCCTAATTAAGGCTTTGGAAAGAAGCAAACTATTCGGGTGATGAGAAAAATTCACAGTTATTATTTAAGAGGTGTGACGTGTTCGGTCGAGAAAGTGTTAGTAAAATAAGAATCAGACTTATAAATTTTCGATACAAAAATTGTGTTTTATCTTAATATTTTAATACGAGAATCATGCTTTATTCACCCAATCACATCTTTCCAGGCAAAGAAGCATATTATTGGCTAGATAGTTTGTTGTTGTTAGGAGGGAATAATGCCCTCATCTCCTTTGCTGCGTCGTTTCTTGTTCCTTTTCAATAAAATCAAGAATATAATATAAGTCCCACACATATATTCTATAATGTCTCACACACTCGATAATACATATACATACCCCACCAACCATAAAAACATATGGTATCACCCCCCCCCCCCTCCCACCACCCCCTACTCCTACCCACCTAAAACAAATGTCCATTGCATGCCCTGAAAGGTTTAGCCGAATAAATGAAGCACGTCATTCTTGCTAACACTTTCTCCGTCAAATATGTTACACCAAGGTTATTTTAGTGCAATTTATTTTTGTATGATCTATAAACATATATAGGAGCAGAATTATAAATACACTCCTTAGGATAGTGCCTGCAGGTTACCGTCACAAAAAATAAGTACATTGCATACATATACATACCCCACCAACCATAACAACCTATGGTATCATCCCTTCCCCCACCCTCTAAAACAAAGGTCCATTGCATACAACCAAAAGGGTGACAGAGTGGATAAAGTATGATTCTGGTACAAAAAATTCAAAATTCAATTCTTGTCAATATCCTCTCAGTCTAATCTATTCATAGAGTCTTCCTAGTGCAGTTTACCTCTCCTGTGTGATTTGCCTGCTATTACATGCACAAAAGTAGCGTTTACCCAATAATCCAATATACACACTCAAGTGGTGACTGCGAGAGCTGAGTTTTACTCGTGACTAAAAAAAAGTCCATTGCATTCACAACATTTCAAAATATTCTTTGTTCAGAATTAAACTTTACAAGGCCAAGCTGGAAGCAAGTAACAAAAAGAAAAGAATCAAAGATAAAAGAGATCGGATCAAAGTAAGATATATTTCATGAGAAGAAACAACCACAAAAATGGCAGCATTTGGTAGATTTTAGAAGAAAGAACATATTCAAGCCCATGCAAATATGCATATCTTTGAAGTTCATGTCAGAGCAATACGTGGGGTTGTCTTAGATTGCAGCCCTATCACTGCACTTCTGGAAAAAGATGCCTGAAAGCCTCTCTACCATTGATCACATTCATGATATGGGAAGGAAGAGAAGAACAAAAAAGAGTGGAACTTATCAAAATCATACATTCATACCCCGATATAAATAAAATAAAATTGAAATGAATCAACCATATACATTGGCCGGTCTACGGAAGATTTGCTTCTAGCAGGAAAGTGAGCATTTGATTCTTGCTACAAATATCGAGAGTGTGTTTAAATTCCTGCTAAAAAAATATATAGTTTGATGTTGAGTTTCGAAATTAATAGATCAATTGATTTGGCCTTGTAATATGCCATTCATGATTTTATCCATGCAAGGGGAATGTTCTATCCAATCCAAGGGGGCACCCATCCTGATTTGTGTGCGATCTACGAATGTTATAAGTTACGTTTTAGTATTAGTACATTAAAAGAGGCAGAGCCACTAATCAATGACTTGTGATTCAAGTGAATAAATTTTGTTTTTAAAAAAAAAATAAAAAATTTGAATCAAAATTAAATCTTGTGAATAGAGTAGGCGGTATTGTAAGAAATTCAGATGGCAGTCAATTTAATTCATCTAAATTGTTAATATACAAATCTCACATTTTATCATATATTTGCACCTTCCAATCAATGACTACTTCACAAAAAATTGGTATGTGTTTACTATTGATTGATATTAATTAATAAATAATATTATTGAGATATGCCACAATTGTGTGTGTATGTGACCCAAAGAATAATTAAAGTAAGAGGTGGGTTTGACCAAGGCGATCCAATTAGGAAAGAGGGGTCCGGTTGCGCTTTTTTTTTTTTTAAAAAAAGAGGGCCGAGGGTGCGTTTGGCAGCGCAGTATGGAACATAATTCGGAAAAACAAGGGTTGGGGGAGCGGTTGGCCTGAGCTAAGGGAGCGTCGGCTGGCGACCCAGACGCCAGATATGGGTTCATCGGCGAGTGGCGGACCCATAGGGGTCAAGCGGATTGCCAGAGGGTGGCTAACTGATTTCTTGAGTCCCCGGGTCCCCTAAGTGTAATTAAGGCCATCCCTGAGGCGTGCCTGGATGACGATGGAGACCCCTGAAGTAGTCGCATGCATGTGCATTCGTCTAGTTAATTATGTGCACTCATGTAGTTCTCAGTTCTCATTAATCAAGAATCTAACATGATCTTCAAAATATATATCTATCTATATATATATATATATATATATATATATATATATATATATATATATATATCTGACTAGTCTTTTTTCTCCTTTTTTTTTTTTTTTTTAAGCTCATTTTCTCTTCCCTCTCCAATCCTGTGTGGCCTGTAAAACCCATCCATACCAAAAAAAAAAAAAAAAAAAAAATCTTACTTTTGGAATTGCTCTTGAAGCTCCCAAGAGCCTTAGCTTGATAGTCAAAGTCTTATGGACCGGATCTCTCGAAAGAAGTGGAGCAAAACTTCAATCGGCCAGATCCAATAAAACCAAACCACACCTAATTACTCCGGCCAAACTTATATATCATCATCAATACAATATATAATGCAACATTGGAGCCATGCATTCCACAAAGTTGTATGTAATGCATGGTTTCTTAACCACGGAGTGGCAACTAACAATAATTATTCAACTCCCTATGATCCTTCCTATTGGCTTTCTCAGTTTGAGCCAATCAACTATAAACAATTACCTTTTTGTGATCCTTTGTCGGTGAGCTTCACCCATAAGCCATAATGTATACATTCTCGGATTTTCCTTTGAGCAGCAACAATAATTATTCGATGAAGAGAATTGAAGTAGAGAATTAAGTTCAATGGACACATGAAATGATGGGAATTCCAAGTACAAATACAACTACTGAATATATCCTTTCACTGCACAATCACAGCCCAGCAAAGAGACAGGGAAGGAAAGGGAAGTGATGTGAACCATGGAAAACAATTACATATGTATATAAATATGCTCACATTTTTGGAACAATATCGAAGATGTTCCACCGTTTATCATTGTACGACAACTGTGTGTGTTTGCTAGGATTCCTCAGTAACCTCTTATACATTAAGATGCTCCGATCCTCACAGATCATCTCCCGGCCCTCTCATCTTCTTCGCAGGTCCCATTATATTAACACTTGCATGCAGTACAGATCAGAGAGACAGACATTATCGGAAAGGACAATAAATCCATGCATGGTTAGATATATGCTGATCAGATAGCAAGCCCACCCTTCACGTTCTTGAAGGAACCATGTGTTCCACCAAAAATGTTGATGCTTCATTCTAAATTCTAATTCCAACAATATGTAATTAAAGGTAGGATAAAATTGGGGCGTGGTATGGTTTTGGAAAATGGCATGTGTAGGGCGTTTTGCTATTAAGTGATGGCCTCATTTGTCTGGCCGGACCTAATAGTAGAAGAGTAAATCACGCTGACTCAGTTGCTCATTAGGTGATCGAGAGTTTAGCACTATCTAGTGACGCGTGCCCACGAGAAGTCCACCACATTAGATGCAACGTAACTCTCACACTATGGTTGTCAAGTCTTGATCCAGCGGCGTTGTTGCTCATAAAATTCTATCAATTGATTGAGCTATCCGTGCAGGCTATAGCTAACTAGTAGGCTTGATTTGCAAGTAGGGTGCGTTGACTGATTGAGCTAGCTAGTCCGGTCCCTATCAGTGTTGTAAAAATCGGCGTAGGCAGCCGACTAGGCGCTAGACATCCCTAAGCTGAGGGGATTTAAGCCGTAGGTGACTTTTAGTCGGCCAGTCGACTAGACACCGATTTGGCAGCCAATTCAACGCTCAACTCAGCCTAGATAGTGGTATTTTTTTGCCTGCTCGGTTGCTCCTCTTTTGTATTCCACCAGCCCTGTACTCACTAATCATATGTCTAACCTAAGTAGTTGACTAATTTGTGTGATTATAACCGTCTAACAACGAACTCACTACACTTAGTAGGAAAAGTGGAGACAATATACTCGAATTACTTAGACCGTTTAAGAGGCGCTCTAGACACTAGGCACTCCCGGACATCTGACTAGCGCTTAGTGCTTTCTGCAACATTGGACCCTATTCATTGTGTGTTATATGTTACAATCTGATTGATATATATATATATATATATATATATATATATATATATATATATATTATTGACTTTATTACAATGTATGTGATGGATATATATAATACAATAAATACTCATCAATACCCAAAATCATCTTTTTCATTAATTATATTAATTAATTTCAGTTTGCCACCTTAGCAAAGTTGAATCAACATGCAGTGCATATGAATATTTACGTGTAGTGTACAAAAAAATGACCAAAGTCTAAACATCATCTATTTACGTTTCTGTGGATCGACTGCCTTTCTTATGATCTTTACAGCAAGGATATATAATTTTAATAGATAAATACAACTCAAAGAACTTATCCTAATTGGTAAATTCTTAGAAATGAATATGTGTCGCAAATAAATTGCTCCACCCGCTTGACCACTCCTCCCAAAACTGTTACACATTTATTTAGCCACACATTGTGTGATATAATTTGACTAGTAATATAATATTGGAATAAGGTTCAAATTGGCCACTGAACGTAACCTGAAAATGCAATTAGGCCACTGAACGAAAAAAGTGCAATTAGGCCACTGAACACTCCAAAAATGTGCAATTTCACCTGATAGCAGGTTACCCTCAATTTTAGTAGGTTATCTGCTTACGTGGCAGCTGAGTTGGCATTTTTAATAAATTTTAAATCATTTTTAATAAATTTTAATAATAAATTTTTATTTAAAAAATTTTTTAAAAAATAAAAACGACTTTATTTTATTTTTTATTTAATTTTTTCAATTTTTTATAAAATTTATTATTAAAATTAATTATTAAAAATTATTAAAAATGCCAACTCAGCTGCCACGTAAGCAGGTAACCTGCTAAAATTGATGGTAACCTGCTATCCGGTGAAATTGCATACGTTTGGAGAGTTCAGTGGCCTAATTGCACGTTTTTGAAGTGTTCAGTGGCCTAATTGCACTTTTTGTTCGTTCAGTGGCCTAATTGCATTTTCAGGTTACGTTCAGTGGCCAATTTGAACATTATTCTTATAATATTTCTAATAGACGAAGCAAATTGTATTAACTAAATCTCATTTATTGTAAGAGTCATCAAATTTTGTAAACGTGATCCAAACCGAATTTAGATTAATTTCATAGTGATGGAGAAACAGGATATTGGCCATGTTTGGTACCATAGTTAGCTTATTCGTCAATTTTAACTTGTTTGACCACTATTAGTTGTTTGACTTGGTTAAACAATCAATATGAGTGTTTGATTAATTAGCTTTTTGTAACAGCTTATTACTCCAAAACGCTAAAATTCAAAAAATTGTTCAAATTAAAGAAGCTTTTTTGATAAGTTTTTTGAAAAAGTCATTTTACATGTAATCAGTTATCAGCTAACATCTAATTTACCAAATATCTTTCTACAATCAGTTAATGTTATCAACTAGTCAAACCCACTAATTAACACAATCAGTTAACAGCTATTAAATTAGCTGTTAGCCCGTGCACATACTTTAAGCTGACAATGCATAACAGTTCATATATACACTTTTAGATAGGAACTTGCCCCAACCACATACAATCCTCACAAAGTTATACTTGAATATGTGGGGTGCCAAACTATCTTTTTACAGCAAAAGCTGAGATCAATATAGTTGTTCTTCCTTGGCAGCTACCTCAACTTTACCTTGTGGATAACAGCAGACAAACCCATACCTATAAATCCAACATTTTTGTTTTCTCTTTTTATTATATAACTATATATTCACCATCAAATTTCACATGAAATTCTGCTTTAATTTTAATTCCCAAACTGACAAAACCTATCAGATCAATTCCCTCTGCCCAACAAGAAAAACCCTAATCTTAATTTTGAAGGGTTATTAATCGAGATTCAATTCGAATTGGCCAGCTAACATATAGTGCTTAATCTTTTTCAATCACCCAAAAGGTGAACAAAATTTTTTCAACTTTTAGTAGTAAGAAATTCTAACCACCAGTAATGTATGGTCAGGAAAATTCATTACCTTAAATTAGTCAAAATTATGGATTTTTGTGAGGATCAAAGATGTTTATGCTTTTACCATGGTTGTCAGAATTTTTTTTGACAATCATGATTAAAACTTTTTTCTTTTTTTGGTCGAAAATTACCAGCAACCATTGTTCATTGTCGTGGGTCTAACACGGCTGAAAATTATGAAATTTTCGATCACCTGAAAGTGTCTTAAATTAAGTCGAAAGCCTTGTTACGACCACTTTTGATATCCGGAAAAACCTTTGTTGCTATTTTCGACCTTTTTTTACTTTCGACTTGATTTAAGATCAATTTCAAATGGTTGAAAATTTCATAATTTCTAACAGTGTAACCATCTAAACTTTTTGACAACCTTTATAGGTGATCACAACGCTATTAACCACTTTCAACTAGTAGCTGGTAACAGACGAACATTGTATTACATTGCCCAAATAATCATTAAATTTTGTAAAAAAAATCGATTATGTAATTACAAACTCAAAATTTTCAACCACTTTTTAATGATCATAAATTAACGATTTTTCAAACGCATCTTGTGAGCTAGGCCACTAAACAATACCCTATGAACCATAGACCTACAAGTCTAGCTAGGAACAACTATCCTGGCCGATTTGAGTTAGGTTTAATTTGGCATATATAAACTCATCAAAATCTAATATATATATATATATATATATATATATATATATATATATATATAATGCAGCTTCCAATTGTCACCACTTATTTTCGAGAACTTTCTTCGTACGTGCATCGTACCAAAAAAAGCTAAGGCATCAAAATGTGCCCATCACAACGTTGTAAAATAGTGCATGTTTTTGTCCACATCCTTATTCTTCCACTCCTTATAAATCACACCCCCAACCCATACATACATACATACACAAATACTAGCTTTTAATTGCCTTGGATCACTCTATTGTTTTTAGCCATGGAAATGGAGTCTCAAAGCGGCGGCGAGAAACCGGCCGGCGTCTTTGGCCGTGCATGGCGGCGGGTTAAGGCCTTGCCGGAGGGTTTGCTTGCCAAGGTGGTTGATATTGCTAGGCAAACCAGAGATGTTGCGACAGATGATCCTAGGAGAGTTGTTCACTCCTTAAAAGCTGGTCTTGCACTTACTTTGGTCTCCTTGTTGTATTACCTTCATCCACTTTACCATAACTTTGGTGTTTCCACAATGTGGGCTGTCATGACTGTCGTTGTCGTCTTCGAATTTACTGTTGGTAAATTTCACGACTGTGTTTACTTCAATTCTCTAGATATATAGGTTATGTTTTCTTCTATCCAGTTTTCATTTTCTATTTTCTATTTTTTATATGTACATGCTAAGTAAACCTACCCTTTGTCTATAGACTATAGGAGTCTTTTAAGTTTTTTTAATTACAAAACCTAAAAGAGTAACACTATATATTGTTGTGTTTCAACTTGAATGGTCGAGTCCAGCATAATCTTGCCATCAAACATAATGTTGACTGCTACACAAGTATAACTTTTGTTTCTGACTATTGAAGTATTTTAAACATTTCTTGACCCAAAAAAATAGAAATGATAGATATAGAGCAGCAAGTAAAGGAGTGGTGATTTCTCAACTATTGCTTTCATTTTATCCATTTTTAGGTGCAACACTTGGAAAGGGTTTGAATAGGGCACTTGCAACATTGCTAGCTTGTGCTCTAGGGGTTGGAGCACACTATTTGGCTAGTACAACTGGGAAAATCTGTGAACCACTTTTGCTAGGGTTCTTTGTATTTGTCCAAGGTATGTACCACTTTCACTCTCCTATCTCTTCTATACTCTAAAATTTTGGGCCTTATGGTCGAGCGGCATAGCTGTGGCCCCTCAAATGAGAGGTTTCAAATTCAAACCCCAGTGCGGGGTATTGACTCTTTGGAATTTACTAATTTTGGCATATATATATGATATGATGGGATTGCAGCTGTGGCATCAACCTTCATAAGATTTTTCCCAGCAGTGAAGGCGAGATATGACTATGGATTGCTCATCTTCATCCTCACATTCTGCCTGGTTTCCATTTCTGGTTTCCGAACTCATGAAATCTTGGAGTTGGCTCACAAGAGGTTTTCCACCATAGCCATTGGAGCTTCTGTTTGTGTCATTGTCTCCATTTTTGTTTGCCCTGTCTGGGCTGGGGAAGATCTTCACCGACTAGTAGCTACAAACTTGGAAATTCTTGCCAATTTCTTGGAAGGTATACATTTTATGCTCTTTTTTTTTTTGGGTCACAAGTTTGATTGAATTGAGTTTCATTTCTTGCTATATATTAGTCATTAGGACACTATACTCTCCACTCAAATTTTGGTTGGGTTTTGATTCAAAATTTGTAAACAAGTATGTTCGGTTAAGCAATATTGGTGTGATTGGTATCTAGTACAATCATGCATACTATATTTGGTTGCACCATATCTTGACAATATTGGGTACAATTCAACTAGCATATGATTGTCTTAGTTAAGTAGGAAAGATATTGTTAAGAATACATAAAATAAGAGAGAACATATAGATTTATAAAGCCATAGATTAGACTAGCTAATAGGTTGGATTCAGCCAGTATGATTTGGTTCATGTAAATTAAAGCACCAAGTAAATGTTCAAACCAAGAAGGCCAGTCTACTGGTAGTCAAATTTGAAATCGATTTTGTGATTACCAAGCAACAACCTGATTAACTTAGATGGATTACCCCATAATTTCTCCTTTTGGTGTGACATACTAATGCATGAAGAAAAAAATGGAATTTGTAGGATTTGGAGCTGAGTATTTTAAATCATCAGAAGAGGAAGAGTCGTCCAAGGAGACTAAACCTTCCATGGCTGGCTACAAAAGTGTTCTCAACTCTAAAACCACTGAAGAAGCTCTGGTGAGTGGAATATCCTCCATCTATAACCATGAAGTTTTTTTTTTTTTTTTTTTTTTTTTTTTTTTTTTTTTTTTTTTAGCATTACTGACTCTATTATAATGTAATATATGTTCATAACCATGAAGTCTTTAATAGGTATTTAATACTTTACTATTAAATAATCTTAACGGGACTTAATTTACTGTCCGTCCAGGCAAATTTTGCAAGATGGGAACCTGGGCATGGGCGGTTCAAGTTCCGGCATCCATGGAAACAATACTTGAAAGTGGGAGCACTTATTAGGCAGTGTGCCTGCAGGGTTGAAGCCCTCAATGGCTATCTCAACTCCAAAATTCAAGTAAGCACTCTATCCTCTTAATTAAAACTACATTTAAATCATCGTTACGTTACATATATGTTTAAAGGGCATATGCAATCGAACAAACTTTTCTACTTAGATAGAATACTATATTGTTGAGTATGTCTCATATAAAGAATATGAGTGGAGTTGTTTGAATCGGACCCATAAAACATATATATTTTTAAATATGAGTGGAGTTGTTTGAATCAGACCCATAAAACATATATATTTTTGTACTTGTACATATTTAGAGTTGCATATAAATATGATGCTGACCCTTACAGGGTCCGGGGGAGATGAGGAGAATAATGAAGGGAACATGCACGAAGATGAGCATGGAATCCGGTAAGGCACTGAAAGAGCTAGCATCATCGCTGAGAAACATGAACCACCCTTCCTCGGCGGCCAAGAAACACATGGCGAACTCGAAAACCGCCGCCAAGAACCTTAAACTGCTCCTCAGCTCCAGCTTCTGGGAAGACGTGGACCTGCTGCAGGTCATTCCGGTGGCGGCGGTCGCCTCAATCCTCACGGAGATTGTGGTCTGCGTAGAGAACATAGCGGAGAGTGTGAGTGAGCTGGCGGCGTCGGCGCACTTTAAGGATAATGCAGCCGAGTCGCCGCCGGAGAGTAGTAGTAGTAGTGCTTCCGATTCCGACCATGTTGTTATTGAGGTTGGGGAGATGGCGGCTCCGGCGGCTGAGGCTAACCAAAGCAGGTGTTTGTAAATTGTACAAAGTTTTGGACTGATTTATAAATACTTGGAATACTATATTGGTGCGGCGTTTTGTTCATGGTTTTGGGTTTGCAAAAATAAATTTCAAAAATTTTTGGGAATTTTGGTAGGGTTTTGGGGCAGGAATGGCAACGAAGCAGGTCGGACATATTCTTTGTTTTAAACATTGTATTAATTTTTAAGGATTGATTTTTTTTTTTTTATCAACCACTATTCGAAGATGTACTCTGAGTGAAGCTTACTTTATTATCCTAACCAGGCCATCCAGCAAATGATTATGAACAAACATTACTTATACAAAAGTATAAATATGATGTTAAGTAGCACATTAAAAAAACTATTCACTCTCAATAGAATTTGACAAGTTCAAATAAAATGCCCAATAATAATATTTTATAAGAAGTAATTGAAGAATGGATCGTTGGTGGTCAACTTATCCCTCTCCAAAAGCCAAATTTTTTTCCATATAAGAGAACATGAAATAGTGAATAACATTAAACAAGACAAAATGAATATATTGAAAAGCAATGACTAAGCCTATGAACCTTTTGAGCTGGTTCCCACCTCCCACTACATGAGCCCACTGTATCCACCAACCAAAACAAATATTTCTTTTTTTCTTTGGAAAGAAAATAGAGAGAAATTTTGTTTGTCACAACCTACTGAGCATTTGGGAGGATGTAAATCATCACATTATCGTCACCGAGGTCCGAATTTTGGTCTCTTAACTCAAATACTGTCCACTAAACCATTGAGTTAAGCCCGTGCGGGTACAATCCTATAAGTCTAAATATAAATGTACAGTCTAATATAACTATCAACTTACAATCCTATAAGTCTAAGTTGATAGTTAGACTGTACATTTATATTTAGACATTATATGTTTAACAGGCTCTCTCACGTGTGCGGACCGATTACTTTAATCTCTTTTTGTTAAAGGAGATATTTAAATCTATGATCTTGTGTATGGAGTTGGCTTTGATGTTACATTAAATGCTTTATTATGTCACAACTAAAAAGCTAAACTAATAGTTAAACTACATATTTATATTTATATATTATATTATATGCCTAACACAACTAGATGCACAATAAAATATTTAGAGTTGTCTTTCAAGCGAGATCAATCACGACGTCTCTTATTAGTTGGCAAGTAAGTAAACTAATGAACCCCTTAAGGCCTTAATTAATTCGATAATAAGCAAATCAGAAGACGACACTTAAAATGAAATTCATCCTAGTTGAAACGTATGTAATGCTACTCAACTATCCATAATACTTATCAAGCAGTTTTGGTCACATATCTGCTTTCCATACAAGTCTACTTATCAAGGAAATCCATTACAACTATAGTGCGTTCCAATTAAATTCTCCCATCATTGCCTTTTAATGCCAAAAATTAATGTCAATTATATTTAGAATATAATAATTCTCACTTTTAAAAAATTGGAAATATATATATATATATATATATATATATATATATATATATATATATATATATATATATATATATATATATATATACTTTTTAATAATTTAAGTTCAGTGGAGTTGAGAGGTGGACAACAAATTAAACATTCAAAATTCTTCAAAGTGTGTTAGACCACACTCAAATTTTGATTAAAAGTGTGTTTATATATGTGTGTTCTTTTTTTCTTTTTCTTTTTTTTTTTTTGTTAACTTTTTAACAATATAATATAAGTTATTTGGCATATATGCAATTTGGTACATACCCCCCATGACAAAGAAGGAAAGCATCACTAACAATGGCTATGAAAAGGAGGATACAAAACTTTAATAAAGAAGTCATGATGATGACAACCCCATATAAAACTAAATAAAGAAATTGATAAGCTTTGTTTTAATTTGTTAACAATCGCAGTGTATAGGATTCGAATCTTATCAAGAATCAAAAAGGTCGGGGAATAGCTCATCAGCATTTTAGAGGCTATATATCAATAATTAGGGCGTATCTCGCAATTTATCTCATACACTAGCCTTTAGGAATAGTTATGCTGTGCATCTGTATGCACCATGCATGGTGCATACAGATGCAAAAACGACGTCGTTTTATTAAAAACGCGCGTCTCCCCTTTAAAAAAAAAATTCAGGTTCGATTCCTAGTAACAATATTATTTTGTTCATTCATTATGAAATTTTAGTTCATGGATTATGGAATTATAGTTCATCGATTATGGAACTATAGTTCATCGATTCTGGAATTATAGTTCATCGATTCTGAAATTTTAGTTCATAAATTCTGGAATTTTAGTTCATTCATTCTGAAAATTTTAGTTCATAGATTAGATTATGGAATTATAGTTCATCGATTATGGAATTATAGTTCATCGATTATGGAATTATAGTTTCGAACCTAATTTTTTTTTTTTAAGGGGAGACGCGCGTTTTATAAAAACGACGTCGTTTTTGCATCCGTATGCACCATGCTTGGTGCATACGGATGCACAGCATAATTTGCCAGCCTTTAGTATACAAACTAGTCTAACAAAAGCAGAAAAGTTTACACACTAAAACTAAGCTGAATAAGCTGGTATACACTACTCCTTTACATTTAGGACATGGGGTGAGAGATACTTAAAGTTGGAGTTCAAACTCTCAAATAAAGAAATAAGTTTTGTTTTTTTTTCTTTGGTGATCAAAAAGTAAATATATATTGTGGCATGGTGCATGGTGTATATGTTAATGCTACATTTGTTATTTATTCCACTCCCTTTACCTTTCTAGCTATAGCTATTATTTAAAATAAAGTTACGTACACTTTTATCTCAATATAGTTTTTGTTGATATTGACAAAGGCATCACATATAACTTATCAATAGTTTATGACATATCTCAATATATCGATATGATAGTTTCAAAATATTATAGTTTAGAACTAAACATACAAATTATTTCTTTTCTCATACTCGAGAAAGGAAAAATAAAATAAAACCGCTACATCATTATAAAAATATGAGCCTAATAACCTTCACTAAATCAATGGTGAGTAGGGATCGAATGCCATCTAGAGCAAGATCCATCAATGGTGACTGGTGAGTAGGGAATTTGTCGGATCGAAGCGTGGGGGACATTGGGGTCTGAGATTCAACATTTTAGAAACAAACAAATTACTTTTACTAAAATATATTTTGTAACACCGCCATCTATGGCAAAAGTATCAAATATGCACTGCAGTTTCATTTCAACGCAACATATACAAACTATTTGCCTCAATTGAGGTTCAAACCTTACACTTCCCACTTAGGAGAACAACCCGATACCAGTAGACTACAAGCCACTTGATAACTATAGTATCATTTTGATATAACTACAGTTTCGCTGGACAATATACACTCAAATATGTGAAATTGTTATTCAATTTCATTTTGTATACACTGCAGTTTCATTTCAACACAACTACAGTTTCATTTCAATCCAATTGTAGCTTCATTTGATAATATAATAAAAATAATATGTGAGACAATATCACTTTAAATACATTATAATGTCTGCCGTTTGGACCATGGTCCACGGTATAATTGCTGGCCATCTATGGATTGGACTGGAAATAAATTTTAAATTGCCTTGCATCGTGGACTTGATTATATTGGGCTTCCTTGTTGGTTGGTTGTCTTTATGTTTTATTAGTGGGAAAGGCCCAGTGGGCTTCTTCTATATACGGCCCAATTATGTTGTGCAGTGACACTGACAAGATTCCCATAACTGAAATTGGATAATGGATACTCTTCAGTCTTCAGTATCTAACGGGAAGAGAAGTGAAGTCAATAGCAGAACTGAAATTGGATACTCTCCCATGGCTTCAGCTAAAGCTACGCCTTCTTCTCCGGCGGCCGGAGATCTCATCCACGTATTCTGGCACGAGGGCATGCTGAGCCACGACGCCGGAAAAGGCATGTTTGACACCGGGATTGACCCGGGGTTTCTGGATGTGCTGGAGAATCACCCGGAGAATGCCGATAGAGTGAGGAATATGGTCTCCATCCTCAAAAGAGGCCCAATTTCTCCCTTCATTTCTTGGCACCATGGCAGACCTGCTCTCCTCTCCGAATTGCTCTCTTTCCACACTCAAGGTACCATTTTTCTCCTTAATTTTCTTCTTTTCCTTTTTCAATCTTCTTGACCTAAATTACAAGGGTAATACTAAAGCAATAATCGAAATGTAATAGTTAGGGTTGAACAGATACCTATCAAAATAGTTGTAATAGTAATCATGGTAAATTGATTTATTGTTACTCAATAGTTATTATAGAAAAAGTATATTACTTATGAGGAAAAATGTAATATTAGGAATGGAAGAGTTAAAATTGTGAGAAAAGTGTTATACTTGTGAAAAATCCGAACTGTTCTTATTGGAGATTTTGCCAAATTAAAAAGGTTTCATGTGAATCTATCTGCCAACTAATCAACTGAGAATTGACATTTTTTTTCACAATCTGTCAGAGTATGTAAATGAGCTGATTGAAGCAGACAGAAGTGGCGGGAAAGAGATCTGTTCAGGGACATTCTTAAATCCAGGTTCATGGGATGCTGCACTTCTGGCGGCTGGCACAACATTATCAGCAATGAAACACATTCTCGATGGAAATGGGAGCATTGCCTACGCGTTGGTCAGGCCGCCTGGCCATCACGCCCAGCCTGCTCGAGCTGATGGCTATTGCTTCCTCAACAATGCTGGCCTCGCAGTGCAACTAGCTCTGGATTCTGGACATGAAAAGGTCACGGTTATTGACATTGATGTCCATTACGGGAATGGCACTGCAGAAGGGTTTTATCGCTCTGACAGAGTTCTCACCATCTCCCTGCACATGAACCATGGTTCTTGGGGCCCCTCGCATCCTCAGAATGGAGCTGTGGATGAGCTTGGCGAAGGTAAAGGATTCGGGTATAATTTGAATGTCCCTTTGCCCAATGGAACAGGAGATAGGGGCTACGGTTATGCCATGGCACATTTAGTCGTCCCTGCAGTTCAGAAGTTTGAGCCCGATATGATCGTTTTTGTTGTTGGCCTGGATTCAAGTGCAGTAAGTCCCCTCGGCATTACACTTTTTGTGACTTGTTTTATGTTTCTATCTGTCTTAATATGTGCAGATTAACTGCTCTTTGGAAAACCTTAAGTCGAGAGCTTTTAGTAGGTATAATTTGATATCGTCAAACACAAAAGCTAGCTTATAATTGTTGGTTTGATCCATATTGGTCTAGATTCTCATCAGTAGTAGCAAATGTAGGATGGATCAATAACATATTTGATAAATACTGATAACTCTCGGATAGATCAGAGTATTAGAACACAAAGGTCCATTAGATAATATCTAGCGTGATTGGGAGTTGCAAACTAGCTGACTAGCTCTTCGTAGTCTATGCTAGTGATTTAGAGGGGTACAAGAATATTGTTGGGAGGAGGCCGGTGAAGGGCCAAGTCCAGCACCAGTGGCTATAGGATTGTCGGGCGGAGGCCTGAAGGCCAAGTCCAGTGCCCTGCCTCTCGAAAATCTGTAGGATATAATGAATGCATCTTGTTTATTTGAGAATCACTATTCAGTACAATAATCGTTATCATCTACATATGGATATCCTATCTCTATAAAACGGAAAGGCCATGAGCCTAAAAGCTATGGTTTGTTTCAGTTTGATCCCAATGGAAGGCAGTGCTTGAGCATGGAGGGTTACAGGGAGATAGGGCGGGGTGTTCGCGCCATTGCTGACAAATATAGCAAGGGGAAACTCTTGATTGTGCAAGAAGGTGGATATCACATCACATATTCAGCTTACTGTCTGCACGCGGCTCTTGAAGGCGTGTTGAATGTATCTGCAGAACCTTTGTTACCTGACCCTATTGCGCATTATCCCGAGGATGAATCATTCTCCATCAAAGTTATCGAGGCGATCAGGAATTACCAGAATGACACGGCGCCATTCTTGAAAGATGATGCTTAGTTATGAAGCTCTTGAAGAAGATATGGCACTGGTGTAGAAATCTGTTATGTAAATCCTACTTTGAGATGCATGCAGCATTCTCCTTCCTGAAATTGTAAGTTTTTTGGGGGGTGTGACGAGTGAAATTCATAGCCACTACTCGAAGGTGTGCACGGGGTAAACTCGCCTTTTGACCCTAGCCGGCAAAGAATCACTAGGAGGTAAATCATTTTAGGTTACTCATAATTGATCGGCTCAAACCAAGAAAGCCAATAAACTGTTCCCGCTGAACTTGTAACCTTGTGGTTACTAAGTCAACAGTTTTGTAACAACAGTTGCATGCTGCATGCTTTAGACCGAAATATTTTAGGGATAAAATGGTAAATCTTAGCCCGGCATTCTTTTCAGTTATCACATTGATCCTCTCACGTATCAGTTATGTTGGGACTCACAATTAAAGTTAATCTCTTATGGTGACGGTCATTGTCACCCGCAACTAATTTTGTTGCCAATATTTTAGTGACGTATTATTTCGTTGCAGGTAAAGTTTGCTGGTTGTATTGTAAATTTTTTTTTTATAAGGTTGAGTTTTGTTTAAAATTGAGAACTAAATTTGGAACAATTTAAAATTGATAATCAAAAGTGAAAACGTCACAAGAATTGAGTGATCAAAATTAGAATATTCTCATAAACATAATAAGCACGAAGAGAGAAAGAAATGTTTGAATTAAAAAAAAAAAAAGTAATGTAATTTAAACGATAGAAATGTTGTTTACAACAAATATTATATTGATTGACGTGGTTAAATCAAGTGGTAAAATATTTTATATTTATTAATTGTTGGTGAATTATATTAGGATAAAATTGTATCATTTTGTATTGAATGGTGGACCAATGATGAAATTCACCTTGGCTATTACCAACATTTTAAAGGAAAATAGCTTTAAAATTGTAAGGGGAGAAAAGATGAAAAATGTTAAAAGAGTATGAGTGAAAAGTGAAAACAAGGAGAAAAACAGGAAGAAACAGTAAATGCAAAAGAAAACAGAAGAGAGAAATAAAAGGGCAGCAAGACAAGGGTGGGGAGCTTGATCCACATGCAGAAAGAAGAAGATTGAAAACCCTAAGAAGACAAAGTTCTGACGACCCAATTCTCTCCTTCCCCGACTTCCCTAAAGCAGCTACATTTGGCATGAAGCCGCTGCCATTTGAGGTTGGTTCAAAATCTCTCCCTTGCTCTCTAGATCAAAGTGTGTGTTTTTATTTCCACATGGTTTAGATTCTTCTTGCCAAAAATGGTATTTTTTTGTGCATGACTATGGATGCTGATCACAGAGGAGTGGTGTTTATCTGGGGATGATTATGGTTGTTGATCAAAGAGGAGTCTTGTATGTGTATGTATGTATATATTCCGTGATTCTTGCGGTCGTGGCAAATGTGGTTTGTGGTTCGAATGATCAGAAGATTCTGAAGGAATTCAGAGATGGATTAGAGAATCCCGGGCTCTTGAAATGGCCTTCTGATGAAGATGATGAACCTTGTGCCACTCCTGTATGGCCTCATATCATCTGCTCTAATGGCAGAGTCACACAAATTCAGGTTCAGAGTTTGGGGTTAAGTGGCCCATTGCCTCAAAACATTAATCAGCTAGATAAACTGGAAAGTCTAGGCCTTCAGAAGAATAATTTATATGGCAAACTACCAACTTTAAGTGGGTTGAGTAATTTGCAGTCTGTGTTCTTGGATGGCAATCGTTTCGATTTGATCCCCGCGAATTTCTTCCAAGGACTTACTAGTATTCGTTTTTTGGCTTTGGATGATAACCCGTTGAATAAGACAACTACTGGATGGTCTATTCCTCCTGACCTGCAGAAATCTTCTCAGTTGACGAATTTTTCATGCACCAACTGCAACATAATAGGACCATTGCCTGGATATTTTGGGGAGCTTCCATCTCTCACTGTATTGAAACTGTCTAGCAATGGGCTTAGTGGTACGATACCAAACAGTTTTCGCAACTCAATGCTGCAGATTTTGTGGTTGAATAACCAGGAAGGTAGCGGGATGACTGGTCCAATTGATGTCATAGGATCCATGGTTGGCCTTGTATCGTTGTGGCTTCATGGGAATAGGTTTAATGGACCAATCCCTGGTAGTATCGGGAATTTGACTTCTTTAAAGGATCTCAGCTTAAACGAGAATCATCTTGTTGGTGTGATTCCCCAAGTTTTGGCTGATCTGAATCTGCAATCTTTGAAGCTGGACAGTAATATGCTGATGGGTCCAATTCCAAAGTTTAGAGCTGCTAAAGTCACTTACTCTTCAAATTCTTTCTGTCAACAGGAACCCGGTGAGCCTTGTGCTCCTCAAGTTAATGCTCTATTGCAGTTTCTTCAGTATTTGAACTATCCGCCTCGTCTTGCAGCTGAATGGATTGGCAACGACCCCTGCGACGGGCATTGGTGGGGGATCACCTGTAATCCAAGCCGTAAGGTTTCCATTATTAATCTGCCAAAGTTTAATCTCGATGGTACCTTGAGTCCTTCACTTGCATCCTTGAATTCGCTCGTTGAAATTCACTTGCCTGGGAATCATTTGCACGGTAAAGTGCCAGACAGATTAACTTCTTTGAAATCTTTGAGATTGTTGGAAATTAGTTGGAATCGCTTTGATCCACCACTACCGAAATTTAACAAAGGAGTGAAAGTTGTCACTGATGGCAATCCTGGTCTAACAGCTAATGGAAATGTGTCGAGTCCTCCAAGTCCTGACATACAAAATCCCGAGTTTCCAGGGGATGGTTCCTCACCCGATAACGATCAGCCACTATTCTTACAAAGTCCAGCGCCTTCCCCAGTGGACAACTCGGCTTCTACTACAAGGTCTACCGTTGGCATTACTGTGGCTGTTACTATAGTTTCCACAATTATTGTTTACCTAAGTGTCACGTATATTTGCTACATTTGTAAGAGTAAAAAATCGAACAACATTTATGGGGCAACTGGGTTCCATCCCAAAGACCAACCCAAACCTGACATTAAGATTACGATCACTGATGAGTCCACTATCGAGCCACCGGAAAATCATGCTTTTGGTAAAAGTAGTAAGGGGAGTGAAATCAGTGAATATAGTTATGTGACTGAGGCCGCACACTTAATCATCCCTTTTCAGATCCTTCGCACTGTAACTAACAATTTTTCCCCGGATAACGAGGTTGGTCGAGGAGGTTTTGGAGTAGTTTACAAAGGGGCACTCGAAGATGGCACTCAGCTTGCAGTGAAGAGAATGGAAGCCAAGATTCTTAATAATAAAGTACTAGACGAGTTTAAGGTAGAGATTGCTGTTCTTTCTAAGGTTCGCCATCGCCACCTTGTGTCACTTTTGGGTTACTCAGTCGAGGGAAATGAGAGGCTTCTGGTGTACGAATACGTGCCACAAGGGGCTTTAAGTAAGCATCTTTTCCACTGGAGGAAACTCAGCTTGAAGCCTCTGGCATGGTCAACGAGGTTGATCATTGCTTTAGACGTTGCTAGAGCGATGGAGTACCTTCATAGTCTCACGCACCAGAGCTTCATCCACCGCGATCTCAAGTCATCCAATATTCTTCTTGGGAATGATTTTCGAGCTAAAGTTTCCGATTTTGGCTTGGTGAAACTTGCTCCTGATCGAGAGATATCTGTAGCCACTACTCTTGCTGGAACCTTTGGATACCTCGCTCCCGAATATGCAGGTAAGACCTCTTTTCAACCGGTTTATCTTTCCAATTTGCTATATTGGTGAGCATGAATGTGCATATAGTGGTTGGTTTCTTTGTCTCTCGATGGCCAGAATTAATTTTTTTTCCCGGTTATTATTGTCTGGAAATCTCAGTGACGGGGAAAATTACAACCAAAGTGGATGTGTTCAGCTTCGGGGTGGTTTTGATGGAACTTCTTACAGGCTTAACAACGCTTGATGAACAGCGTACAGAAGAAAGCCGATATTTGGTGGAGTGGTTTTGGCAAATGAAATCGAACAGAGAGAAGCTGATTGCTGCCATCGATCCGGCTCTCAATGCGAAAGAAGATATCCATAACAGCATTTGCATCATCGCGGAATTGGCTGGGCATTGCACTTCAAGGGAGCCTAATCGTCGGCCTGAAATGGGGCATGCTGTCAATGTGCTAGCCCAATTGATCGAGAGATGGAAGCCTGAAGAACGCGAGGAGGATTCTTCTTCTTCGGCTAACGATTTCTCTCTACCTCTATCCGAAATGCTGAAGAACTGGCAGAATGAACGAACCGGAGACTTCAGTTACCTTAGTCACGATAGCAAAGAAAGCATTATTTCTCCACAGCCAACAGATTTTCCAGATTCGTTTAGTTCTTCCGATGCTCAATGAGTGGCAAATAGCATTATTGCATAAAAACGCCCATTCGCTTCACGCTACTAGTTCCCCCGCATTGCCAAAAGTCGTTTGCTTTTTAACCCGAACCAACAAGCACTCCAGGTAATTAAGTCAATTATGATTACATATGTAGATAGAGTTCATCAATTCTTGACATCATTATATAAACTCAGACCAAACATCTGATGAAATCTTCCTTTGTTTCATTCCTAGGTTTATGGTTGCTTCTCAGAACAGTTTTTGTCAAAGTGATGTACACATAACACATAACATACTGTTGCTTTCTGCAGTTTATACACCAGAAATCTGAAGGGCTGCAAAGCTGATATATATATGTATAGATTTATGTATGCTGACATCTATTTCTTTTGGGTTTTTCTTTGTGAACATTTCTTGCTTATTTTTGTGTGTAAAGTTTTGCTATAAGTATATATGTTTATATAGCAAATTTTACTTTATTCATTTTTTTTAATGTATGCAAGACAATCAAGGAGTGGTGTGTGAAGTTGATCTAGAGATTGGCTTCTGATTTTTGTAACAGGAAAAAGGAAGAATACATTCTTTTGTGGAAATTTCTTCTTTTATTTTTAATGACAATTTTGTGGGGATTTGGTAATTTTAGTCCCATAGTTGTACTCGTAGTTTAGAACAACTTTGAAGTTATTAGGGGTGTAAATTTAGTTCTTTAATTTTTGCTCAAGTGACTGTTTTTAGTCTTATTTGACCGAAATTGTTCTAAAACAGGTATAAACACTAATTTAGTATATTTTTCGATCAGACATTTGTATAGTCTTCTTCCTCCCTTACAAAATGCTCGGACTAACCTACTTAAGAAAAAGAAAATTGTACAAATAACTAAAAAGATCTTGTTAGATCAGGATTCATGCCTTCTATTTTTTTGGTTAATCAATTAACAATTTTTATTAGACAGAGCAAAAATTCATAGATTAATTTTACACATTTAATAACTTAGACATAGTATAACTTAAGACTGAAAATGGCTTTTTTTTTTAATTTCTTTCTCTCTTTTTTTTTTACTAACATTAATAATTGATAATTAATAATTAAGATAAGCCCATGTGGGGTTTAAGATAGTGAATGCTATAACATAAGCTGGCAGGAAAATTTCAGATCCACCATGTTGTATGAAGATCCCACCCAATCTGGGACACTCTAAGGATGTAACATGCATGTGTACTTGGTATATTTATTGAATATGCTTCTTCAAATGTTTAAAGAAATCTCCAAAGTACAACCATACATTTATAATAACACATGAGAAAAGATTGAAAGTGAAGCGTCTCATATTGATGCATTTACAGGTATAGTTAGTCCGCACTTACTATTTGTCGTCCAGTATCAAAGTACTGAAGTACAAAGAAAAGAGTCAATATCCCACTAAAATTCATACCTGAGACCTCTTATTTAAACGAGTCACAATTATACCGCTTGACCACAAGGTCTTTGGCACATCCTATATTAGTTAATGTCTTAGTGTTTTCAAAAAAAAAAAAAGTTAATGTCTGAGTTCTATGATATTAGGAGGGGCATTGGATTTGTTTATTGATCAATAATTTTGTTTATAATTTATCACTTAAAATAATTTAGAATTGGGCCATCTCACTGGTCTCAATTCATGAGACGGATTGGACCTTTGATCACTGTTGAAAATTCTGAAATTTCCAACCACCTGAAAGTGATCTTAAATTAAGTTGAAAACTTTGTTTCGATCACTTTTGGTGTCCGGAAAAACCTTTGTTGCTATTTTCGACCACTTTTTGTTTTCAATTTGATTTAAGATCACTTTCAGGTGGTCGGAAATTTCATAATTTCCAGCAGTGGATTAATGAGTCGGATCTTTGACCTCATTAATCAAAGATTCGACTCATCTCACGAATTAAGACCCGTGCGATGGTCTAACACAAATTTTTACCTTTAAAATTAATTTCTACTGTCGAGAGTCTCCCTTAATGATATGAGTAATAAGTAAATATTACAATAAGTATTCTTTGATTTGTGCAACCTCCTTGTACATAAAATTTCTATATCCTGCCTTACACAGCTCCAACAAAGTCAAAAAAGAGCCTCGATAACATATCTAAATTTTCGGGTTTTGACCATTCCACTAAACTCATGCAAATATTTTAAATTCGATTTATCTGACTATCTGGACCCAATAATAACACCCTATAACACATGTGAAATAAATACCATAAGGTTCACATCCAATAATGTTGATGATGTGTCATGGATCATGATGACAACCAAACATAACGCATGTTATGATCCACCATAGCCAGACCTCCAAGATGCCATTCATGTCTCCTCCAGTAACATATACAAAGATTCCAAGAGCAAAGCTTCGAGGAAAGCCTAATTTGGAGGCTTTCTTTACAATTATTAGACCTAGCTAATAATCAACCAAAATGGACAACCATTACTTTTTATAAACCTGCAATCTCTTTTTAACAGAACACAATTTGTCTCTTTGGGACTTGGGAACATTTTATAAACCTGGTACAGAAATGGAAAAGATTAGCATATTTGTTCCTGTATGAAGATAACACGCACAAATTTATTAAGAATATGACAAATGAGAAAGACTCTTTAGTTTCTTGAACAACTACTCAATCATGGGAGGTTGTTTTCTTGTTTTTGTGTGATGTGTTTTCGCTAAGCGTAATATATGCACACACGATGTTTTTATAGAAAGATTTTGATGTTACATATGTTGATATTAATTGTCATGCTAGAAAAAATGATAGACAACTTCTTCTTAACCATTTGATATAATCAAAATACATACTTTTTTTTATATACTTGGGTGATCTCAACTTCGTCCGTTGAACTAATCTTAAGCCCACAGGATCGGACTTTGCCTCTAGAGTCACTTTGTAGATGTAAATCGTGAGTCGCGCAATCAGTCCAATGGTCAAACCATAGTCTTCATCATGCGCACACAAGGAATTCAATCTACACCTTCCATAATCCGGCATATGCCTTTATTTTTTAAAGGAGGCATTAAAGAAAAAATTTATACACATATATATAAGAAAAGATTTCGACGTCTCTATTGTCATGTCAAAACAAGAAATAAGATGGGTAATTTTGGCAAAAATAATTGTTTTTTTCTTTTAAGTACTTGGTATTACCAAAACACTTCCACTCTTTCTATTTTTAAAATAGGGTACTAAAATACGTAACAGTGTGACACTAAATACAAATTTCTATAAGCACACATATAAGAAAAAATTTTGATATCTCTTACTCTCGTGTTGTCATGCATGTTTAATAATAATAATAATAATAATAATAATAATAATAAATAAATAAATAAATAAATAAATAACAATAGGAGTAATTTTGGAAGAAATCACTAGCTATATTATTTTCTCTTCTTTCTTCAACCACTAGATATAATCAAAATATTCTTGTTCTCACAAAGCATATGGTATTCCGACAATGTGACTATATATGTGTGTGTGAGATTAGCCAGTTAATTCTTACTCTATATATTATTGCACAAAACTCTTTAATATAATTTTATACATTTAAAAGTAAATTTCTCAATTTTACAGTTAATGATCCGATTATTAACTGTTATCTATTTTTAAAAAGAGGCATTTGAAGTGTGAGCTATTAAAAATAATGTTGATTATATATATTTATGGAGAAGAATTTAATTAGAATGGTTGTAATAGGAGACGAGTAGGTCTTAGTAAGGTGATGGGGCCATGAAGACTTGAAGTTTGAAGACAAAGTGAGCAGAGAAATCAAGTGGAAATGTGTGTCGTTTAGCGGAATATTCATGTGCGCATTATAGCCGTCGACGCACTAATGAGAGTCGAACCAACGATATAATGATAGCCAGCAACACGGCATATGGCGCTCCCTAAACTCTGCCACATTAAAATATAAAGATTTAGTCCCGTCAAATACCATCAATTCTTGATTGTGCGCTTTGTATGGAGTTTTTAATTCATAGGCTATTACACAGGTTTTTCTTATTACTCAAAAAAAAAAAAAAACATAAAGATTTATTTCACTTTTGAAATACTAACATTTTTGCTTTTAATTATTAAATATTAATTTGTTTTCACGTTCAATTATTGACTTTAAAATGTCTTTAATTTGTAACATTTTTACCAAATATTAACTCATTGAGGACATTTTGTACTAAAAGTTATATATTTTTTACACCACGTTTGGTTCACATAATGAATTGAATTTTGAGGTATAGGAATGTTATTCCATAAGGAATGGAATAGGCAAGGAATAGAATAGAAATTATATTCTATTGTTTGGTTCGCGAAGGAATAGACTTTAGGAATTATATTACAGTGTTTGGTTGGTTTAAGGAATATAAATGAAATAAGTTTTAAAAGACATAAATACCCTTAACAAAATATATGTTGGCGGTGGTGGTGGTGGTGGGGCGGTGGTGGTGGTGGTGGTGACGGTGGCAGTGGTGGAAATGACGGCGGCGGTGGTAGTGGTGAAATAGGAAATAAATTTAATTGGGAATAAAATAGAAAATAGCAACTTTAAACTATTCTTGGGGATTCAAGAATAACCTAATACCAGGGGCCCTAAGAATCTATATTCCAATCGTTATACCCTACACCACGGCGCACATAGCACTGTGCGCCGCGCGCCTCTCAAAACGACGTCGTTTTGGGAGGCGCGGTAGGAAGTTGCTGGGATTATATGTATTTGTTCACACAGTTATGTGTATTTGTTCATACAGTTATGTGTATTGGTTCATACAGTTATGTACATTTTTTATACAATTATGTACATTCTTTTTATACAATTATGTACATCCGAATCAGAAAATTTGTGTGTATTATGTTAATAGTTGATGTGTATTATGTTAAAAGTTTATGTTTATTATGTATTATGTTAGATTATGTGTATTATCTTTTAAAAAGAGTATGTATATTTTGTTATATAATTATTATGTACATTCATGTATACAATTATGTGTATTCTAGTATAATATTATGTACATTCTTGAACAACGGTTTTTTTTAAAGAAAAAATTACTGCCATTCACTGGGGCGGGAAATTTAAAAAAAAAAAAAATTAAAACGACGTCGTTTTGCATCTGGGCGCATAGTGCAATGCGCGCCGTGATGTAGGATATAAATTGCCTCTATATTCTCCTTGCAAGGAAAATAGGTTATTCTCAGGAACATTGTTAAAGAAAGGAAGCAAATAATTAAAGCATTACAAAGTATTATTTAGCCTACAAATATTTTTTAAAATGACATGTAAATTACATAATGTGTATGCATAAAAAGAAAACTCTTTTTGTACACACTTATTTCTTGTTGATCCAACAAAACATACTAGAAAGAAAAAAAAAAAAAAGATTAATGAAATTTATAAGAGCATCTTCAATGGGCTTCAAATCTTCAAATTCTAACCCCATATCACCATTTTTGCAACTCCGACGTGAGTCTGCAAAACTCCATAACGCCAAAATGTTTGGCGTTAATGAACAGTGCTGCGCCAAATTTGGCGCAACATTGTTCATTAACGCCAAATGTAAAAGGGTAGAAAATGTACCATTTTGCCCTTGTTTCTTTTTTCTAATTACAATTGTATCATTTATTTGTTTTATATGTAATTTTTTATTTTGTTAAATACATATATTTAAAGTTTGTATAATTAAATAAAATTTATACCATTTGAAAGATCTCATTGAGGCGATCGAAACAAGACTAATATTGAATATATATTAATTAAAATTTCAAACACATCAAACATAGGACATAATAAAAGTTAAAATACATACAACATATGTAATTTAATGTACTAGATGTTGTATGCTATATTATCATTGTGGAATAAATTAAATTTTTAAAAATATTGTTAAATTTGATTTTTTAAAATAATTAATGTTATAAAAATATTAATGTTAATAAAAATTATTATTTACATCACAAGTTATATTAAACTAATTAAATTCGAACTAATAATTGAAAAATCAAATTATTTTAGTGTAAAAATTTGGTATTTTGGTGTTTTGGTTTAAATGGGTTGGAGATGAATAAAATTTGGTATGAGAATATGCTGAAAATATTCCTTCTGATGTGACATTTACTGAAAAAATTTGGTATTTTGGAGATAGATGGGTTGGAGATCCTCTAAACGAAGGAAATGAAAATGGGAAGAAAGAGAAAATAAATAAATAGAAAAGTATGATTTTTTTTAAAAAATTATATCGACTATCACGTGTCCAAACACAAAACAACAACAAGTGTTTGAGAAAACCACGTGGCTATCATAAGCTGACAGCAAATACCATCGGATAATGTATTTTTCTAAATTAATTTTTTATTTTATTTTAATACACACATTTCACCCTAAATCCCTAATCATTTCATAATACTCAACTTTGACTCTGCAAGATTGAAGGTGATTATATATTGGATTTTTTTTTTTAAATCTCTTAAGTACTAGTTTTAGTATGTAAATATATTCGAAATTAGAAATAGAGTAATAATAATAAAAAGTGACTAGAAATGGTTGTATAATGTTGTTAAAATAATTTCGAGAGACTAAGTATAATTCCAGTGTATGTATAAATTAAAGTAGCAGAATAGTAACTAGTTTTGTTAGAAAATGAATTATTCTTCAATATAAATAATTACTATTTATACAAGAAAATGCTTAGAGAAGGCAACAATCATCAAGACAAAATAATTATTCTTGACGGTTTTGAGATAACTTCTTATATACATGTATTTTGTGCGTCAACAGTAGCTCAAAGTACGTGTTAACATGCCCCTTACTATTAATTTTGTCTAAAACATGAGTTAAAATGCACTTCTAAATTTTAAGTTACACTGATAATAATGAAAATTTATTTAATTAATTTAGATCCAAACGATTGAATTGAATACAATTGTTCTAATTAAGTACACACTATTATATGTGTACCAAATCAATTTGCAAAACCCTTTTTCATTTAAAAAATAACCTAATTATTTTCATTTTTATTTTATATTTTCTCATAGTCTTGAGAAATTTTTAAATTTTTCTCCACTAGCTAACTAAACAAATAAGATTTTAGTTGAAACCTTCCATGTTGTGTTTGCAATTTTTATTTATTTATTAAGCTAAGCTTCATTTTAATAGATAATAGTTTTTATTTCTAAAATAATAATGATTTATAAATTTAATCTTCAAATTACATAACATTGTAAATATATTTTTCTTTCTTTTGTCACTGATAAATCGACCTTAAGAGGGTATCCTTTAAAAATGACCGTATGGTCAGTATGCAACAAAACATCAACAACATCTAAAAAGAAAATACTAATGATCGAATGTATAAATCACTACTCATATTAATAATTTAAATCTATTTTTTTAAGATAACGACAAAAATCTACATCTATTATTTAAAAGTTACACTAGATAAACTCTGCTCTTGTATAATATCTTACAAATCACGTATGAAAATGTTGAAAACAATTGGATTTTTATTTTTATTTTTTTGAAAATTTGTTCACATGAATAAATAGATAAAATTCTCATATACATCCATCCACAATCAATCAATCATTGGTAATTGGGGAGTTTGCTAAAATTGAGAAAGCTCGTTTTGTTTTAGGATCAAAAAGTAGTTTTGTCGGCGAGGAGCAAACAAATGCATTGAGGTCAGCTTCGCACTAATTCCTAATATTTAACAGCTTCAAATATTTAATTGGTTTTGCCCTCTTTTTTATTTTTTATTTTGGACAACTTCAAACAATAATTTATCCAAATAATTGATGTGAAATGACTTGATTGTCTGGTCTATTTTATATTCTTTTAACAATATTTTTTTTATATTCTTTTTTTTAGTACCTTTTATATTATTTATTTGAAATTTGAATAACAAATTTTAGAGCAACACCGTTCAAGGGTTTTTATTGATTTTTGTCAATTTTTTACTTAGTTGGATGAGAGATAAGAGAGAAATTAAGAGTTTTTGTTAATTTAAATTTTTATTAGAATTGAAAAAAATATATTTTAGAGAAATTAGGTATGCTTGACTATGACTTGTAAGCGCGTATCTTTCACACACTCTGTAGGCGCATCAGGGTGATCGTCAATTGGCGACGACTCTAAATTTACTATTTTTCTTCCCTCTCTTTATTAGTTCAACTTTTCTGACAAACATAAATAAATAAAAACACAGACACACAATGGATTAGATCATAGGTGTTAATACATACCAAGTGGCTTGTAGTCCACTGGTACCCGATTGGCCCCTTATATGGGATGTCTTAGGTTCGAGCTTTGGTGAAGGCGTAGATAGTATATGTGGGTGTCCCCTTCCTTTGTAAAATACATAGGTGTTAATACATGAACAAAAAAACAATTCTTTTTTTTTTTTGTTTCATTAACAAAAAAATTGTAATCACTACTTATTAATATAACTCATTGAGAAGATATTAGCAATAATTAAATTTGTGACTTTCAAATACAAAGATCATGTTTCACCTATTCAATCACTCTTTACGAAATAAAAGATATCAATTTTTCAAGTGCTATATAGTACATTCTCTAATTTGTTAAGTCGCACTTTACAATGATATACTTAAAATGATATACTTAAGTCACTTAAGTATATCATTGTAAAATGTATATGGAAAATTAAGTTAACCTCATATTAAAATTTAAAATTTAGTTGCTGGAGAATGGTTTGATCAGTTCTGTAGAAGATCATTCCAACTATTTGAAACTATTCTTCAAATGATTATTTGACAATATAACAATTAGAGTGGCGAACTATTTAAATCACATCTCTCTACTTACTCTAGTTCAAATTTAAAATAAAAGAGTTTGATTTTCTCGTTTAGAGCAATTGAACCCTTATGCCTCATATTTTTAAATATGTTAGGATTTGACTTATATACAATATATAATTACATTTTTTTTTGGTCGTGTCAATCAATATTGATACTAATAGTATATGATATAATCATATATGATATAGCTTATTGTACAAAATACTATCAATAGATTCAACACAAATGTAAATAATACTCAATATAATCAAAGTTACTTAAAACTTGGAAGTAATCACATAAGATTCAAAGATCGACAGTCCGCGTGAGTTGTCTATTGATCTACTTGATTTGAACTAATCAAGTATGAATCAAATATAACACACTTGGAATAACGACAGTGAGCTTTACCATAAATCAAATTTTTTTACATTTTCATATTCATATGTTGTCCTTTTAGGTAAGGTGAAAAATAGGAAATAGCAAGGACAGTATAGGAATTTAATATTCATCTTTCTTCTCCCCCATGGAACCAGTAACTTAACCTACTACCTACCCAAGATTAGACTGATAAAGCATATCTTTCACTTAAATCACAATTGTACTAAAATATTACTCACAAACTATTTTCAAAAAAAAAAAAAAAAAAAAAACTATTTTCTCTCCCAAAAAACTTGAGCACTTGGGAACTGTGACAACTGTTTCTTCAAATCAGCTCAGCTCCAGAAATAAACAAATCCAATAAAGAAAGCACAACAACATAACACATAAACACCTTCACATGCCCCTCCTCCTCCTCAAAAGAGGACTGTCATTTTCCTTTCCTTGATACTCAAAAAGCACAGACAGGCATATGCTTATGTGTTTGGGTTGGTTGTGCTGTTTACCTTGGGTCTGATCTGGAAATGGGTCGCAGAAGATCCAAGGGCCGGAGTGGGTTTTGATTGATTGATTCATTGCTTGCGCTCTTTGGGTGATTTGAAACTTTCAAATTCTGTTCTACTTTTTGCTTTTTCCGGGGCGGGTAAAAAATTGGGGAGTAGCAGCAAATCAGCAATGGAGTCAAGAATGGATCAGTATGAGATCATGGAGCAGATTGGCAGAGGGGCATTTGGTGCTGCTATTCTAGTTCATCACAAACAAGAGAGGAAAAAGTAATGATTTTTATTCCTTTTTGTTTGGTTTTATGGTGTGGGGTTTAAGGTTTTTCTCTTCCAAGAATTAATTTTGTTGTCATTCTGGTTCTTGTGTCAAATGATTAGATATGTTCTGAAGAAGATTCGGTTAGCTCGGCAGACTGAGCGTTGCAGAAGATCTGCTCATCAGGAGGTGCATTGTTTGCTTCAATTGATCTTAATGTTGATTATGACTTTTAATTTCTTCTGTTTGCTCATATCATGGCTTCCTGAATTTGGAGTCAAGAATGAATTGATAATTTCCATTTCTGAATCCCCTTTGACTTGATTCACCTGGGATTTGTTTGAAACATTTAGTACAAAAAAGAAATTTCTATTTTGACTGTAAGTAGCTACCTCCATGGATAAAAACTTCCCAAATAATAAGTTTTGTTTAGACTAAGTTAAGCAACTAGAGATCACTTATTTGATTTGTAATCCCAGGTTCATCTTTATCAGATAAAATTTAAGGGATATTCTTATATAAATATCTTTGAACTTTGGATTTGTAGATGGCATTAATTGCAAGGATTCAACACCCATATATTGTTGAATTCAAGGAAGCATGGGTGGAGAAGGTGAGATGCACTGTGTTCTAAATTAAACCATTGCCGTGCTTTTATGGTAAGATCTGTTCTCCTAATGTAAATGTATGTTTAATCTCGTGTAAACTGTAATACAGGGCTGCTATGTTTGCATTGTTACTGGCTACTGTGAAGGTGGTGACATGTAAGTTTTTAAGAAACCGTAGTCCATAAGAACAATTATATCGGTATGTTTCAAATTTAAGTGCTTTTAATGGTTTAACTTTTATAGGGCTGAACTGATGAAGAAAGCGAATGGACAATGTTTCCCGGAAGAGGTATGTCGTAGATTTGACTTAATTATTTCAAGGTATCAACTCGGGATATTGTGAGATGGATTGAAGGATAGGATATAGCATTACTCCCTCGAATTACTATTATCATAGAGCTCATTATAATTGCTTTACGGTCTTCATTTGGGGATTGTTTGTCCTTTAAAAACAATGTTCTCGTGCAGAAACTTTTGAAGTGGTTCACTCAGTTACTCTTGGCCGTTGAATATCTACATTCGAATTATGTTCTACATCGTGACCTGAAAGTATGTATTTGTTATCTCTTATTGTACTCGGGGTTTTGTATGCTCGATTTCATATATATTTACCTCGACTAACTCATTTATGACGCTGTGGCAGTGCTCTAACATCTTTCTTACAAAGGATCAAGATGTTCGCCTTGGTAAGTTTGGCGTTTTTGTTCATTTGTTCAATTTGGAATCACAAAAATCCGTTCTTTAGTGATTCCCAACTAAAAATTGGTTATCCTTTTGATGATTCGTGTTTGTACAGGGGATTTTGGACTTGCTAAAACACTCAAGGCAGATGACCTGGCCTCTTCGGTATGTGCTAAATACTCAACTTTTTTTAAAATTTATTTCTTAAAATTTCTAGAAATAAGTCTGAGTATCTATATTAACATATAGACGATAGAAAATGCTCGAAAGAAGCTTGGCAATCTAGGCAGTTAGATCCCCCGTATGAACTAATATCCTTGTGGCTTCGTCTTCAGGTTGTTGGAACTCCCAATTACATGTGCCCTGAACTTCTTGCAGACATTCCTTACGGTTTTAAATCAGATATATGGTCTCTAGGTAAGTCAAGATATCAATTCATGTCGATCAATGCCAATATTGTGGACCGAAGTCCAATTGTTAGTATAATATTGACCCATACTCGGTGATATTTCATATCACGATTTAAAAGCACGATTAATATTGTTTTCTTGACCAGGTTGCTGTATATATGAAATGGCTGCACATCGGCCTGCATTTAAAGCTTTTGTAAGATATGAACACTTTCTTCGATAGTCTCTGTTTAATCCGGAAGCCAATATTCATTTGTAGTTTCTTCTGTCCTATTATGTTTCAGGACATGGCGGGACTGATAAGCAAGATTAACCGATCATCCATTGGGCCTCTTCCTTCTTGTTATTCTCCATCTTTGTAAGTATTTACTTCTCGAGTTCAAATGTTATTCATAAAATAGTCTCTTATTCATCAATTTCTCCCTCGCTCTCTATATTCCCGAGCATAACTTGTGCCTTGTTTCTTTCCTCACCCACCGTTTTATGATTGCAAAAGCTCTCACTATAACATTTCCATTCTTTCCTTGCCTTTATGTCGTTATGGTTCTTTACTGTTCGGAGATAAATTCCGGTTTTACATATATATACATTTTTCGGGATGGGTGTCTGGTCTGATGTGAGGATGATTTTAAACAGGAAAGCACTTATTAAGGGCATGCTAAGAAAGAATCCCGAGCATCGGCCTAGTGTAAGCCCTTTCGAAAACAGATTCTTGAAGTTTTTTATTCTGTGAGTTTTACTGATTACTTGAGCTCAACTTTGTCAGGCATCAGAGCTCCTGAAACACCCATATTTGCAGTCCTATGTTGAACAATATCGCCCGTCTGTTAATCCTCCTCCAGCTAGGTCGCTTGAAAAACCTGGGAGCACGGGTAATGACAGTCGAAAGAGTATGGCCGAAAGCCTAAGTAGCACGAGCTCTTGCAGCGATAGAGATAGTTTTATGTCGAGCGAGAAAAACATCCATGTTTTGGCTTTGAATTGTGACAATAATAAGGGGTCCGATGCCAATTTGGCCTTTGCCGATGATGAAATTGAGTGTGGCCACGGGGATGAACGTGGAACGGATACTTGTAGTGAAAAGACGGAGGATCAGGAGGCGGCGGGAAATCTCTTGCAGAACGAAAAGAGATCTAATTTGGAATCTAAACAACCTAGAACGATAAGGAATATAATGATGGCATTGAAAGAAGGGAAAGGTAGAGAAAATAGCTCTCCTATGAGAGGCAACCGAGCAAAGTCTAGTTCTCCGGGCACACAGAAAGCTCTTGAAGTGTCGCCTAAAGTCCCGAAGCCAAATTCTGTTAGCCCTAGTTCTAGGACTAATGTCGAGGGATCTGTAAAACGGGCGCATTTAATGCCTTCTCTGAAGCATCAGGTATCAATGCTTTTAACTTATTTGGTCTAATTAGCTTTCCCGGGTTTTGCTTAGTTTATGCATTTGTTTTTAACTTTTCTGTGTAGTTGCCCGCTATTGAATCGTCCCCGAAGACTAAGCCTAAACACGAGGGGGTTTCTCCGGGGCCTGTGAAGGAAGAGGGATTGCCTTCAAGGGTGAGACAAAAAACGCCTCCTAGTTTAATTAGGCGACCATCGTTTCCTTCGAGGATAAGGCAAGCCGGGAATGATGCTGCTCCAGTTTCTGTGGATCCCGAAGTGAGCCCCAATTCCATGTCTCATGGCTTTCATATCCATGCTTCAAAGGATAGTAGCAATTCCGCTTCCTCTTCAGTATCAATTCAAGGATTTGAAGTTTGTGACTCGACGACAACCCCATTTGTTAAACTTGCTGAACAGGCTATAGATACAGACAGCCTAGGATCAAGACCGTCTTGTTCGGTTACTACCTCCACGCAGTCTGATGTTCCCGATGGTTCATCCCGGGATAACCTTGAACATAAGATCAAATTCGAAGACAGCCCGGATGACATTTTCGAGGAACGCCATCAACAAATGGATGATCCAATTGTAGCGGTGGAGAACGCCCTCCCAGATTCAGAATCAACAACGGTTGGTTCCAAAGACGATGCTCCAACCGGAACGCCCGCTAGCTGTTCTGACGTGGAGCAGTCACCCGCCATTCCCGTGCCCGGTGGCGATGACAAGCACATGGTAAAAGAATTCGTCTCTTCAGCAACCAATGGTGCCACTCCAACTGCTGCTCCCATTTCTTCGAGCCAAAAGAATAACCACATTTCAGTATTGAAGGATGATGACAAGTTCACTTTGAAGGAACTATTATTGCCACCAACCGATCCGTCCAATCCCTCCCCCGTTATCCCTCCTGTGTCAACAACGCTGGAGACTTTACTGCCCGAGAACGGGACTTTTCTGCAGGATATCGATAAACCATCCCCTAGTCACACTACACCGGCTTTTGATGATGTCATACACGTGATCCGGCACAGTAGCTTCCGAGTTGGTAGTGAGCAGCCACTGATCAAAACTGCGGAGAGAAACGCAGATGTTGTTGGGAAGCTGATAAACGTGGTAAGAGACGAGCCCGACACTGCAACCAAGGAAATAGACACGAAAAACCTCAGCAACCCCAACAGCTCTCCGGCTCCAATTCAAGATTCTTGTGAACCGGCAAAAGCAGCAGAGGAAACGCCAGTAAAAGAGATATTAGACGTAAAGTCATTCAGGCAGAGGGCAGAGGCGCTCGAAGGGCTATTAGAACTCTCAGCTGACTTGCTCGAGCATAATAGATTAGAAGAGCTGGCTGTCGTTCTGAAACCTTTCGGGAAAGAGAAGGTCTCCCCGAGGGAAACCGCAATCTGGTTAGCTAAGAGCCTGAAAGGAATGATGCTGGAAGAGTCTGCTCAGAGTTCATGATTACTATCCAAAAGGTTAGCCTTCTGCATTTTTTGCTTGGTTCAATTCTCCAAGAGAAATGCTTACATCTGTCTACTTTCCCTCTTTCTTTCTTTTTTTTGTTTCTTTTTCTATAATGTTTTTGTTATTCTTTTATTTAGTGAAGTGTACATATTGAGGATATAAACCCTGTTTTTTAATTCCTTTTTCCCACTGCAAGTGTAAGAATATGTTGTATAACATTGTACATTGTTGACATTTATTGGAATTATACTGATTTGTCATGCTGTTTATTGTTAGTGTACATTTTTCAACATTGTACAATATGATAAGTGGATTTGCACTTTATTATTAGGCAAGTTTGTAAGCTATCCATATATGACTTTCACAAACAAGTCAAAAAACATACTATGTTTTAAGGCAAATTATACCATGGACCAGGGTCTACCTTGCATTATAGACCCTGGTCCAAAAATAACTTTCACATTATGTATCTATAGTCCTGTAGCTATCATATTATGTGTCAGCAATTATCAAGCTATTTGTTTACATGTACAGAAATGTTAACTGAAAGTACAGAATTTTTTGTGTCGTGATCCATAGTATAACAAAATGACAATTGATGTTTTAATATAATGTTGATAGAGTTTAGCATGCTATCCTTGTATAGTTTACCCAAACAAGCGTAAGAGTGTCACAACTCACAAGATGTGTGTCACTAATCCAAAGAAGAAGAACCTTGGTCCCACATTCCTTTATGTTGGGTGAATGTTTTATCATCATCTTTTTCAATATAATTAGCCCATAGTCTAAGCAATGGGCAATATTTGTTAGGCTTTATTGTTGCCTCATTCTTCTTCATGGATTGGGCCTTATGATCTCTGGTATTTTCTCCAAAATAGTACACCTTACTATCCATAACTCCATTAATATGCTATACAATGTATAAGTATTGGCAATAGTTATATCATGGAGACATAGATGAGGATCTATTATGCGCATTGAGGAAATCATGTTTAGATTATGTACTTGTGAGAATTGAGTATTAGACTTCTTGATTTGAGTTAGTTAGTCATAAATAATTTAAATTAGTTTATCATTGTAGATTTTTGTTGGTTAGAATCACAAGATGGGGTTCACTCAAAGTGTATTTTTTAGTATTTGGTACATGTTTTTCATAATCAAAATTAACATATTATGTACTCATGGAAACAATATATTTACTTCTTGATTTGAGTCAATCAAATATGGGCAACATAGTTTACCTTCTTGTGATTTTTTGCCAGCTAGGATCGTAATGCGTGAATTATCCAGTGCACATTTTTGGAATCAAGACCAGTTTGCATGAGTTCCATCGATAGATCCACATGTTGCATGCCCATAGACGGCGGACTAGCCATGAGGAACCCGACATTGACGACGATTACCCATGTTCTCCATAATAAATAGGAGTTCCCAGAATACTAATTACGTGCGCATCTTAATACGTAAAACCAATTATGACAATTATAAATTTACCCTCAAATTTAACATAAGATGAATGAAAAAATAAACGAAAGACTACATTGAGCAAACTCGCAAAAATAAACGAATGACTATATTGAGCAAATCGCAAAAGTATATGACTATCACCAAAATTGAATAGGACAAAATCAAGAAAAACTGCCAAAAATTAATTTGAATATTAACTCTTTCTGAAATGGAAATCAATAATGACAGAGGGAGTAGTTGAGAATATTTACCCACGTGTTGGGTGGGCCCCAGACTGCACACTCGGTTAAGTCGATTTCCAGTCATCTGGACTGTGGTGCTGGATTCTCTATCATGGGCGATCAAGCTACACCACCGGTTACCGGCTACCCAGCTGCCGCCGGCGTGCCGCCGACCAACTCCAACGGCTACTACTCTAACCGCCCACCACCTTCCGGCACCGCCTACGCTTATGCCGCTCCGCCACCCCGCGCCTACAACAACAATTATAACTACAACCCTTACTACCAGCAGCCGGGCCCCGATGCCATCCGGCGCGCCATGTTTCTCCGCCGCGTCTTTGCAGTGATCATCGCCCTGTTCATCATCATCGGCACGGTGTTCTTCATCATCTGGCTCGTCCTCCGCCCCCGCATACCCGAGTTCCGGGCCGATTCGCTATCGGTGTCCAACTTCAATCTGTCGAATAACCTCGTCACCGCGAATTGGGAGTTTCAATTCACGGCGCGGAACCCTAACAAGAAGATATCTCTCGACTACGAGCACATTTACGCCGAGATTTTCTACGACGACGAGTCGCTCGCGGAGACCAGTGTGGCGCCTTTCTATCAAGATTCCAGGAATGAGACTACATCGAAGGCGGAATTCGCGGCGAAGGGAGCGTTCGTGGAAAATTGGGTTGTGGAGAGGATCAACAAGGAGAGGCCCGACATTGTGTTCAGGGTTTGGATGTTGGCTAGGGTCAGTTTCAAAGCCGGATCCTGGAGGACCCGGAGCCGATACCTGAGGGTATTTTGCGGCGGTTTGACGGTAGGGTTTGCGCGGAACACCTCTTCCGGTAACCTTGTCGGAGCGCCTAGACAATGCCGAGCAGGGCTGTAGTTGTGCTGGCTTTTATTCACTGAGGTGAATTTTCGTCTGAACTTTGCTTGGATAACTAGGCTATTCGAATCTGTATCTGATTGAATTAATTGCTAGCTATTATGTTTAGGACAAGAAATTTTATGTGGCTAACAATGATTGAGTTTGGGCAAATTATGGTATGATACAGGCCAAACCGATTGACTTTTAGTGTTATATGTTGGTGTACAGCTCTTTAGGATATGATCATGATTAATATGGATATCTTGAATTGGTCTCTGCAACTTAGTTTCTGTGTTCTGTTGCTAAACAATAGAATTGCAGGTTTCGGTGTTAAAGCTCGTAAATTTGCAATTAGATGTCAAGTGTAAGATTGAGATTGAAATTCTACTGCTTTTCGACATAATGGTTTTGAATTTTGATCGTTTCATAACATATCAGTATATGAACTCTACCGGTGTCTGTTTTGTGACTTTTGTTGTCTTAAGTTACGTTTTTACTACTTAAACTTACATAAATGAGTACAAGTATAGATGAGCCGTGGTTCATATAACAAGGTATTGTTTTTACTCTTTGGGTTTATAATATATAGTATCATGTGTTTATGAATTGAATTTGTTGGTATGTTTCTGAATTCTTCCAATTATGTATTGCCTGGAGCTTGATATTTCTCCGATCTCTTTCCTAATTGCTTGAAATAGTTCTGAGCCGCAAGTTTCAAATCATGCTCTTTAGTATCTTAACCTTAATTTGTTACTATGAGTCTAAGACTGACGGTAGCATTCTTTCACACCTGTGCATCTTTATGGTGCTTTGTTAGATCATGTATTTTATTTTAATTGCCAGTTTTAGTGTTCATTTTGTATGAAACTTATAGCACCATGGAGACACACACAAGTGGAGACAGATTTTAGGCCAGTGGGGTGAAACTGTGTGTTCTTAAGAATCATATCGTGCCTATTTGTGACTGTAGTTTGAGATCCTTAGTTCAATCTGACTGCCTGCATATCTTCCTTGAACTAGATCCTTAGTAATTCATCTAATCATTTCTGAACTTCTTGATGCTTTCTTTGATGGATAAATCTGGAACCATTTGATGATTTCTGGTCTGAGAAGTTGATCTTAGCCGACTGTTTGAAACAGGGATTTTAGAAGTCTTTTTTTTTTTTTTTTTTTTAAATGGCAGTTGATTTGTGTGATTCTTTCCATGCATTGGTATATAGGAAAAGATGAGGAATATGAGCAAGTGCATAGTGTGGTTTAGGGCATGTTTGTTTTATTTGTTGAATGTTAAGAAGCTCAAATTCGGTCTAACTCATAACCTGAAGTACTCAAGCTCGGCTCGATAGTAATTGAATCGAACTTGAGCAACTCACCAATAGTTTGACTAGTTTATACCTCTATCCTGAATTGTTTTGACCAAGACTCGATAAAATACAGATATCAATGCAATATGAAAAGGTATAGCCGTATAGGTTTCTAGTTGAGTTCATGGTATTGTTTGGGTTAAAGCTTTAGCCTTTGCATTAATAATAATGCTATTTTCCCCTCTAGTTGAGTTCATGGTATTGTTTGGATTAAGCTTTAGCCTTTGCATTAATAATGCTATTTTCCCCTCTTAAAAGGTATATAGGCTTCTAGTTGAGTTTATGGTATTGTTTGGATTGTTTGGATAAAGATGACCATTAAGCTTTAGTCTAAGTTGATATTTGGATCTTCACTAGTGGGCCGGTTACTTTTTCGACACATTTCAAGCAACATGTGGACCATATTCTCTTTGTATCAGGTGACGTAGATATTTGAATTCATGACATTTGGCATGAGTGTGTTGACTGTGTTCTATCATAGTTGAAAACTGCACATTTATGTTTATATTTTATATGTTCAACAAGTGTTTACTTTTCAAGCATGATCGTGAATTAACTTATAAGCTAATAAAATAAAGATATTTATTCTGGTACAACTTTTTTTTTTTTTTTGTTTAATGTAGTAGGTAAGCTTTTTGAAAGTATTCCTTACTTTGTCATGTCATCTTACTCCTCGTTTGGGATTGAGTTTATTTAGAATCTTAGAAGCTAGGGAAAATCAGCACTCCTTTCTTGCTATATGTTATGTTCCCTCCACTTTATAATATATCTTCTCTTCTAGTGCATTGTCACTTTACCACCACCAAACACTTCTATTGCATTGTCACTTTACCATCACCAAACACTTCAATTAAGGTCCAATAATTTATCAACAATAAACTGACAAATATCTTTTTTACCATAAGTACTTGAACTATGTACTTTATGCTGATATAACATATTTTGAACTTTTGATTGATTAAAAAACAAGTAGATCGTAATTTTTACACAATTTTTTTCAATAAAAAAAAAATTGAATGCAAAACAGGTTACCAAACACTTATTTTTACTATCTTAAAAAAAAAACACTTATTTTTACTTATTGACTTGACCTGACAAACTAAAACTTGAATGATCAATCATTACGTGTGCGTGTATATTGTTAATTGAGTATAATTCCATTATTATGTATGATATTGTAACTATCGTGTCTATCAACGCTAATGATAAGTTAATAAGCAATGTAAAAAGAAACAAAATTCAGCCCGCATAGACTTAGGTCATTGATTTAGTAGGCAGTATTTGAGAGAAGAAATTGTATGAGTGATTTACATTCTTCCAAATATTATGTCAAACTGAAATGTGGGAACCCTAGGATTGAGAATTTAACCAAGAGAAGAAGAAATAAAGTTCAACTTGTTAGACTACTTTTTCAGTACATTTCAAAGCAAATTATTACCCTTTGTCATACTAGACTTTAGACATAACTAGCCGCCTATTATGCATGCTACGGTTATGCCTTGAGAAATCCAATTTTAAATTTTCCTATAATTAAACCTAGTATTTAATATGGAGTACTTAATAGTGTATGTTTCTCCGTTAGTCCGTTACCTTTATTGGTCCTTCGTCGTTTGAGTTCATCCAACGTTATCGCCGCCGCTACTTCTGTTTCCTTTACGTTTGCAAGCCGTAATAATAGAGCTCATGTTAGATGATTTTTTATAAGAAATTGGGGAATAAATAAGCAAAATTAAAAATGAAACGCTACTCAAAGTAGCGTCGTGTTGGATTTTGGCTAATTGGGACCAATTAGTTAAAGAGAGAGAGAAAAAAAAAAAAAACTATTTATCAAACATTTACTTTAGCTTATTAATATTTTCAGTAACTAAAGTTTGTCAAGCAAGTTGATAAAATTTTTATGATCAACAATTTTTCAAACACCCACTTAGAGTTACATTACGTTGTTTGATATGATACTTCCTGAGAATTGTTTATAACTAAATGAGTGGAAGATAATCAAGAAAATTGTATATAACTAGGTGAGTAAAAATTGATCAAGAGCTTGGACAATATAATAGATTATGTGTGTGTGTATATTGTTAATTGAGTTGTTTTGTAATTCCATTATTATGTACTTTCAATATCATAAACTATTGGTACATGATATTGTAACTATCGCGTCTATCAACGCTAATATAATGATAAGTCAATAAGTAATGTTAAAGCAACAAAACTTAGCTCGCATGAACTTAGGTCACTGATTTAGTAGGCAGTATTTGAGAGAATAGACTGTGGGGGTAATTTACATTATCTCAAATGCTCTGTCGAATTAGAGTGTGGAGATCCTTGGAGTTGATAATTCAACCTTTTAAAAGAAGAGGAAACAAAACTCAACTTGTTATACTACTTTTTCAGCTACTACATACCATACTAAATAACATCATCAATGACGATATTAAAATAAAGAGAAAATTTCAATTTTGGTCATATGAGTATATGACTATAGGGGTCTTGTTAATTTCAGTCTTTGACTTTTAAAAGTGTCAATTTAGTACCTTAACTATGCAATTTTTGTCAATTTTAGTCACTCCAGCCAAATTTCGTCGAAAAATTTTAATAGTTAAAATAATGAGGGTATTTGGTCATTTCACGACTCTTTTCGTCTCTCCGGCGAGTCCATTTCTTTCTCTCTCATATATGACGTTCTTTCTCCCTCTAAACCCTATCTTTAATATCATCAAGCCTTTTTTCTCCATCATCTTAGTTCATTCATCGGAAACGGGAGAGGAAGAGATTGACTCGTTTGGGAAGAAAAAATGAGACGTGAAATGATCAAAATACCCTCATTTAACAATTAAAATTTTCTGGAAAAATTTGGCCGACAATTTAGCCGGAGTGACCAAAATTGACAAAAATTGCATAATTAAGGTACTAAATTGACACTTTTAAAAGTTAAGGACTTAAATTAACAAGACTTTTATGAGTTAATACCCAAAATCGTCCTCGACTATAGTGATTTTTCTCAATTTCGCCCTAAACGACTTTGGTGACCTAATATCGTCCCAGACTTTTGTGTTTCGCTCAATTTAGTCCTCCATGTGTTATTCCGTCAAATTGGTGTTAAATTAAGGGACAATTCAGTAATGTCAATATTGATCTCTCTTTACTTTCAACTTGTGAAGTGCGAAATTCCTCTTTCTTGTACGAATTACACCCAGAATTACTCCTAGACCTGCAAATCAAATTTTATATTCGCAGTTTTAAGAGTAATTCTGGGAGTAATTCGTAAAAAAAAAAAAAAAAAAAAAGGATTTCGCAGTTCACATGTTTATGAGTAAAGAGATGCCAATATTAAAATTACTGAATTATCTATTTATTTAAGACCAAATGGACAGAATAACAAATGAGGGACTAAATTGAGTAAAAACACAAAAGTCTAGGACTAAATTGAGCGAAACACAAAAAAGTCTGGGACGATATTAGGTCACCAAAGTCGTTTAGGACGAAATTGAGAAAAACCACTATAGTCGAGGATGATTTTGGGTATTAACTCAGACTTTTATAGTCATATGACCAAAATTGAAATTTCCTCTTAAAATAAATGAGAGCATAATTTTATTAAACAAAATTCATTTAAAACATTGTTATGTTTGAGTTGTAAATTATTCTCACATCTTATAATTCATTTCACTAAAATCCAACTACAAATAGGAATATAATTAATCTCACTCAAACTTTCCATTCATTCCAATTAGAAAAACAAAAAACAAAATAAAAAAAATTATTACTTTTGGTAAAGGTAGTATTATGGAGTGTTTATTAGTTTGTTTAAGAATTAAGATGACAAGACACGCAAAGAAAATAGTTGGCACTAAAAAACAATTTAAATGTCACTGTCAGGAATCTTAATTATCTCTAATTTAATGGTTTGTTTGGAAACTAAATGACTTTCGCAATTTATTTTTCAATTTTTTTTCTTGTTTGGATATAAAAAAAAAAATCAAATGAAAATATTCATTATTGTGAATTAAAAAGGCTCATATTTGCATCAATAATTATCTCTAATTTAGTGGTATGTTTGGAAATTCAAATCCGTCACTAAAATGTAGATCCTTCCCAATATTCCTCACAAATCTCTTACTAATTCGTCGCTAAATGTAAATTTAACCAAAAAAAAAAAGATTATCACTAATTTAACAACAGAATAGGTTATTTAGTGCCAAATAAATTTTGGTTTCGTACAAATAAATTTTGGTTTTGTACCAAGCATTGACTTAAATTAATTTTCTAAAAATTAAATTATATTTTTCGTTATGCCCAACATTAGTATGCAATGTTAAAATCATAGTTATAATTTTTTTAAAAAATAATATTTTATAATTTTAAAAAATCATAAAATTTATAGTTGTAGAATTCATATTATATATTAAAAGGTATAGTTGATAATTTGGTTAATAATTATGGTATGATTAATAATTGTAAAAATATGAATTTAGATGCGGTAAATGATTAAATATAATTATAGTATAATTTAATGTATATTGGCCAAAGTTTGATAGAGTAAGATACTTTTGTCTGTTAAAAATGATAGTATAATATTTGTAGCGTATATGTACAATTCAATAAGTATAGAAATACGGAGAGTACTAATCTTGATTCCCCCTTACAAGTTTTTTAGTTTTTAGATATTTATATTATACAACAACAACATTTACATATTTGATATTTATATTTTAGGAAATGATTAACTAAAATGTAAATGAAATCAAATTTATTTATTATATATTCTAATATAATATCTACATATATTATTACAATTAAAGAATGTAAGAAAAAATATGGTGGGTGGTAATAATGAAAATAGATAATGAAAGTTATAACGATATAGACATTGTTGTCCAAAAAATTATATAATTTTATAACTTAATATATCAAAAAATGTAATAGAAAAACAGACATAAATGAATGATAACAATTTTCATTCACTCTTATTACTAATGATAATGATTTAATGAATATATAAATATGATGATATGATGTATTAGGTGACACTTTTTTCTTTTGAAACTTTTTAAGAAACAAAATAAAGAAATGGAGAATGAAATTTGGAGAAGTGAAAAGTGAAAAGAAAATATTGAGAAGTGAAGTAAAGCTGGTTCTGAACCCAGTGATCTTCCCAAGAGGGAATTCAGTGTGCAGAGTTTACGTTTCGTCACTTCCCAGTACCCACTGCCATCATCTCCTTCATCTTTCTTCTTCTTTTGATCTTCAAATATAAATATATATATATATATACGTTCCTGCAGACTCTTGCCGTACACCTTTCATTCTCATTTCTTACACAGACACCCAGAAATCTGCAATGGGAGTTCCTTCGTTCTACAGGTGGGTGGTTAACAAATACCCAAAAATAGTAGAGGACGCTGTCGAGGATGAATCCTCAGTTCCCTCAAACAAACGCGAGTTCGACAACTTTTATGTTGACATGAATGGGATCATCCATGCCTGTTTCCACCCAGAAGATGATGTGATGATCTTGTCTCTCTCCGCTTCTTTTTTTGAATTTTTTTCTTGGTCAATGCCCTTTACGTTTCAGTCTTTCCCTTGTTAAGACTGTACACTTAATTGGTTTTTTCAGAGATTTGGGTTTTTAGTTTTAAACTTGGTTTTTTGTTTCAATGCTCAGCTCTTCCCTCCAACGACGTATGATGAAGTTTTCCAGAAAATCTACGATTACATTGATCGGCTGTTCAACATCGTACGGCCTCGGAAACTCCTGTACCTGGCCATAGGTGAAGCCTTAGTACCATAAGATGAAACTGTAATGTTAACTGTAATTGACAGTTGGTCTTAGGTTGTATTGCTGCAAAGTGGAAACACAGTTTAGTTTAAGCACAATTGCCTAATTGAGTTACATGGAAAATTGTCCAAGCTTAAGTTGTCTAATCACAGTTGATGAGTATTGCTGTCTAATCTTTCTTAAATGCTAAGAAATCTCAAGACAACCTTGAAACCTATTCTCTTGGAGTTTTCATTGATTTGTGAAATAATTCTAAGAATGTTTGGTGTGAGTTTATGCAGATGGTGTTGCGCCACGGGCCAAAATGAACCAACAAAGAGCAAGGCGTTTTCGGACAGCTAAGGATAAGGACATAATTGTAGGTCTCCTGTCTTACATAAGTACATGTTAATTTACTAGGACTAGTTTATGCTGTGCTTTTGTGGTATATGGTCATAATAGGTTTAGAGAGACATTGATAGGATTGAGTGTATAATATGGTGAAACAGGAAGAAGAGGAGATGAAACTGAGAGAGAAGTATAAAAGAGAAGGTAAAATTGTCCTAGACAAAGAGGAGTCTGAAGTGGACGATTCGAATGTAATCACCCCTGGGACATTGTTTATGTATATACTTTCTGAGAAATTACAAATTTACATCCAAGAAAGGATCCGTGAAAATCCAGGGTGGAAGAATATTAAGGTTTACTCTTTGTTCTCTAAGACCTTAAATTTCTGTTCTTTGGTTTTGAGTGAATAGAAGTCTAATGATGCAATATATATATATATATATATATATATTTTTTTTGCAGGTTATTCTCTCTGATTCCAATGTTCCCGGTGAAGGGGAACACAAGATAAACTCTTTTATACACGCCCAACGTATGTTTCCTGGTTACAATTCCAACACACGCCATTGTTTGTATGGCTTGGTATGAATTTTTTTATTTTTTATTTTTTTTCCCGCAATTCTACCTGTGAAATTTATGCCCATATTTGCGTTTATTTTAATTGCTTTTGTTAAGTTTTTCCCCAATACTATGCAGGATGCTGACTTGATTATGTTAGCATTAGCATCACACGAGCTTCACTTTTCAGTTTTAAGGGAGGTAATAGAAGTTTTCTTCCAGTCTATATTTTTGTCAGTGATGTTTCCATTATAATCGTGAAGGCTTTTTGTTTATTCTCCTTGTTCATTTTCCCAGAATGTTCTTAATGTGAATGATCAATCGAATCACTTATCATCTCTTGAACTTAGTATGCGAAAGGCAGAGAATCCTACAACGAACAGTAGAGGATGGTTTAAACAGGTGGAATTGGAATGAACTCTTGTTAATTAGTTTATATGTTTTCTTTACTAATGCCTTATAGTTGTTATCATCGTTACTGTTTTAGAACTAAGTTAGACTTAATTATTTTGACAAATTCAGTCTGACAAGGGGAAGCAAATTCATGCAACAAAGAAAGATTTTCAGGTACTTTATCGTTTAAACTGATACTATGGTGCTTTATATGATTGGTTAATCTTATTCTTTGTTTATATTTGCAGTTTCTTAAGGTTTGGGTGCTCCGGGAGTACCTTGATCTTGATATTAGAGCTAAACTTCCCGAAGATTGTAAAGCTGATTTGGAGAGAGTAGTTGATGATTTCGTGTTCATTTGTTTCTTTGCGGGAAATGATTTTCTTCCTCACATGCCCACCCTCGAGATTCATGAGGTGTTTCTCGTTTCTTTCGTGATTGACAATATTTCACGATATCTTAGAGTTGTTAAACTAATATCTCTTTTACCACAGGGGGCACTTGATTTACTTTTGTATGTCTACAAGGAAGGATTCAAAAACCGCGGTGATTATTTGGTTGACATGGAAAGGGTACAATTTTTTTATAAAATTTAATTTTAGCGGTAGACGGATGTAATGTGAATGTTTTCAACAAACTGTGATTGAAAACAGGTTGACGACCCGAGGGGCTACATTAAGTTGTCAAGAGTTCAAAGATTCATACTTTCTGTTGGTGAATTTGAAGAGAAGATATTTAAGAAAAGAATGGAAATTCGAGAAAAAAGAGTTAGACGGGTACTTTTAGAATCCCGAGATGATGTGAGTTCGTTAACTTGTTAAGTGACTCCAATTTTGATCCACTTTACATTTATTTTTGCTATTTCGTTTCTTGTTCTCCAAGACTTCTGCAAATTTGTTACTTGTGGCACCAGGATGCGGAGGAAGTCAATATGGAAAACATGACGAACCAATTTGACGTTGCAGTCTCTCTCGGCTCTGATAACCCGCAAACTTCTGACGTTTCTCTTGTATGCCATTGGTCTTTTTTTGTTAATGTTTAACTGTTTTCCCGAGTGGGATTTGTTATTCGTGTAACGTTTTCCCTATATTGTTATTATTATTATTAAGTCTATTATTATATAATAACAATAGTAATTTAAGTGGTGCAAATCAATAGGCTGACTAAGTATTAGAACTTAGTCAGCATTAGGTAATTGGTTACCTACATTGATGGGATGTAGGTTATTTAGACCCCTAAGTCCTCTCACTGCTCGGTTGACGTATCATACACCTATCTAGAGTCACTGAGAGAAGTGAGAGAAACATAACTGAAACTTACGCAGATTCTACAGCAGCCCGAGGAACTTCTGCAACGAGTCCCTGGTGATCAAGAATCAAAGCTATGGCTGGAGGTTGGTGATCCTAACTCTTTTCCTTAGCCACGTATTTACTGTTTATAACGTGGATTATGTGCTTACATTTGGTATCAGAGCCAATTTTATCTCTGCCTAGCCTTGTTTAAATTGCACAATTCAGTTTTTTTTACATATGCTATATTGATTCGGAGGACATAAATGTAGAGTTTCGAGGGTTACATTAAGTCCCGACTTTTGTAGGCTTTAAGCAATACGAAGGATTTGAAGCAGGAGCTGAAAGACATCATCCGTGCAAATGCTGATACGTTTAAATATGGCGGTGCGGTGGATAAGGTTAATGTTATGCCCATCTTTTTTTCATTAGTTGTTTTCTCGGAGGAAAGCTCGTTGTAATTTTTCTGTTTTCAACAGGTAAAATTCGGTGAAGCGGGCTGGCGGGAGCGGTACTACACTGAAAAATTTAAAGTGGAAAGCGGTGGAGATATAGAATCCACGAGAAAGGCTGTTGTATGTTTTTCGGTGCCCTTGAAGCGTATTATGACCTATTAAGTGTTTTTTAAGGTTGTATTTTAGTAAGAATTTCTTTGTTGTATGTTTCTCTTTTGCAGGTTGCGAAGTACACCGAAGGCCTACATTGGGTCTTGTTGTACTACTATAAGGGGGTGCCGTCGTGGAACTGGTAAGAAACTAACGAGGTTAAAACAAATAGAGATTGATCTATATGAATTATTGACGTGATTGTGTCATTAGGTTTTATCCATATCACTATGGTCCATTGGCGTCGGACTTGAAAGGAATGTCTCAAACGAAGGTGAAATTTCAGAATGGGCAACCGTTTAAACCTTTTGATCAACTGATGTCTGTCCTTCCTCCCAGGAGGTAAAACATTTACATTTTACATTCACGGTTTTTGTCTTGTTTTTTTTCGGGCTCGTGTTCTTGAGTTGTGTGTTTATATATCCTTCAGTGCTCATGCTCTCCCAGAAGCGTACGGGTCTCTCATGCAAGATGAGAATTCGAACATCGTTGAATTTTACCCTACTGGTAATTCCTATCCAATTTTTTTGATTAGGCTATAATTTTTTATTTGTTTTGCGGTGTTGATTCTTTATTTCCCTTGTCTTTTCGATGTTCAGTGTTCGATACTGATCTTGATGGGAAGCGATTTACATGGCAGGTTTGATTTTGTTTCGCTATATATTCTTTGATGTGCCTTGCATATTTAAATCTCTCATTGATCTTATCTAAGAAAATGCTGTGTTTCTATCTTTACTGTAGGGTATAAGCAAGCTGCCATTCATTGATGAGGAACGTCTCTTAGTTGAGACAAGGAAACTCGACAAAGATCTTACGGTATTTAGTTTGGAATGACTCCGTACTTATTAAGCATTATTAATCGGATGATAGATTTAGGCACAGATGATTTCGTTTGTAAATTTGAGTCTGTTAATGTAGGACCTTGACAGAATGAGGAATATGGAGACTGCCGAGTTGTTGTACATGGAGGGGTCGTGTAAACTTGCGTTGTGTATTATGTCGTCTTTCAAAAATCGTAAAGGATTACAAGAAAACGATGCCATACAAATAGATCTCGCTTTGAGGCAAGTGCAACATAGCAGACTGTCCTAATAGAAAAAAATTCTTGAATATATATATGCTTACACGCTTTTGCGACATGGTTTGATTGTTCACCGTGCAATTTTGCAGTGATGGAGTTAGCGGTCTTGTGTGGAGTAAAGATTATTGTACCAATGATCTGCCAATAGACACTTTGTAAGTCGTTTTATTATTTGCTCGTTGGAGTACTAAATATGCATGTTGGGTTTGTAATTGTAATGGTTTTGTTATTCTTTTAGGTGTGTGTTTTATCGGACTTCTCCGTGCTCTTCTTCTCTTCCTCGAGTACTAGCTGGTACCGATTTCCCTGAACAGGTTTGTACTCGTTAACAAAGCTTGTAAGAAGTTGGAACGTCTGTGTTGCTTCCTCCCGCTTTTTGGGACTGTTAAGAGTCCCACATTGATAAAATAAGATAAACATATGGGTTTATAAGGCCATGAGTTAGAGTAACTAATTTGTTGTATTCAATATTTTAGTGTGGTTTGGCTCATTAGCCCAACCTTAGTTTATAACATTGAATTGGTTTTCTGCAGATTGTTTTCGAAGCTGACATTGGAGAAACAGTGCTTTGGCACGAACTCAACGGTAGACCAGGCTACAGTTCCTCCCACAGGTATGACTACTCGAATGCTTTTTTTTTTTTGTTTTTTTTACTTTCGTATTGTCTCTTAGGTTGTTACATTCTTGAGAACGTATAATTTGGAACATAGGTATCATAATAATCATGGATCATCGATGGGTAGGGCGAGTAATAGCCCAAGAAATCATAGGAATTCTGTTCCTGACGAGTTTGTAAAAGGTTCTGGTTGTGGATGGGGTGGTTGCGGTGGAAGGCACTTTTCTGAACCTGAATTGCAGAACCATAACAATTTCCCAAGATATAGTCCATCTAGACCTGTTGCGAATTCTAGAATTCATCCATCATCGTCTCCCCGGGAAAGACCATATTCTAGACAACCAATCGGGACTCCAAGCAATCAAGGGTATAGGTCTAGATCACCATCAGTTGTTGCTCCACCGCAATCTTTCTTTGCTCCGACTGTTAACCCCTGGGTACGAGGGAATGCAGGCCCCAGAAACAGCGGGCTAGAGAGTCAATGGCGGGTGCCTGCACCAGCAGCAGCTGTTGCTCCCGCTGATAACCCTTGGATACGAGGGAATGCGGGCCCCAGAAATAGCGGGCTGGAGAATCAATGGCGGATGGCTGCACCCCCACCTGCTGCTCCGACTGATAACCCCTGGATACGAGTGAATGCACGCTCCAGAAATAGCGGGCTGGAGAATCAATGGCGCCCGACTGCCCCAGCAGCGGTCTCTAGAGGAGGACAGCCTGGTTGGAATAACCAGAACAGAAGATAGAAAATGCCATTATTCTGACTTTCTGTTCCACTAAGTAGCCAAATTTGATTACAGGCTGACAAAAATATGGGCATGGGACATCTGTTTTGTGGGAATGGATACTGAGTTTTGGGGATACATTAATATAACAACCAGCTGTTTTTTGCTTATTACTATAATGTTACCTTAATACATTGGAACGCATAATGTGTTGTCATTTTCTTGGTTTTCAAACACAGCCCATTAGCCAACTTTGGTCATAATATGGATATTGATTGTTCCCAAATGATTAAAAGGAGCTAGAGTTTAAAGGCGACATAAACGACTAGGACAATGATTATCAAGTTTTGAATACATAAAATTTTCAAGTTTTTGTTCACGGGTACTTCGATGATACAAATATGAATCAAAAACACTATTTCTGTATCATCTAGAGATTAAATACATAGACATACAATTATAACTTTGTTTGACATGGAAAGATGCTATTTTATGCATTGTTAGATTAGACATAGTCCCTGCCCTCGCACGGCAGCCTTTGTCAGTATTAGAAAGCTTGCTGCAGTTACAAGCTTTCTATCCAACATGACAAAAAAAAAATTAAAATAAAAATAACTTTTAAAAAGTCACATCATCTAAAAATAGGAGAATTACTGGAATGAGGTTAGCCTTAGATGTTACACCTATTATGGTAAACCTCGAACCTTTAGCTATAGATCCCAAGTGGTAGACCTCTAGTTTCATGGAATAGACTTTGAACTCAATAATCCATACTCATAAATAAGCCAATCATTTTCAAACTTGGAAATGCATAGGGAGATTGAGTGGCATTTTTTTAAAAAGGAAAAAATTGATTCTATTCCTGTGGGTGAGATTTAGAATATAGGAATACTTAAGGGGCTCCTCATGCAATTTGAAACGCCTATGGGGCTATGGGGAATTAAAATGGGATTCGGGTCGGATGTGTAAGGGTTCTACGCCACAGAATTTCGCAGCTCCCTCTGCATCTCTACCGCCGGCCGCCGGTGAGTCCCTATGCCGTCTCAGTTAATTTCTGCTTGAATTGAATCCGTTTATGTTTACTCCGTTTTCTAGGATTAGTCGAACAATGTCCATTGATGTTCGTTTTCTCTTGTTTTATAGCAATTCCTGTTCAGTTACATGCACCCAACGATGAATGTTCAAACGTAATAACATTTGGTTTAATGCGATGTAATCATTGTGTTATATATTTAGTTAAACTTAATGAATACAGTAGTGATGAAAATTCAGTTCAAACGTCAGTAGCAGCCATGAATTGATTGTTAATCTTATAGTTCTGATAAAAAATTGACATTTTTCTCTGTTTCCATCCAATCTCTGTATTGGAAATTTGGAAATTTGCTGCCCTGCTATTGTGATTATGATTAACTTTAGCAGCTCAGTTGGTTCCGGGTGGGAAATTGTGGGCAAGGATTGACTTTACATGCTGGATTTGGCAATTAATGCTCCAAAGTTTCCTGTTTGGTAAAGCTTATGATTCTAGATTGTGATTAAGAGTTATGACTATGAATTGTAAATAATCAATTATCAGCTCCAAGTTCATTATATCAAATAAGCTAAAACAGTAAAAGGCGTAGTCGTTTAGAACACCTATAATCTGTAATCTTTGCCAAACATACTTGAAGTAGATTGTTATGGTTGTGGTTTATTGACATTTACTTTTGTTTGCCTTGGATTGGGTTCATAAAGTTTGAAGTTTTTAAATTGATTTGTCGAGTAAATGAAGGACACTGCTGTTATAGTGTTATGATTCAGATAGCATGTGTAGCTCGAATGCTTGTGTATGGTATCTTGCTAAAACGAGTTTCTCGTATATGCTGTATGTAGTCATTGTCCTGTTCTGTTTGTATGTTTGAACTTTCTGTGTCTGTCAAAGACTAGTTAACACCGCGTTCTTTTTCCTTCTCCAGAATTTGAAGTTTGCCTGCCATGGGTAACAAAGCTGCAAAGCCAGCACCTGCAGGGCCATATGACGATGTGTTGTTTTTGAAGAGTGTGCCTCCTATAGATCAGGATTTTGCCCGTTGGCTAGCTCGGGATGTTGAGAGGATCCATCGCTTCGTTCCAAGAAAGCCTCGCGCTATCAAGCCCCCAGATCATTACATTGAGTACATGCGCATGAATGGATGGCTAGATGTAGACCTGGATGACCCAGACTTGGCTCATTTGTTCAAGTAGATGATCACCAAATAAGGAACACAACTCTAGTTATTTTTTAAAAATTTATGTTCAAATATTGTAAAATAATTAATGTGTGCTAAGTGCTAACTGCTATATTGGATAAACAAAAATTAATGCTAAATAAGCTTTGATTTTATATAACTTGCCATTGACATATTGCTCTTAATCTGCTCCAATAGTGTTTTTTTATGGGCTTCAAGGTTTAGGGTTTAAAAGGCCCGTTTGTATAATGGGCCACCAAATACCTGAAGCAAAAGGCAAAGACCCAGCCCAATATTACATGACGGCTTTCGAATCGGCGATTCGCGCTCGAAAGAGAAAGCACCGTTTGCCGTTTGGAATGGCGATATTTTGGCGCGTAGCCAACTTTGCTACGCCATTTATGATCTGCCTAACCCTATGACCAAACTCTTGCCATTGTGTTCACCAAATTCCTCAGACTTCAAGATGTCCTTTTTATCTGAAAGGGATGTTATTAAAATAGATAAATGGCATGTTTGGTAACATACTACTTAGAATCAGTTAATTTTGATTTATTTGATCACTATTAGTGTTTGATTTGGTTAAATAATTAATATGAATGTTTGATTAATTAATTTTTTGTAACAATTTATTGCTCTAAAATGTTAAAATTCAAAAATATTGTTCAAATAATTTTTTTTCGATAAGCTTTTTGAAAAAAGTTATTTTACATGTAATCAGTTATCATCTAATAACTAATTTACCAAACACTTTTCTACAATCAACTAGTCAAACCGACTAACATAATAAGCTAACAAACTATTTACCAAACACCCCAAAATATAATTATGGTACATGGTTAACATTTTAATCAAACTTTGCCCATACTCTTAAGCAATGATAACGGTTTCGTTGTTATTATTATAATGGTTTAATAATGTAATTTAAAAAAAAAAAGATTTTGGGATTAAGATAATATATAATATAATACGGAGTAGTAAATATTTTTATAATATACTCCGTATTAAGGAGTAAATATTAAATAAAATAATATAAAAATAATGTTCCCTCCACATCTATATCCGAACCAAATTCCCTCGTCCTCTGCTTCCCACATTCCTTCATCTTTCTCTCTCTTCCCGCTTTTTTTCCATTCCCCCCAAAATTCAGATCTCATCTCACCTCTCTGATTCAATTCCTCTTCTCAATTTCACTCAGCTCCGCTTCACATTTCTTTCGCTTCTCCCTCACTGAAAACCCCCAATTCTTCAAAACCCCGGCAAGGGCTTCAAATCGAACTTTTTTTTCTTTTTCCTTGGAATATAACGGAGATTATCGGGAATCGGGAAATTTCCGGAGTTTTGGGAGAAAGGTTTGTGCTTTGCAGATCATGCAGCAGCAACAGCAGGAGGCTCTGAAGCGTCAGCAGCTGCCGTTCGCGGCGGTGCAGCCGCCGTTTGGGGATTACCACCGGTTCTCCGCTGACCCGCGCCACCGGGCTTCTCAAGAAGCTGAAGGCATCGTCGTAAAGACTCCAGTGAGTACTTGAATTCTTTTTTGGTCGTTGATGAGATTTTATTTATTTATTTATTTTTTTTTTTTTTGGGTTTGCTAAACATGTGCTTGGATTTTACTGAGTATGTGTGATTGGAAAGGAGCTTTAGTGAAATTTGCAGTGTATGTTTAAGTGCACAGGTGAAATTAACTGTATCTAGTTGAAAAGCAGATATTTTTATGTTTGGTACGGCTTTGTTGAACCAAATTTTTATTATTTGTGGTCGTACTTGGATAGAGATTGAGTGATGCATTTCAACTTCTTTATGTTATAATATGATAGTTCTCGTGAGATTTGGGTTATTGGATTGTGTTAACAATAACATTTGGATCTTTAAGTGATGTTCACAGCAGAGTGTGGTTAATTTGGTGTTTTTAGTGATGTTTTGACTCTGATCTACTTTGAGTTGAATAAGTTTAGAGATTGCTGTAGAGGAAGATGGATGCTATGCATGATTAACTATACACATCACAAGAAGTTGGATGCTGGCATTTTTGTTTATATTATGCCTATATGGGAAAATAGATAGTAAAAGTACTATTTTTGAACTTGCTCATTGACTGGTGTTTGGAAGCTATGTGTCAGTTTGCAATCTTGGAGATGCTACTAGTGAAACTGTGCTCAAGCCAAATATTGTGCTGTGATTGGTCATGAACATAAGAAATCAATGCTAGTGACCTTATTTTGGGAAAACATTGAGTGACCTTGGAAAGAGTATCTTCAAAACCAATTTTAGCTTCAAAGTCGTGTTTTGCAATTAACTTATTGCTCATTTGATTCTATATAGTTGGAAAGTAATTCCTTTTGTACTTGTGATGTTATGTGGAAGCCAGGTAAACTATGAAAGGTTATAGCAATGATTATTAATTATTTCTTCATTAATTACTTCATCCATTCTTTGAATAGAATTGTATTTGTAGCCCCAACTTGCATCTAGGATTTGGTGATTACAAGGGTGAAGGAAAATAGAAAATGTGTATCTGAGAAAGAAAAACTAGAGAATTGAAGTAAACGCTTCCTAAGTGCCTTTACTAGGATTATCTGACAAAGGATCCCTGGTATAAACTATTACACAGTTACTTCTTTCAAACCTGACTTTTTGACTCTGACCGGTCTTAGCTATTCCGAAACTGTACTGTCCCCTGGACCCCACCTGGCTTTTATTACATGATACAAGAATACTTTGTCTTAGTCACGACTCACGAGCCAGTCGAGCCTTGATGCGTAATATAGACTACATGTACTTTGTTATCACAGTCTCTTGTAAGTTGCAACATAGTTTTACTTGCTCTCTTTTCACACACATTTCCTGCCTCCAGTTCCTAATTTTGTTTTGCTCTTTGTCTCGTGAGCAATTTCTGAAAGGAATCCTCACAAAAGAGTGATGTTTGAAAGGAACCCTGTTCAACCACTCTCTCCACTATCTCCAGTTTATCTTCAGGTTGTGCTATTTCTTTTCACATTTGTGTATGCATGCACATCTTGGGTTATACATGAGCTATTTACAGATTGTCATATGAAGTGTTGTTTGACCTAATATGGGTTTTAGTGGTTTGTGAATGATTTCTTTTCTATTTTTGTGATTGTGATTGATTTTCAGCTATTTGAGTTATTCAGATAAGGTTCTTGGTTAATTTGATGTGACCTTGGCAATGTTGCGATGGCCCCCAATTCAGCTTCTATATTTATTCATTTTCATTTTAATGATGGAAATATGATCTTAAGTGGATTGATGCTTATTGATTTTAGACTAGTATTCTGCCAACATTATTACTCTTTATATATAACTTTATTTTTGTCTCATTAGTTTAGGTCTCTCAATCATGGTTTTACTGTTTTTCATACTGACTCACAAATTGATTCAACTAGCCATTGAAGCGGAAGAATGAGACAATGAATCACAATCAGGTGTCTGGCGATGAGAACCCAGGTTTTGTATATTCTCTCAACAGCCCACTGCAAACCCCAGTTTCAGGGAAAGCTGGAAAGACACAGAAAATGCCCAGGACATCAAAGGCTAATAGGTCTGCATCTCAATCTGCTGCAAATGTTGGTGAGAATTTTCTTTACAAATTTTGTTTTGAGCATTATGTTAAGTTATTCTTTCATCACAAAGCAATCTTGAAAGTTCAGTTTTTATCTGTCAAAGTTGTTTTGGTAAAGCACTCAACTATAAAGAGGATCAAGTAAATTTTGGTTGATGTGGATTACAGGATCTCCTTCTGGCAACAATACCACTCCAGTTGGTCCATGTCGGTATGACAGCTCCCTAGGTAACTAATACTTTATGACCATGCTATTTACTTATTTATATGCTTCTGTGTCTTTTATTATTTATTTATTTTCTGTATATGTCCATTTATAAATATGGGTGTGGGAGTGGGAAAATCATATCATGAGCTCCGGTTGACCTAGCATGGTGATCCTTGGAGCTATTCTGAGTAAATGCCAATTACACTTGTGAATAATGTTTATAAAGGATCACACTGCATGTAAACTGTGGGCTTCATAGTAAAACAAGACTAAGAGCATGCGCCATATGTTACTTTAGTATGATACTATGATGTTCCAGACTTGTTATGACAAGAAAGAATAGAAGAGGGATACATTGACAATGTTTTTGTCTCTTGCACAGGTCTATTAACAAAGAAGTTCATTAATCTTATCAAGCATGCAGAAGATGGCATTATTGATCTAAACAACGCAGCTGATACATTAGAGGTTACCATAATTTCCTTGTTAGTGTCTTATATGTGCCCAACTGATTTCTACTAGCTGAAATTACAGGGTTTTCCTTATTCTTAACAGGTCCAGAAAAGGCGTATCTATGACATAACAAATGTCCTGGAAGGCATTGGTCTAATAGAAAAGAAACTAAAGAACAGAATTCAATGGAAGTATGGAAATCTCTGGAATCCATATGAGTTGGATTAAGCTTGTTCTTTGTTTAATGCTTTATTTCCCTCTAGATTTTTCTTAACAAATGTGAAGTGACTAATAAAGAATTTGTGCAGGGGCCTAGATGTGTCAAGAACAGGAGAGCCTGATGAAAGTGTTCTTAGCTTACAGGTGAGAGGAGATATCTGGTGTAGTGGTGCCCTTGTTGATTACATCTTTGTTTCTTATTTCTTATTGCTAATTGTTCTTCATTTAGTTCTTTTGGAGCCTCGTGCTTAGATTACATTTCTTACTAACGGATGTAATCATTCTTCAAGTGGTGCCTATGATTGCCTGGGTGGCTAAGTATTGGTTAGGTTACATTCACAGCATTATCCATCACTTGCAAATGCCACATGCGCGATCTATAGATTTTGGTGTCAGAGTTAACATTGGTGATTATGAAATTTCAGGATATATTCTCATGTTTTCTATCCCACTTTTGCAGACAGAAGTGGAGAGCTTGACCTTGGAGGAGCGTAGAATAGATGAACAGATCCGGTAATTTATGATGACTTTATGGTATTTGAGAATGCTGTACTCAACTATGAATGCGCTAATTTTGGGCAACATTGCTGTACATTAACCATGATTATGCTAATTTTTTATACCGTTGATTTGCTTTAGAGAAATGCAAGAAAGGCTGAGGGACCTGAGCGAAGATGAAAACAATCAAAGGTCCACATTTTTTGGCATATCAGAATTATAATGTTCAAACCTCAAATGGCTATGAATTCAGTTGCTCATGTTTTTCTTCTTTTCGTGGTCTTCAATTCATTCAACCAGGTGGCTTTTTGTTACTGAAGATGATATTAAGAACTTGCCCTGTTTTCAGGTACATAATGAATTTAAATTTGTCTGCTTTCATTTTCTCCAACCGTGTTACGTTCCTCTGACCACTTGACTTTGTTGAAATATAAATATTCTGTTTTCGTGTTCAGAATGAAACACTCATAGCTATTAAAGCTCCACATGGCACCACCTTAGAAGTTCCAGATCCCGACGAGGTTATATTTACTATTATTAAGTTGCTTTGTTCATTTTCCTTTCGGTTCAACTGATTGTTCCATTGCTACCTGTGTATGTTCTGGCTTTCTAGTTTTACTTTTTGTTCTTTCAACAGGCCGTTGATTATCCACAGAGGAGATATAGAATAGTTCTGAGGAGCACCATGGGTCCCATAGATGTTTACCTTGTCAGGTATTTTTGCTTCTTGGAACAAAAAGAATGATAGTTCTATCACTTCTCACTGATGTCTTCTTTCATTTGCATTGTCTGTCCAACATTTTAGCCAATTCGAGGAAAAGTTTGAGGACATAAATGCTTTCGAAGCACCACCAAACATCCCTTCAACACCAGGGGCCAATGAAAATGCAACTACAACTATAGAAATCGAAAGCAGAGAAAATGAAGTTGGTGTGCAGGAAAACGAAACAGAAAGAATGTCCTCAGATGTTGGTACATCACAGGACTTTGTGTCTGGAATTATGAAAATTGTTCCCGATGTTGATGTAAGTCCCGTCCCCTCTTGCAAGTCTACATTTCATTAAATTTTAAAATTTTCCGTGGTATATTTGTTGTAGCCTCCCTGGAATGAACCATAATCGTGTTTGCTTCCTTTCTTGATTTCTCCTTGCCTTTACAGAATGAAGCAGATTACTGGCTCTTGTCAGACGCGCCTGATGTTAGCATTACTGACATGTGGACTGAATGTATCCTACTGATTTCCAGTTTTTCAATTTCCCTTTTGAAATCGTTTTATTCCCTGACTCTCACATAGCTGAAATTGACTGGAATGGCTTGGGTACACTCCCCGAAGATTACACCATGGCAACTGTGAATACACCGCCTGCCCAACCTCCACCGCCCACCAAACCACCTTCCACAGCTAACACCAGCAACAGCTAAGTCGCCTGCATTTCCGAGTGATGCTCAGGCTCGGTATGTTCTCATTGTCCCGGCTACATAACAACTTCTAAACCTCATTAGTGGTGAAGGCGAGGGGAATGCTGCCAGGACTGTTATGTTGTACATTTTTCCAGCGAAGAGTTGAGACGACAGGAGGGTTGCTTAGCTTGTTGTACAGTTTCTGTTAACCAAATACTACATGTAATACCTACCAATAAATGAACAGATCAAAGCCCTGCCTTGTCCATGATTAGCCGTGTGTATTTCTCATTCTAGGCTTGTTTATATCATGCATCAAACTTGTCTAGGTAATAGAATGTCTGTAAACTCATTGTAGTATTGTACTGTCTGTTGAGCAATGGATAATCTTTAATATGTTCTTGTATAAGTGTTGTGTTGAATGAAGAACAACCAGAACAGATTACAAGGCGTAAGCTATTTGTAACGCCCAAGCCACTTTGCTTGATATTTCTGAGGTTTCTTACATCCTTCTAGACGTATCTTGAACTTTCTCATAATTTGGAATAGTTTGGAAGCATGTACATATTAGAAGATGTAGAGATACTTCAAATATTTTAGAACATTAGTAAATCTTCTTTGGTTGTGTAGAGATTTTTGGAGGATTCTAAAGAATAAATCTTAGTCTTATGATCAAATAGATCTTCACCATCCATTGATAATCGTTATGCTATGGACCCGTGTCCAACATGCATTGTGGACACAGTAACGGTGCCGTTAGTGGCACCGTTATCTTCCACTTTTTTTTTTTTTTTTTTTTTTTTTTTTTTTTTTTTAAATATAATTCAGACCGCTTCGTTATAGGAGTATAAGTTCATAATTTTATCACTATATGTTCATAATTGTAAGTTCATAATGTCAGAGCTCTGTGTTCATAATTCCATAACTGTACATTCATACTTTCATAACTGTACATTCATAATTCCGTAACTGTACATTCATAATTCAATAACTGTAAATTCATAATTTTCGAAGCTCTATGTTCACAATTCTAGAGCTTTATGTTCATAATTTTATCACTATATGTTCATATTGTAAGTTCATAATGTCAGAGCTCGGTATTCATAATTCCTTAGCTGTACATTCATAATTCCATAACTGTATATTCATAATTTTTGAAGCTCTATGTTCATAATTTTATCACTATATGTTCATAATTGTAAGTTCATAATGTCATAACTCTGTGCTCATAATTCCATAACTTACATTCATAATTCCATAACTGTACATTCATAATGCCACAAACGAATAACGCCGTTAACTCCTAGACAAAGTCAAAATTTTTTTTTTTTAAAAACTGGAATGTCGCGTTTTCTCTGAAAACAACGTCGTTTTAGACTCGTGTCCACAGCATAATTTGTGAAGAATGAGGGCAAATTATGCCCTGGACCCGTGTCCACAATTCATTGTGGACACGGGCCCAAAACGACGTCGTTTTTCAAAATAAAACGCGTTATTTAGTTAAAAAAAAAAAAAAAAATCGCGCGTGTTTTGGCGTTAACGGCGTTATTTTTTTTTTTTGGATTATGAATGTACAGTTATGCCGTTATGAATGTACAGTTATGCAATTATGAAATTATGAACACAGAGCTCTAACATTATGAACTTACAATTATGAACATATAGTGATAAAATTATGACCATGGAGCTTTAAAATTGTGAATATAGAGCTTCGAAGATTATGAATGTACAGTTATGGAGTTATGAATGTACAGTTATGGAGTTATGAATCTACAGTTATGAGATTATGAATCTACAGTTATGAAATTATGAATGTACAGTTATTGATCGAATTATGAACAAAGAGCTCTGACAATTATGAACATAGAGCTCTAAAATTATGAACATAGAGCTCTAAAATTGTGAACATAGAGCTTCGAAAATTATGAATGTACAATTATGGAGTTATGAATATACATTTATGAATGTACAATTATAGAGTTATGAACGTACAATTATGGAGTTATGAATGTACAGTTATTAACATATAGTAATAAAATTATGAACATATACTCCTATAACGAAGCGGTCTGAAATTTAAATAAAAAAAAAAAGAGATAACAGTGCCTAACGACACTGTTACCCGTGTCCATCATGCATGCTGGACACGGGTCCATAGCATAACGATTGGAAGAATGAGCAATAGTTATGCTGTGCAACCGAATGTACCATGCGCATGGTGCATACGGTTCAAAACGACGTTGTTTTGATTAAAAACGCGCATCCCACTTAAAAAAAAAATCAGGTTCGACTCTCAGCAATAGCATTATTGTGGATATATAGTTATGAAATTGTGGTTATATAGTTATGAATTTATGGATATTTAGTTCATTCATTGTGGATATTTAGTTCAATCATATATTGTGGATATTTAGTTCATTCATTGTGGATTTTTACTTCATTCATTCATTCATTGTGGATTTTTACTTCATTCATTCACTGTGGATATATAGTTATGAAATTGTGGATATATAGTTATGAAATTGTGGTTATATAGTTATGAATTTCTGGATATATAAAAATGCTATTGTCGGAAATCGAACCTGATTTCTTCTTTTAAGTGGGACGCGCGTTTTTTTAACTAAAACGGCGCCGTTTTGCAACCGTATGCACCTTGCAAGGTGCATTCGGTTGCACGGCATAATTTGCGAAGAATGAGCTGGTAGGCCAGATGGAGTATTTAACAATTGGGCCTGCCTAATTCCCCTTCAATCATTATTGTATGAACCATGGTCTATATAAGTCGTGTGAATCATATTTTGTATACGGTAAAATAATATATATTCAGTACAAAAATAATATACTTTTTCTAGATACCAAGATCATTCTAGAATATCCTAATCTATCAACAATCAATATAATTCAAAATAATTTGAAAATCACAAATCTAGCTATGTTTATACCTATATAAGAAAGCCCTAACTAGCAAGAACAAGCTGTATACTGCAAATTAAAGCTCATGCAAGATGATGAAAAGCAGATTACCTGCAGGTAGATCTCATCAGAGTCTTCTTCCGAGTGGCGAACCGTTATATCGATACGTGTCTCTATACAATTTGTTACAGCCGTGTTCCACCTGCAAAAAGCAATCGTTCAAATGTACCTGCTGCATTGATACTCCCATTGAGAATCCGCCATTAAATCCTTCAGCGAGGGCGCCCATTGAGAATCCGCCATTGAAGCCTTCAGCGAGGGCAAACCAGCAGGCGGCGATGTGCGATCCTTCTGGCGAGGTGCTCCGCGCGTTTTACGGCCGATTCAATCAGGCGTTTCAGCGCGCCGTTGAGAAAATTGCGCACCTGCAGGCGGCGGCGGTGCCGGCGGCGATGTACAATGAGGTGCTCCGCCTTTTTTACAGCCGGTGGTTTGGTGAGTTCAATCTGGTGTTTCAGCGTGCCGTCAAGAAAATTAAGCGGGCCGTAAGGGTGTTGATTAAAAGAGTTTCAACTTAACCTAGATAGGCTAGTCTAAGAGATTTAGTTTTTGCATAATTTGAGTAGTAATATAATCACTACTACTTCTATGTACATAGCTTTCATTAGCTAGGTTTTCTTCCTAGCTAGCTAGCTCAATTAATCTACCATTTCCGCCATTGTTGAACTTCAATTTGCTGCCTGCCATCTCCCATGCCGCATCTTTAATGGAGTTTTTGCCTTTGTTGAATTTTGCTGCCTATCTTTAATGAAGGGAGAATTCCTTAATCTAATTTTATGGCTTACCTAATTACACTCAAATCAATTAAATGTCTTTGTGGTTAGTTGTTCTAGCTTAATCCTATAACAATCTATATATTTTATTCATTTGGCCATGTAAAATAAACTCACAAAGAAGATACACATACGTTGAATAAACTTGATAATATAATATTGAAAGAGTTTTATATATGTGGTAACTAGAAATTAAATCATTTGTTTATCTTATTGAATCTCATTTTGATATCATTTACTCTTTTAGTTAATAGAAATTTCTTAACGGGATAAATCTTAATTGGTTTTATTTGTAACTGATTCTCAGAAAGAAAAAGTAGGTAAATGTAGCCAAATTTGGTAAGATGTAAGCCAAATTAAATTAGGTGGGGATGTGAATATATAAGTATGTATGTAAACTGTTATATAAAAATGTTTCTTTTTAAATTTCTAAATATCTATATATCTTTTTTCTGATCTCCTCTCTTCTTCTTCTTCTCCCTCTAATGTCTGCAAAACCTAAGAAACAAGCATGCAAGTTGAAGAAAGTAATCAAAAGCAGCTGCGGCTGCGGTGAATCGACGGAAGCGGTGGAGCCAAAACCTAAGCCGCGGCCGCTGCTGCCGCCGTCGTCTCCGCCTCACCCTACTACGCTCATGCCTTCTTCTTCTTCTTCCTCCGCCGCCATGCATGATGGTGATGATGATGATCGGAAGGAGGAGGTTTTGTGCCGGCAGATGGTGAGCCGGAGCCCGAAGATCTCCGGCAGCATCGCCGTGATTAAGGAATCCGACGATCCTTGCGGCGACTTCCGGCAGTCGATGCTTCAGATGATCCGGAAAAAGAGTATCCACTCGCAGGAGGATCTGCAAGAGCTTCTCAAGTGTTTTCTGTTGATGAATCCCCCTTCCCTCCACGACATCATCGTTCAAGCCTTCACCAACATCTTTAACGACGCCAACGTAACCTCCTCCGCCGCCGGTAAGAATTAAGGCTCCGATCCGGCCATTTGGTCGCCAACAATAAGTTTAATTTTTCTTTATTCATTTTCATATTATTTTATCCTATCCTATTCTCCAAACTGAATCTTGGTTAAGTCCCATTCGAAACAGATTCTCTAGATTAGGTATTATTCGGAGTAGATTCTAATGTATTTGGTAATATAATATGTGCATTTTAATTTGTTATCACATCAAAATAAAACATTATTGTATACTACGTGCATATATGTATAATCTTATTTTCATACTATAATGCATTCCATTTTCTTTTTCTTTAGCTGCATGAAAGGAATAGTAACTGTTCATTCCCATGAAAGAAAGAAAGAATCAAAATTTTAATTAAGAATGAATTCAATTTATTATGTAATCTTGGTTTCCTTAATTAAAATTTTGTTTTATTAGTGTTATAAATGTTAATATTATAACAATATATTCCGATATTAATTTCCAAAGCTGTCCTAGTGGAAAATGTTACTTTCAGCTTATCAAAGCTAGCGGTAAATTAACATGCATGTTGCTTTGAAGAAATGTTACCATATGGTGACTTCTTTCCCACTTGTTTTCACTTATAAGGTAAAACTACTCTTATTCTTCCCTCTAAATATTATTGTTTGAATGGAAATTTTTATTTTCGACAAATTAATTGTGACACATTTATCACTATTTCGACAAATTAATTAAGATCACAAGACAGACTAAGACCCAAAAAGTACCTTCGGATAGCGATGGTAGACTTTCCTGTAAATTAAGAAAACAAAACTGGATGGGAATCCTTAAACATAAGCAGCACTAGAGAGTAGAACAATGGCTATCAATTCACTGTTGCAAAAATCGCGCCTAGGCGCTAGGCTTTCTAGGCATTCTAGGCGCCCGCCTAGGTGGTCCCCAGGCGCCTAGCGATTTTTTCAACATTGGCTATCATAATAACAATCCCCTTTTGACATTAACATAAACACACAAGTCAGAAGGTACACAGAAATTAAAGCTGTTGCAAGATACATAACACTAATAGTCATTAGAACATGAAGGAAAACTATTTACGGGGTGCGCATGCCATATGAGAAATCGAGCCTATTGTTGTCCAGCTTTCGATGATGCAGACAGGCAGGCGGTTCTCAGTGGCTAACGTGATCAGAAGAAGGTTCCTTCTGGGGGTTGAACGAGCTTACGGTTGTGTGGTGCAGCCATTTCTTTTCTCAACTGTGTCAAGACACCCTCCATCGTGTACTCACGCTGCCAACTCACCAGCATACCGAACTTCTTTGCTTCCACCTGGCAAATTCCATAAATTCTTGAATATAATGTGACTTCGCATTTTAAACCCGACTTATGGAACACCGTAAAGAATTACGTTGAAACACAATGCTACAAAGACATCTATTCCTCGCTAAGTTCTACTCCAGTTTCAAGCAGTAATCAAAATAGACTATTAGCTATCAAGAGTTATATATACTTCCTTACCACTCCAGTCTCGGGGTTCACACAAGTCATGTTGACACGGGAATGGAAGCGAACGGTTGGAGGCTTATCGGGATAATCTTTGTCACAAAACAGCTTGAGTTGATAAATACGTCCCTCGTGCACGGTCTGGAAAAGAACGTTAGTAAATTTCAAACCAGAAATCAAGAAGTTCTTAAGAATCCGAAAGAGCAAAAGAAAGAAGTGAAGAACTATTTAAACAAACAGCTTACGTTATGAGGACCAATTATGGTACCCGTCCAAGAACGCATGTAAATATCGTCAGCATCATCCATTCCATAGCTGACAGAACCATCTCCAATACCTTTCTCACCCCGTTCAAGCTCCTCGAGCAACCTAAAATTGCGAGGAACTGCAGAAAGACAACAAATTCCAATACATTAATGATTCTAAGTATAATAGAATACAAAATGACATGAAAATATGGCATGAACTGCATCACAAACATGGACAGATGTTGATCGAGTCTAAGTTATAGCAATAATAAACTTTTTATGGTAGCAGAAGCATTACAAATTGGTAAAGAACTGTAAATGAAATCTGGATTGGCATCCAAACAATTCAAACTCTCAAACAGCTACCCTGTTCCAATTAAATTACACAAATTGACATACAACTAAAAGTAAACAAGATATACAAAATTCCACATAAAACACTTAAAACAAAGTACCCAAGAGATGCCATTCCAACATATCTCAAAGCACCTAACTACAAGGTTGGACAACCCCCCTCCCCCCTGATTTTTCCAAGAAATTGAGCATATTCAAAAACTCTCATCACCTACTAAACCATAACGAAATACAAAGACAGAGTATCTCATTTAAGGAAAATTGAACCAAAAAAACAGTAAAAAGCAAACCCAAAGTATAAAAATAACGCTAAAGCCCCGATTTTGATAGAATCCACTTCGAGACTCGGGAAAACAAGCACTCATCGAGATAATTTATATGAAACATCGGATACATGTACCAAATAGATAATTATAGTATTAGAACAATCATAGACATACGATGTATGCATATAATCTCAAAATTGAACCGTGTAATAGGAAATCTAAAAATTGAGGTGATAATTTACCGACAACACTAGATCCTCCTGAACCGAGTGCCATTTTCTGGACCAGAGATTAAAGGCGTAAAGATCAAATCTTGGGAGGGGGGTTTGGGAAGAACGCGACTGCAAAGGGATCCACTCAGGAAGATTATGAAAGGAGACTTGGGGCAATACAATTATTTAGAAATTTAGTTCTCGTCTTCAAAAAAAAAAAAAAAAGAAATTTAGTTCTCAAAATGTCCGTTTCATTGTCTAATAAAAGTAAAGTGGATTGAATTTGGCAAATTATATTGTGGATCATAGTCTATCTTACATTATGTACTTTGGTTTCAAATGGTGTTTCTTCTCTCAAAGGTTGAAAACTCCAACCCCGGCCTGATAGAGTATTTAGAAGGATGTAAATTACGGTGACTCAATAGTTCAGCGGACAGGGCCAAAAAGAAATCTATCCACTTCGGATAGGGTCAAAAAAAATCTATCCACTTTTGACATAATTCCCACACTGCCGTCGTCCAGGTTCAAACCTTGATCTCTTCTCTCAAATATTGTCCATTGAACCATTGAGCTAAGCCCATGCGGACAATATTTAAGTGTTTCTTGTTAATATATTATGTGTCTACAATAACATATTATTTATAGACACATAATTTGTTAGCTACATGCACATATAATATGTTAACATGTAATAAATGATTAACTAAAGACGCATAATATGTTAACTTCAAATACATAATTTTTAGATTATAGTTCACAATACGTAAATTTGTTGTTATCCGACAAAGTAGTAATGCAACATTCGTTCAACATACCCATGTTATATGAATTCAAGATTTTAGAATAAAGGCCTGCATAGGCAGCTCAACTGATCATAAGGTGAAATTTGGGAAGATGACTTTAAAACAAGGATTGTCGTAGTGATATATTACAACAGTGTCAAATGACTATGATATTCTGTACTTAAGCATGATTTTGCTAAGCTAAGATATTATTTATACTGATTTGAGGTGTTGACAAGTGTTACAATATAGAGATAGATTAATTTTTTGAGAACTTATTTTATTATTTTTTAAAAATATGATTTATTAGATGGTTGACATTTTATTTTATTTTATTTTAAATTATATTGAGGTTATTTAAAAAAAAAAAAAATTATATTGAGAAGTTGATCCAACAAATACCTAGTATAAATTAAAGTTGGGTTGAGTCAATAAATTTCTAGTCCACCAAGATGACCAACTCACACTTGAAGGCTTGGAATAGCTCACCCACCTTAGTTCTTAACCCTTAGTTAATTTCAACGACTTATAGTATGCATTGCAAATTAAATATAACACTAAATTACCAGGACTATGTGGTCTAATGGTACTCGGGTTGGACTTCCATTTGGAAGGTTGTGAGTTCGAGGCGTTATTGCAGATAGTACATTGTAATAATAGAACCAGTAGTATTAAAAAAAAAAAACAAAAATATAACACTAAATTTATAACTTGTATAGTAAAATGCAAGAACGAATAGAGGGGTGAAAAGTGGATAAATTCTCAAGATTAACAAAATTGATGGATGTTTTAGAAAAATAAAATGCATTATTCAATTATTTTAACTTTTAAGGGTGGAGGCTGTAGTCTTTGGTGGAAAGGAAAATTAAAAATCAAGCAAATCAGTGTTGTTGCACTGGGGGCACTTTGGAGTAGTCGTCTCTGCCACCATAACATACATTAGGCACCGAGGGCAGCCAACCAGCATCATGGGGACCTCGCCGGCGTTGATGTCCTCCGCCGCGGGGCTCAACTCCCGAGACACGCACGACCACGACGGCGATCCCGATCGCTCTACAGAAGAAGAAGAAGAAGGTGATCCGAGAGGCGGCTGCGGCGGCGAAGGAGTAGTTGCAGTGGTCCCTGGCGGTGATAGGTTGAGCTTCAAGTCGAGTTCCGGTGTTGTCTCATCGTCGTCGTGGCTCATCTTTTTCTGTTGTGATGATGAATGGTTAGACATCGTACTCGTACGATGTTGAATATATACTTCCCCTTCGATCTGTTCGAAGGTGACAACGTTAATTAGAGTATTTTGTTCGGAGAAATTAAGGAGATTGTCGGAAATCTCTGCAGGGGGCGGCTGCTACCAAGTGTGGGATAGAACCTGCATGCTGGGGTTTATATATATAAGGAGTTGGAGATTAAATATATATGTTGTAGAGTAGCAATGGGTGGAAGTACGTGTGTGTTACTTATCATTAAAAGATATATAACGGCTGTTGTTATACCCACTAAATTAAAACTATCAATTAAGTTTTTCACAACCTCGATCATCATTATATTTGAAAGTGGGTAGAACAACAACTTAGCTAGCTAAGATCATATATGTGCTTCATGATTTGGTGGTTTTCTAAATTATGGCCAATAAATATAGCATGCAATACCTAATGCCAACTCCCCGCTCGGTCCGAGAGGCACAAGAGCTGGCCCAAGATGACTTGTCACTTGTAAAAATTGAATCCGAATTATTCCAGAATTCTTTCTCACAAAGAGAGCTCATTTGCCACCTGAACTACCACATTGGGTAATCAAATTTGATTCTTGATCTATACTATTATAGAGGATTATTATTATTATTATTATTATTATTATTATTATTATTATTATGTTTTTGTCGTCATCCAGATCAAGCGCTTCAGCATGTGCAAACCTTAAATTGCACTAATATATCTTTACAATTTACAAGAATTAAATTTTTGATCTATTAGAGTGTTTTATTTTGTCAAGATCAAACAATGCCTCACGCATACAATTACACTAAAATGTTTTTTATACTTGCATACTGCAATCTGAATGTGCGTTATGATAAAACTAACTTGTCTTATGACCCTAGCCAGCAAATTAAAGATCAATAGACAACTCCTACAAGTAGTCGAATTTAAAGCTTTGTGAATATCAAACCAATTATCGGCCAATTCGGTTGAGATTGTGAAACAATGTATTTAGTACTACAGTATATGGTGCAATATGTGTAGCTAGAACTATATTTTTATGATATTATCTTATAATTTTGTCATATATAATATTAAACCTTAAGTTGGTATACCAATTAACATGTGGACAGGTTGGTTGCATTATATATATTGAATTGGGTTTCTGAATGCTTGATTAATGACAATACAAATTCTTGTGCTAATACCTCTTTAACATATTAACATATATTATTATTGTCAAGGACTACAAGTCCAATGATACCAAATTGAACTCCTAAATTAGAGGTTGTGGGTTCAAGTCTCAATGAAGGTGTTGCTGCAGTAGTTATTAAAGTCATTTTAGTTAGGCATCCAGTAATCTTACGGTCTTACCGGTAAATTTAATTTGACTTAATTATTTTTCACTTTTGGTGTAAAGTTTAGGGACCTATTTGACATAGTTCCAAATGTGAACCAATGCTATCATGTGAACTTGTGTATCATTATGCACTGTTGATCTTGGGGTTTATAATGATCTTCACCTAGTATATTGGTGAAGACAGAAATCCTGTCACTACTCGAAAGTGTGCATTCGATATATCTTGCTCCTAAGTAATAGTGTACAAACCACACAGGAGAGATAAATCGCATTAGGGAAACCAGTGCGATGGACTCGACCAAGCATCAAATTCAAGACCTTCTGGTACATAAATCATGTTCCACCCACTCGACTATCTCTTTGACAATATAAATAAATTTCTATTTTGAGTCACCATTTAATTATGTGAGGAGTTGTTACTAATAATATATGTATTCATGAGCAAAAATAAAATATTATTCCGTATTAATCATGTATAAATCAATAAACGTTTATTAGTTTATATATATCAATCGTGAATCATATTATATACGAGTTAGAGTGATTATTGTGATGTACAACAAAAATTTTAATTTCCAATTAGTATATCATGTTAGCTTATAAAATATAAACCATAATAATGTTTCATTCAATTCTGCACTATATCTTAATCAACAACTCCAACAAATTAAGCTTTGAATTTTTTGACCAAAATTCTATCTAAGAGCATTAATCCATAATAAAAATCACTAAATGAAATTGGATAGGTTAGGTATTTTAGGTTTAACTCAATAATGGTAAAATTATCACCATCTACTTTACCTCTCTGTCAATAGATTAATAAACAAGACTATAATTTACAGCAACCAAATTGAAGTTGATAGGTTCCGCCATGAAATGGGGTACTTATCACAAATAAAGAAAAATATTACTCCATAATTAAATGTCCGTTATGATGAAACTATACTGTGACTTGCTTTTACCTGTACGAGCTTAGCTCACCGGTTTAGTTGGCAGTATTTGGGAGAAAAAGAAGAAAATGTGAGCTTTTAGTTTTTTTTTTTATTCTTGCCGGAGAGAATCAGACCAGCTCTTTTTAGGACATTGTTGATGTGTTTTATGTGGTTTACCTAAAACATTTTTAAGGAATCTTTGTTCTGTGTCTGCAAGTGTTAGGGCATATGATACACCAGCCAGAAGGATCATCTCTGATCTTACAATTTAGATTAGAATTACATTTACAAGTAGAAAGAACAGTAATAATGTACAGTCATATGTTAATCAATTGCTGACTATATCATATTATAGAAAAGCACATTTCTATTATGTCTCACCTTCATCAGATTCTCCAAATGAAGAAGTAAATTAAAGCAGAACAGCAAAACAGCAGAATTATAAGGCTGAGGAAACATACATAAATCGAGCAGCGCTTCATCCTCCCCCGGGACATCATGCTAACCAAACACCTGGGCAACACCTCGCCCCGTGCAGCTTCAGAAAACCCCACCGCTTCCTTTCTCAGTCGAAGCCTCCGGTTTGCTGTGCCTTGAAAGGGGAACAGGTCTGGTGTAAAGCCTTGAGCAGCCATCGTCGCCTGGTTTTGCTGTGGTTCTGGTTCGGGCTTCGTAGTGGTGGCTGGCAAGGCATCAAGACGGGGATTGAGCGAAGAATCGTCGAGCTTAACAATGTCGTCTTTCATTATGTCTGCAAACCAGTCTTCTGCGTCGAAAAAGTCCTGGAACACAAGCATGTCATATATGTTGTGCTAAAAAGAAAGAACATAGAATGAACCAAGTGGATGTAAAAATATAAAGAAAAGTTTACCTTTTGATGCCCGGGCGGATGGTGTAGAGAGATTTCATTAACGAGCTTTTCATCGGAATCAGAACCGGAATCAATCTGCTCAACCGAGTGAGAATTGAAACTGCTGCTACACTCCTTCGAGCAGCTTTCCCCTGCATTTACCCCGCCCGAACTGCCAGCAGGATCTGCCCCGGACAAAGCTGTCATACAATTATTGGCATTGGAATCGTTCATCTGATTCCTTGGAGCCTCGTTCAAATGGAACTCGTTATTCTTTCGAAGGCGACAAACTACCATTGAATCCTAGTGATCAAAAAGGAACCAGAGTGATCAATAATGTGCTAACTTCACATTATGAATAATTTTTCATTGAATTGTCAAGAATATTCTCGAATGATATCAATCAGAAATTGTACTACACTACATACTATTTGGAACTTCGACGATATTACCTGAGGTTGAGATCTCGTCCCGTTCATGCAATACTCGTGCATAATCCATTGTGTTCGTTGTCCTTTAGGCGCACGACCAGTGTGGAACACTAAGGTTCTTTTCGTTCCAATCACATTCGAACCAGACTTCACGTTTCGTTCTTTTCCTGTGGCCTTCCAGTAGCCAGACTCAGTTGCTCTTCTGCTCTGTGATCCATTCGGGTACTTCCTTCCTCGAGGAGAAAAGAAGAACCACTCGTTATCCGATTGAATCACAGACTTGACTGCTTCCATAAGAATAAACACATATATAACTTAATAGAGCAATATAACATTAAACCGTGGCCTAAACCTTAGACAACTAGACATATTCCCAGCCAGGAATTCATAACTTCATGTGAAAGTGGAAAAAAACATCTTACTACCTAAGATTCATAACTGTTCTTTTCTCACATAAGACAATAAGTTACCACCAACACAAGCAATGATGTTTGTCAAATCAAAGACAAGAGTGAAGCAAGATAAGCACCCTACAATAAGAGTTCCAGAATGTGTGTTATCAAAGAAATGGTAAGGAGATGAGCCAAATCAATTCAAGCAATACTTTTATTTCCAGTTTTAGCTTTCTAGATCCCTTTCCACTTCTTTCATTCAAGAATTATTGTACTCACCACCATATAACAAAAATTGATTCTTTGCAATTTGATTTTAAAATGAGATAAAAATGGACAACCTAGACTAGTAGTAACTAGAATTTATTCCATGTTAAAAACATCATTAAACACAATACATGGGTGCTGGAAAAAAATATCTTTTTTTTTTTTTTTTTTTTTTTTTTTTTTGCAATTCACCTATATTTTTGGAAAGAACAAAAAGAAAACATTTCACTCACTCTCAAGGGCCAGGAAACTTTTACAGATAAAGAAACACTAGTCCACATTAAAGCTTAGAGCTTTTTACTACTTCACTTTCAAAGCTATCCTAAAGAAAAATGCATTGACAGAAAGTACAATAAAGAAAGCATGGATTGCTTTATTATGGGACATAAAGCCAACTTTTTTGGGTGGACCTGTATATCTTACCACCTTTTAGGACCCTTTTAAGAAAATATTTGAGATATAATAAACAAAATAAATTTTATTTATGGTGTTTTAATTTTTTTTTTTTTTTTAGACATAGGTTTTTAGCTTTAGCTGATTAATTAATGGTAAGAAATGATCGAGAAGAGAAGAGAATACCTGGTAAGTCCCAAGGTTCATGCCTCCATATCTCAACCTCGGAGATAACTTCAACGCACCGATCACTCCCTTCGAGCTTCTTCTTCAAGTAGTACGATATTAGCTCCTCGTCGGTCGGCGAGAACCGAAACCCCGGAAACATCGCCGACGCCGTCGCTAACGGTATCTCCGTAGTACTATTATTATTGTTAATATTTCTCGAAGAAGACGCATGCCCATCATCCATTACTTTTCCTCCCAGCAACAACCAACTTCCTTTCTCTCTCTCTCTCTATATGTATGTATCTCTCTCTCTCTCTCTATTTCTCTTTCTCTCCCTATATATATATATATACAGGGAGACTTGAGGGAAAAGGAGAGAATCGAAGGAAGAAAATAGTAACGGAAACTTTTTTTTTTTTTTTACTTTCGGTTACTTTTAGGAATGGGAAAAATGGGAATCAGCCACGGTGGCGGTGGCGGCCTGCGAGCGGTGGCTGGGGCTGAACTGCTGAAGTTGTACGGAGGGGCGCTTTGGTGACTCGGCAACGTCGCATGTCACGTGAGAGGTGAACTACGTGTCATTGCTCTGTGTGTGCATGCAAGTGGGCCCCACGATGCTTTCACATATTTGCGATTTCCAAGATTCATGACGTGGATACCATGTGTCAGCTTTTCCGCTTTACAACTTTAATAAATAAATGTCAATATTTTTTTTTTTATAAATGTCAAGTAAGTCATTAAATTTTACTTGAAACGTGAATTAGGTCTCTAAATTTTTAAAAAATATAATTATACCATTTAAAATGTTAAATTAAGACAATGAAACTCAAGAACCAGTAAATGACCTGAACCAGTAAATAACTTATTATAAGTCATTTCAGTTCAGGCACTATTTCGACGAAAATCCAACGACCGGCAACAGCTAATTGGTCCCCTTCCATGGAGAAGCAAAGGCGACCTTCTAACAGGTTACCAGTAAAATTACATAATTGACTATATTTTTTCCGTTGACCTAAGAAATCTTACCAAAAAAAAAATCACCATCCACCAAAAGATCACCTTCTCCGACAGAGTTGGTCGCTTTCGCCGGAGAAGTGACTTAAAAAGACGACCAGATCTGATCGCCTTCCTCCCAGAGAAGGCGACAACAATAATAATTATACATGTAATAGTGAAACCATTTTATAAGATGATGTGATAGTATTTCTTAATAATAATAATTATAACAACAACAATAATAATTATACATGTTGCAATTTCATTGTATATATTTAATTATTAATTCAACCAAAAAATTAATACTAGCACACTATATACTATGGAGTATAATTTTTTGAAAATATATAGGTCCTGTTTGGTAAAAAGTTAGCCTATAGGTCAATTTTGGCTTATTTGACCACTATTAATTGTTTGATTTAGTTAAAATATCAATATAAATGTTTGGTTAATTAACTTTTTACAACTCCAAAAGGCTAAAATTGAAAAAGCTACCCCAATTAACTTTTTCAATTAGCTTTTTGAGAAAAGAAATTATACTAAACAGCTAACAGCTAATTTACCAAACACTTTTCTACAATCAGCTAATGTTATCAACTATTTATACCCTCTAATTAACACAATCAGCTAACAACTAACAGTTATCAGCTAACAGCCATTTTACCAACCAGGGCCATAATTTATTTTGAAAATTTTGAGAAAATTCTCCTATTAAACTATTATTAATTTGCCAAAGTGGATGATGGTCCAAGAGACATCTAGCTAGGTAATGGGCTTGGGATGATATTAGACCATATGCCTTTCATCAATTGTGCATGTGTTACTACAATGAGTCCAAGGGTTCAAGACTTTAAGTGGCATGTGATGAACCCTTTTTGAAGTGTTAAGCAATTTGCATGGACCATGATCCACACAACTAACATCGTTGTGAATATTATGAGTAAAAATAATGTACATTATGTGGTAGAATAATGTACATTATGTGTTAGAATAATGTATATTATGTATTAAAATAATGTACATTACATTGTTAGAACTGATCCCCATCTCCATGAGAATGAGGAGTACCCTCCCTAGCTTGGCCTCAATACACACACATACATATATATAATTTAGAGTTCTACTACATGAACTCTCAAATTATACTCCCTCATTTGTACTCCCTGATGTGGCAAGCTAGGATTGGTTATTTTCAACATGTGAGTCCATAGAAAAATGTCTACATCAAGCATATGTGAGAGGGAGTACAAGTTGGGAGTATTAAATGGGAGTACACCAAGTATTTTCCTTTCTTAGATATCATTAATTTTATTACTAGTACCGTTTGAGATCGATTATCAGAATAATGTTTTCAAGATATATAACTATTGTATTCATTGAAATAGGGATATTATGAAATCCTTGCTCGTAGTGGTAATTTTTACAATAATGCAAGGATGGAAATAATATTTTCTACGAATCTGAAGGTCGAGTGAACAAAAACATAGATAAAGAGAAGTTAATAACACTAAAAAATAAATTTCCACCAACCTAATAACCAATGTTTCGGCTGAGTCACCATATTTTACATCCTTCCAGATGTTCTGGCCAGTAGGGGCAGACCCAGCATGGGGCAGCTGGCCCCACTCACTCCACCCCCACCCCTATATTATCCTTGTATGTATATATGTATATATAGAACATGTTTTAAGTATAAGTATAATAAAACACAGAAATGTAAATAAGTGTTGATTTGGTTCAGTTGGTGGTTCAGTTGGCAGGGCGCGTATTAGGTTTTTTTTACTATTATTAATTATATATTGAGATGTATAATTTATAATGCATTTTCTATTCTAATTATTTTATCAAATTAATTATGTTTTATATTTTATTATGAATATTTTAATAAAGTTTTGATATGTTTTATTTTTTACTCATATCAAAAAATATTTATGATTATATTTTTTAAGTGTTTCATCTTTTTTTTTTTCAAATTATCTTTTTCGTTGTAATGTTCCGCCCCCACTAACAAAGAATCCTGAGTCCACCACTGCTGGTCAGGACATAGACCCTTAGAGTTGGGAATTCAATTTTTTAAAGAACAATATTTCGTATCTGGTAAAAATTCCTAGTAATTTTAAATCTCACCATTTAAAACTTACTCTAATGCCAAGACACATGACAGCCACACACACTGTTGTGGTGGAATGTGTGCATGCATGTGGTCTAAAGAATCCAAGACAAGTCATTATAGTTGCCATGGTATAATTGAGACATGATCAATGCATGTTTTCTTGGTGCCTTCATAAATACATTCAAAAGCCATGCATGCTTATATAACCCAATGGAAAGAATTTGGATTACCCCCCCCCCCCCCCCCCCCCCCTCTGTATATGATAGACTGGTGGTGTGATTTGAGCCACAAAGTTAGAGTTTTTCTTTGACTTTTGGAAGGATTGATTTGTATTGTTATTCACATCACTGGTGCATTTGGACTTAAATGGAAGAGCTAGAGTACAGTGTCCCATTGTGTATGTTTTGTGCACTGTATTATGAAATGATATTTGAATTAAATAATTATTTATCTAACACGAGGAGGAAACATCCGGGGAAGAAGCACTCACTTGCTAAAAACTATAACATTCCTAGGCCATACAATATATATATATATATATATATATATATATATATATATATATATATATATATATAAATCATATATTCTACAAGGATGGGTGGAAGGAAAACTCATCAAAAAAATTGTGTTTCTCGAGAAGAGAGGAGCCGTGGTAGTCTCTCCCGGACCGTCCGGATCCCACAACCGTCTTGTGATCCTAGTAAGCAAAGAAATACCCATGAAATAAACCAACCTAACTAGGTTAATCATGATTGACCGACTCAAACTAAGAAATCAACTTCTTTATTTTGTTCTTTATAGGCTGAATTAAATAATTGATACTAAACGACTTTTGACAAAATGTGTTTTAAAGTATAATCAAGGTTGAGTTGATAATGTAGAACGAAACATAATGGCCATGTAAAATAGTTAACGTATCAGTTAATTTTAGCTTATTTGATTATTATTAGTTGTTTGGCATGATTAAACTATCAACAATATATAGGAGTGTTTGATTAATTAGCTTTTTGTAACAATTTTTGTTCTAAAATACTAAAATTCAAAAAACTGCTCAAAGTAGTTTTTTTATCAGTTTTTTGAGAAAGTCATTTTATATGTAATCAGATAACAACTAATTTACCAAACACTTTTTTACAATCAGCTAATGCTATCAACTAGTCAAAACCACTAACTCAATCAGCTAACCGCCATTTACCAAACACCTCCAATATATAGACAAATGAGTTATTTTCTTGCTCATATAATAAAGTGAGACAAAACGAGTAGCGCAATATGTCTATAAAACTTTTAAGTGCAAGTAGCAACTTGCAATTTTTATACAATTTATCCCAAAAAAAATAAATGGAACTTTGAATAGTAATACTAAATTGAACTGATAAAATCACAAAACTCATCAGCACTCACCCTGCTAGGGAAACTGGAAAGCGTAGTGATTGATTCATGATGTTGTTTTAGGTTGGAGTGACAAAATCTTGGGAGGGTGGTGGTATCTTGGAAGCTGCAGAAACAAAATGGTCTCTCAGATCCTTAATCATGTGATATCTCTCAATCTCATCTTCAAACTCATTTCTCCAGGGCTCTGATGACCCACTCTCAAACAGTCCACCATTGCTGATGAACTCCCATTCTATGGGATCAGAGCTTTGTCTTCTTTCCTGGGAAGTGGTTGGGGGGTTTGAGGAGTTCCTCCACTCATAGCTCTTGCTGGTTTCATCCATGTTTAGTTCTATGCAGTGCAGCTCGCTGTCTTCTTCGTCTGCAGAATCGCTCTCTTCCCTCTCGTTTTTGTCTGGAAAATGACCCGAGGCTGGGAGGGTTTCCCTGAAATGTTTCTGGAGGGCTTTGATCTTTTCATTGTTGGGGGATTGGGATAGACTTCCTTCACAGCTTTTGGAGGATAAACAGGCTTCCATTTCAGTTTTTAGCCTCTCAAGAACTGCGGTTTTCTCCTCGTATTGATACTTAGCTTCTGAGAGCTTCATCTGCACTCTTTCCTCTCTCAATATATCAGCAAATTGCAGCATCTCCCTTTCCTTCTCGACCTCCTCGCGAGCCTTAGCAGATTCCTTCTTTAGTTCCTCGAGTTTCGCCTTGTCTTCGCCCACGCCTTTTGCTAGCTCCTCGCACACTCTCTCCAGCACCTCCATCGCCCTCTTCTGGCTCTCTACCTCCTTGACAGCCATGTTTAAGGATGTTTTCGTGTCAGACAGCTCTCTCCCGAGCTTCTTGTTCAGCCTCTCGGCCTGTCTCCTCAGCCTCTTTTCGGTCTTCAGCTCTCCAACCAGTGATGTAAGAGCACTCTGAACCTTGCAGTGCTCCTTCATCCTCCAAACCGCCTTCTGCTCCTCGAACCATTTCAGCAGTGCATCGACCTCGCTGTGGTTGTGCCTCCTTTCTTGGATCAGTTTAGTCACTTGAATACATGCTCGATCGAGCTCGGATTTCAGAGTCGAAAAGAGGGAAATGCAGGTGGTTTTCTGCTCCTCAATGCTCCACACTCGGCTCAGAACTTTCAGCAGCTGTTTCGAGGTTGTCAGACTGTGTGAAACATCCTTCAACAGATGTCTGGTCTGAGAACTACTCCCACCAGTCTGCTGCATATTATTATTATCATCCTGGTAAACAGCACAAGAATTTCCCCCCTTCATTATAATAACAAAACATCAAAAGCATTCCATGTTGGAAAGCAACAAACTGGATATGGTTGCAATGGAAGTGTCATGAACAGACACCGGATCGGATCATGTTATCTGTTTCGTCGATTTCCCATGAATTAAGGTTAGAGGCGACACAAGATGGAATAATTCCAGGGTGGAAAACAACAAAACATGTGCTGGTTGTGATAAAACCTTAGACAGAACCAGATCATGTTCTCTGTTTGTCCACTTCCTAGAAGTAACACTTATTGCTTGTTATCCTATGAACTGGGAAAATCAATCAATTCAGTCTTCTTTTCTGATACATTAAGCCTAAGCTATAGTTGGATTGCACATTTATGTTAATATATTATATGCTCAACAGGCCTCCTCACGTGTCCGGACGGGCGCGGAGATTGACATGGAGTTAACTCAGATACCATATTGAAGCATGTGTTCAATCTCAACTAAAAGCCTAAGTTGATAGTTGGATTACACATTTATGTTTATATATTATATGCTCAACACTCAAAGGGGCTGGAAGAGGTAAATTGTGAATCACCCATCAGTTCCCGGGTTCCCACTCCTTGTATGTACACTCTATACACGAGGGGTCTAATCAATTCACTTAAGTCTTAAGGTCTCAATACTTATCTTCATTGTCCTTTAAAAACATTAAAAATTGAATCTTTTTTTTTTTCCATTTCCTTTTAGATGAAGGAGAGGGGAGATTGTTTCTTGGTAAAGATTAAAGAATGGCAATTGATAAGAACAATGAAGTGATAAAAGTTGCAGTGGAGATTTACTACCTGCAAGAAATAATCATTCTGCAGAACTTTTTGAGTACCAAATGAAGGTATTCTTCTGTGACTCATCTCCACTTTAGATCTTTCCGTTCTCTGCAGAACCCAAAGCAGAGTTTACTAAACTCAAAAACCCATAAGTTTTTATGATTCAAATGAATAACCAAAAACAAGAAAAATCACACCTGACCTCAGAAACAGGACTGTAAATAGGATCAGAGAGTTGAGAGGCCTTTGAAGAGCCATGTTTGGAGGACTTCAAGCTCCTCTCTTTCCTGCCCATTTCTCCACCATTTCTTTCCTGCAAATTCTCTTCCTTCCCCAGTGCAGCAGCCCCTTTGATCTCCCAAAAAGCAACCAACTTTCGAGCCGAAGACGAGAGTTCTTTCCCATTGTCAGACCCCATTCTCTGCAGAATCTCACTGGAAAATGAACCATTTTCTGATCTTTTTGTGTCCATTTTATCTTCTGATCTCCCCACTTGAGTCCTTGAAGTTTGAACCTTTCTCTTACTGGTCACTGCTCAGCAATGATCACCCTGCAGTTTTCTCCATTTCTTCCATCTCCAATCCATTCATGCTTTAGCCACCAAAAACATAGTATAACACCACTGCTATACCTTCAACATGGATCAAGAACCTTTTTTTTTTTTTTTTTTGAAAGGGATTGAAGTTTTACAGATCTAAATGCAAAGGGGTAGAAGAACAGGGTGTTGACTCCTTTTTTCTGGGGAATTTGGCACCGGTTATAGTACAGTGGGTGGTGCTTTTATAGCGGTCAAAAAGTGTGGGAAGAGAGCGGGCAAAAAGGAGGAAAATGGGGGAGTATTGATGAATGATGAACAGCCATGGCAGCTCATATTGCCTTTAGTATATTTTTGGGAAGATTTTGGATTTTGGAAATGATTGGCATGCAAATCAGAGCATAAAGTTTGATTGAATTTCGTTTCAAACTTCCATAGGGGGAAAAGTACAGTCTAGAGAGAGAGAGAGAGGGGAAGATGGTAGCTTTGAAAACTTGATCTTGAAGTTTGGCTTTGGGAGAAAAGGTGTGGAAATCAGGATACTTCTCTGCCCAAAATGGTGGCTTTTATAACTTAAAATGGAAATATTTATAGATCTTTGAGTCCAATAATTTTTTTTATTATTAAATTAAATTTTATGTTTGGTAAGTACATTTTTATTTAAAATCTTTCCAATTTGTTTTTAAGATCATTTAACAACATTATAAATGGTATTATATATAGTATTAATTTTCAATGTTGACAAAGTGATTAATTCCTTTACTAAATTATAGGTATCTCTAACGGGACGTTTGGTTGCAAGGAGGAAATTAAGTGGAAAAGAATTGTAATTCCATGGGGGAAGAATAGTGTAGAATAAAGTAGGAATTTAAATTTCAATATTTGGTTTGTAGAAATAGAATTATTGAGAATTTCAATTTCAGTGTTTGGTATCTATTTGAATTGGAAAGAAATAAATAGTATAAAGACCAAAATATTAATCCAAAGAGGTAGCTTAAGTGGCAAATGAGCTTTTTTTGTGGGAATGATCCTAGGGATATAATCTGAGTTCAATTCCCACAAGTTAAGTGACAATTACCCTTGGGTTAATTAGATTTGGAACACCTTGTGGTATAATCGCAAATTTCACTTTTAGTCCTTGACTATTGTGGGTCATATTCTTTTAATTTTGTCATATTGCATCCCTAACTTTTAGTCCTCCGTTAAAAACTATGTTATTTATCATTAGAGTTGACAAATAACAAAGGAAAAAATATTTACACATATCGTAACTCATATTTCAAACACATTAGAATTGACAAATAATAAATGAAAAAAAATCCTAACTTTTAAGGAAATAATAAAGCTACACCATACTCAAAATTAAGGATTATATTGATCCAATTTTATACATAATATGATGATATGATATAGTTTTATATGTAGAATTTTTCTTAAAATAAATTTATTACCATTATCACATCACTCTTACAATATTTGAAACAAAAGAGTTAAATCTGGTTAAACATGAGACACAAGTGCAATTATGAGTTATAATCTCATACTCTCGTCGATATCCAGTTTGCGTAAAAAAAAAAAAAAATTAATTTAATCAATAAATAGTAAATGGATAAAATGAAATATAATTGGAGTTTTGATAAGATAATATAAGTCGTCTCTTATAGTTTAATCATTTTGAATTCGAACATTGAGAAAATAACTATTTTAAAATATATAATTAAAGAGTGGTTTGTATCTTTTTAGATCTTGTCAGACACGAACAAAATAAATCTTGATGTATAAGGCCCTCATACACCATAGCCAGCTGGAAAACCTATAGGCAGACAACTGAGACAAGTAAAAACATTTGTGGTCAAAATTAAGGTCCTAATATCAAGGGATTTGATTGGATAAGGAGGCAATTATGGAGGTTGTCGCATATATAAATGGACAGTGAAAAAGATTGACTACTTAGGTTATCATTGGTTTTTCTTTTGACTCACCATATTTCCAGCTCTATTAATGTGATAAATATGTTATTTCCCCATTATTATTATTTATTTGTTAAATTTTAAAAAGAGAAATTCTTTATTAACTATATATAAATTAAATTAAATCTATACTATATATAAAAACAAAATCCTGCAATTTTAACTTCCCGCCCAATTCATAAAAAATCTCTCTTCTTAATAAAATATGTTGATTTCTACTTTCCTATTAGTACAAAAATTCTGGGTTAAAATTCTATTCTAATATTATAAAATACTGTAATGTAATTCCTATTGTAATCTATCTATCTATCTATACATCTATCTATACTATATATAAAATCAAAATCCTGCAATTTTAACTTCCCGCCCAATTCCAAAAAAATCTCTCTTCCTAATCAAATATATTGATTTCTACTTTCCTATTCGTACAATAATTATGGGTTAAAATTCTATTCTAATATTATAAAATACTGTAATATAATTCCTATTGTGATCTATATATCTATCTATACATCTATATCTATATCTATATTATATATAAAAACAAAATCCTGCAATTTTAACTTCCCGCCCAATTCCTAAAAAATCTCTTTTCCTAATAAAATATATAGATTTCTACTTTCCTATTCGTACAAAAATTCTAGGTTAAAATTCTATTCTAATATTATAAAATACTGTAATATAATTCCTATTGTAATCTATATATCTATCTATACATCTATACTTCTATACTATATATAAAAACAAAATCCTGCAATTTTAACTTCCTGCCCAATTCTTAAAAAATCTCTCTTCCTAATAAAATATGTTGATTTCTACTTTCCTATTAGTACAAAAATGCTGGGTTAAAATTCTATTATAATATTATAAAATACTGTAATGTAATTCCTATTGTAATCTATCTATCTATCTATACATCTATACTATATATAAAACCAAAATCCTGCAATTTTAACTTCCCGCCCAATTCATTAAAAATCTCTCTTCCTAATCAAATATATTGATTTCTACTTTCCTGCCCGAATGGGTAGCTCAACTGGTCATAAAGGTGAAACTTTGGAAGAATGACTAGGGATCGAGTCTCACCAGCTGAGAGGGGGGCTCCTTGTGCGCAGTGAGCATCGATCTAGCCTCTGTGGTTCCCAAATGCTCTGTCGGGCCGGGGTGTGGGGGGCCCTTAGGGTTGGGGTTCAGCCTTTGGGAAGAATGATTTCTACTTTCCTATTCGTACAATAATTATGGGTTAAAATTCTATTCTAATGATAAAGCCTCTGTGGTTCTCAAATGCTCTGTCGGGCCGGGGTGTGGGGGGGCCCTTAGGGTTGGGGTTCAGCATTTTGGAAGAATGATTTCTACTTTCCTATTCGTACAATAATTATGGGTTAAAATTCTATTCTAATATTATAAAATACTGTAATATAATTCCTATTGTAATCTATATATCTATCTATACATCTATACTATATATAAAAACAAAATCCTGTAATTTTAACTTCCCGCCCAATTCCTAAAAAATCTCTCTTCCTAATAAAATATATTGATCTCTACTTTCCAATTCGTACCATAATTCTGGATAAAAATTCTCTTTGCACATCTAATCTATACTATATATAAAAACAAAATCCTGCAATTTTAACTTCCCGCCCAATTCCTAAAAAATCTCTCTTCCTAATAAAATATATTGATTTCTACTTTCCTATTCGTACAATAATTCTGGGTTAAAATTCTATTCTAATATTACAAAATACTGTAATATAATTCCTATTGTAATCTATATATCTATCTATACATCTATACTATATATAAAAATAAAATCCTGCAATTTTAACTTTCCGCCCAATTCCTAAAAAATCTCTCTTCCTATTAAAATATATTGATTTCTACTTTCCTATCTGTACAAAAATTCTGGGTTAAAATTCTATTCTAATATTATAAAATATTGTAATATAATTCCTATTGTAATCTATCTATCTATACATTTATACTATATATAAAAACAAAATCCAGCAATTTTAACTTCCCGCCAATTCCTAAAAAATCTCTCTTCCTAATAAAATATATTGATTTCTACTTTCCTATTCGTACAAAAATTCTGGGTTAAAAACAAAAACAACACATATACATTTTGGGTTAATATTTTTCAAACCCCCCCTAATAATAAATAATAATTTTTTTATCACGGCGCTGGCCGCGGCTAGGAAGTCCGGAATCGGCCTCCTCCGCGGCTACTTCGCTGGCTGAACCAGCGATTAATTTTTTTTTTTTAAATTTTTTTTTTATAGGTTGTATATAAAGTGTCAAAAGTTCGGCAAGGCATAACTTTTGACTTGGTTGTCCGTTTTGGACAAATGTGATTTTGAAATCGCGTATTTTTTTGAGATCTATCCACTTCAAATTGCAGTTGGCGGTTTTGACCCACTAATTTCTAAAAAAAATGATTTATTAAATACTTTCTAAGAAAAAACTATCAGAACCTTATGTTTTATTAATGAATTTTTAAATTTTTTAATTAACAAATGTCCTGTGTATTATTTAATAATCTCTCTTTATAATTGGTTAAATTATTTAATTATGAGAAATCTATACTATATATAAAACCAAAATCCTGCAATTTTAACTTCCAGCCCAATTCCTAAAAAATCTCTCTTCCTAATCAAATATATTAATTTCTACTTTCCTATTCGTACAATAATTATGGGTTAAAATTCTATTCTAATATTATAAAATACTGTAATATAATTCCTATTGTAATCTATATATCTATCTATACATCTATACTATATATAAAAACAAAATCCTGTAATTTTAACTTCCCGCCCAATTCCTAAAAAATCTCTCTTCCTAATAAAATATATTGATCTCTACTTTCCAATTCGTACCATAATTCTGGATAAAAATTCTCTTTGCACATCTAATCTATACTATATATAAAAACAAAATCCTGCAATTTTAACTTCCCGCCCAATTCCTAAAAAATCTCTCTTCCTAATAAAATATATTGATTTCTACTTTCCTATTCGTACAATAATTCTGGGTTAAAATTCTATTCTAATATTACAAAATACTGTAATATAATTCCTATTGTAATCTATATATCTATCTATACATCTATACTATATATAAAAATAAAATCCTGCAATTTTAACTTTCCGCCCAATTCCTAAAAAATCTCTCTTCCTATTAAAATATATTGATTTCTACTTTCCTATCTGTACAAAAATTCTGGGTTAAAATTCTATTCTAATATTATAAAATATTGTAATATAATTCCTATTGTAATCTATCTATCTATACATTTATACTATATATAAAAACAAAATCCAGCAATTTTAACTTCCCGCCAATTCCTAAAAAATCTCTCTTCCTAATAAAATATATTGATTTCTACTTTCCTATTCGTACAAAAATTCTGGGTTAAAAACAAAAACAACACATATACATTTTGGGTTAATATTTTTCAAACCCCCCTAATAATAAATAATAATTTTTTTATCACGGCGCTGGCCGCGGCTAGGAAGTCCGGAATCGGCCTCCTCCGCGGCTACTTCGCTGGCTGAACCAGCGATTAATTTTTTTTTTTTAAATTTTTTTTTTATAGGTTGTATATAAAGTGTCAAAAGTTCGGCAAGGCATAACTTTTGACTTGGTTGTCCGTTTTGGACAAATGTGATTTTGAAATCGCGTATTTTTTTGAGATCTATCCACTTCAAATTGCAGTTGGCGGTTTTGACCCACTAATTTCTAAAAAAAATGATTTATTAAATACTTTCTAAGAAAAAACTATCAGAACCTTATGTTTTATTAATGAATTTTTAAATTTTTTAATTAACAAATGTCCTGTGTATTATTTAATAATCTCTCTTTATAATTGGTTAAATTATTTAATTATGAGAAATCTATACTATATATAAAACCAAAATCCTGCAATTTTAACTTCCCGCCCAATTCCTAAAAAATCTCTCTTCCTAATCAAATATATTAATTTCTACTTTCCTATTCGTACAATAATTATGGGTTAAAATTCTATTCTAATATTATAAAATACTGTAATATAATTCCTATTGTAATCTATATATCTATCTATACATCTATACTATATATAAAAACAAAATCCTGTAATTTTAACTTCCCGCCCAATTCCTAAAAAATCTCTCTTCCTAATAAAATATATTGATCTCTACTTTCCAATTCGTACCATAATTCTGGATAAAAATTCTCTTTGCACATCTAATCTATACTATATATAAAAACAAAATCCTGCAATTTTAACTTCCCGCCCAATTCCTAAAAAATCTCTCTTCCTAATAAAATATATTGATTTCTACTTTCCTATTCGTACAATAATTCTGGGTTAAAATTCTATTCTAATATTACAAAATACTGTAATATAATTCCTATTGTAATCTATATATCTATCTATACATCTATACTATATATAAAAATAAAATCCTGCAATTTTAACTTTCCGCCCAATTCCTAAAAAATCTCTCTTCCTATTAAAATATATTGATTTCTACTTTCCTATCTGTACAAAAATTCTGGGTTAAAATTCTATTCTAATATTATAAAATATTGTAATATAATTCCTATTGTAATCTATCTATCTATACATTTATACTATATATAAAAACAAAATCCAGCAATTTTAACTTCCCGCCAATTCCTAAAAAATCTCTCTTCCTAATAAAATATATTGATTTCTACTTTCCTATTCGTACAAAAATTCTGGGTTAAAAACAAAAACAACACATATACATTTTGGGTTAATATTTTTCAAACCCCCCTAATAATAAATAATAATTTTTTTATCACGGCGCTGGCCGCGGCTAGGAAGTCCGGAATCGGCCTCCTCCGCGGCTACTTCGCTGGCTGAACCAGCGATTAAATTTTTTTTTTTTAATTTTTTTTTTATAGGTTGTATATAAAGTGTCAAAAGTTCGGCAAGGCATAACTTTTGACTTGGTTGTCCGTTTTGGACAAATGTGATTTTGAAATCGCGTATTTTTTTGAGATCTATCCACTTCAAATTGCAGTTGGCGGTTTTGACCCACTAATTTCTAAAAAAAATGATTTATTAAATACTTTCTAAGAAAAAACTATCAGAACCTTATGTTTTATTAATGAATTTTTAAATTTTTAAATTAAAAAATGTCATGTGTATTATTTAATAATCTCTCTTTATAATTGATTAAATTATTTAATTATGGAAAATTAGGGAATAATTAATGATGGTAATAGAAATCCTAGAAGAATATTTAATTATTGTTACATTATTATTGTGACTCACGGAATACAATACAAGAATATTTAATTATTGTTATATTATTATTGTGCCTCACGGCCATTATATACTAACAGAACTTGAAAAGAAACTAATAATAATAATATAAGTGGTAATAATAATATCTAAAAGTAATTAAGTGTTAATAATAATAGTAAGAATATTAACGTAAGAATTATGATATAGAATAAATCGTAATAATTAATAACTATTGTCTAGGACTAAATTTGAAATTTTCAGGAGATAAGCGACCTCTGGTAAAATTAACTCTTAAATAATTATATATCGATTTAAATATTCTTAATATATTACAACAATTCCATTACGTGCATCGCACGGGAGAAAATACTAGTTAAATATAAAAAAAGGATACAATACAATAATGACGCAACTAGTGAATATTAAAGAATATTTTTGTTAAAGAAATGTGAATTAATCTATTGGTGATTTGTCTTTTTCCACCTATATATGAACATATGGTAACCCAATCAACATACCATATACTTTTTAAATTAAAATTATTTGACACATTCTTTTCTTAAAACGTTGAATCCTCACCCTATGGTTCCTCACATCTAGATCTGACAAAACATTTAGACAGATATAAATTACTCCCTCCGTCCCGAATTGGTTGTCTCATTTGCTTTTTGCACGCTTTTTAAGGAATTAAAGTAAATGTTATGTATTTTCCAATTATGCCCTTCACTTTTTCACTTTTGGGAATAAAAGCAAAAGTCATAAGGGTAATTTGGGAAAAAGTAGAATGATGGTGATGTTCAATTTTGGAAAGAGACATTTTGGGACAAACTAAAAAGGAAAGTAAGACATGCAAAATGGGACAGAGGGAGTAATTAGATAACACCTACTCAAACTCTTCTTGGATACTATCTATACATACATGCATAAACACTACACACACACACAGCATCCTTTTGTGGTTTAGTGGCGTCTGAGTGCGGCGGCAGAAAGGAGGACAAGGAAGGCGAAGATGACGGCGGCGATGAGGGAAGCCACGACGGTGCCGCTGACACGCTGGCAGAAATCGGTGTACTGCTGGCAAATGGCAAACCAGTTAGTGGTGGAGTTTCCGGTGTGTGCTAAGTACACTATGGCAGCCGCGGCAGCCGCTCCGGCCACCGTAAAAGCCACCATCACCTGCACGTACGTACGGTTTCCATCTGTAACTTCCACACTACTACTATTAAACGCACCATTTGGTTTAACAAAAACATATAAGTACAAGGTTCTTTTATAGCTTAATTAATTGTGAATTGTGATCCATCTTACTGTGTCAAGTATGAAGAGGAGAAGTCTTAGCCCGACCAAATGTGGTCGGACGATACAAATAATGGAGAATGGCAACGACAGAACTAGGTATCCGCTAGCTATGCCATTTGCAACCACAAAATACCTACACATTTTAAACAATTTAATATAATATAATATTCGATCAACACATTATTATTATTATTATATGAAATTTCTACCTTCCGGCGAATTCAATAAAAAAAAAAAAAAAAAACTAATTATTGAAAGAAGTAAGCAAATACAAAAATTATGCTTCACCCGTTCATTAAATTTATATATATATATGGTAGTGTTTATAGGACAAGTGCATGCATGCATAGTTCTACATGATACAAAAGTAGTAGTATGTAGTTGTAGGGAAGGAAGAGGATATATACGGAAAGGCAGGGAGATCATCGTAGCTTGCTTTTAACTGGAAGAACTGGGAGAAGAAAGGGAGAGATTGATCGGAGATTGCCATAGTAACGGCGGCGGCCAAGGCCGCCACCAGAGCGCAAAGCCTGAGAATGAAGTGGACGACACCAACACATTTCCTCCATCCTCCTCCTCCGATTTGTGGGTGGAGAGGGGTGGCTTTTGTGGTGGCAATAATTGTGCCTTTCTCCTGCCTGCTGAGTTGCTTGGATTCTGGCATAAGGATGCTTGTTTCTTTGCTGTTTTTTGATGATGATGACTCCATTATATTGGAACTTTGAAGATGAAGATATATATATTTATATGACGATCTTGAAGATAAGGGATATGATGGAAGAGAGGGAGCTGATCGAGGATAATATATATGAACTCTACTGAAGGAGATTTGGTAGGGTTGGATGATACATATAGAGTGGTGAAGAAGAAGAGATCAAAGAAATCAAGGAGTGGTTTGATGCTAATTTTGAGAATGTTTTTTCGGTTATGGGATGAATAGGAGAGTTGTTGCAAACTTGCTCCAATATAATAAAGCTTTGCATTTAACAAACATTTCTTTTCCCAATACTTGGACAGGAGGATTTTTTTAAAAAAAATAAAATCAACAATATGAAACATTCAGGTTGTTGATTTGGTAACTTCAAAGTTACAAATTCAATTTTCAATTGGAACATCCTAATTTAAACCGGCCAGTCAATTACGGGCAACCCTTCATTATGATCTTTTGCCAACTAAGATCACAAAGTGAAATTTACCGAGGATGAAATGTCATCCAACAACTTGTTTCTCTGTGAACGTGATTTTAATAAGTTGATGTAACTCACGCATACTAACAACAATGTGCAATTGTGGGTCTATGCCAAAGTAACTACAGCAATATCATGTGATAAGGTATCATAATTTAAGAATAATAAAAGTATTTGCACTATTAATCAATTTTAATTACATTAATAGCATAAAGAAATGCACCCTAAGAAAGAAATTACTGAAGCAAATCATGGGAAATGGGAACAAAACTTTTACTTTCGTGTTATGCAAAACTCATCATCATCTGTATGACTGTATCTGATTTACAGCCTGGTCAAGTGTGCAAGTTTATTCTATGGATACCTGAAAACCCATATGGGTATAAAGAATGGACAAGTCTTCATCCCAAAATTTATCTACCACCCTTTTCTTTTGTGCCATTACAATATGGAATAAATCTGTATACAGGGAAATATGCAAATTTAAATTTAGATCAGACCTCACAAATTAATCAAAACAATCAGACAACAAACAATGTGGGAGCTAATTCTACGCTTTAATCTTCCATCCACGCTCAGCTAGTGCTTCATTTACACGATTGGCTGCTTCTGCAGTTTCATTCAGTGGAGGATAACTCCATGTTTCTGACATCTGAGGTTTATGCGCAAGAAAAAAGGGATGATATTTGAGTATTAAAACGAGATATGTTTTTCCACATCGCATATTTAAGTAAAGTGCGGTAGTGTTTGCGTTTGATTGATAAGGAGAGGGGGGAGAGCTGTCACTTACATCCTCGAGACCTGTAAATGGCCTCACTAACCCTCTTTCTCTTAATGCCTTGTGGAATTCCACAAACTTCCACCTACAGCGTTCAGCCCCAACTACATACACAGGCTTCCTGGAAATAAACAATATTTCAGTATAATCCAAACTCGAAAAGAAGTACAGAGTATTTCATAATATGTCAATTATATGTGCATGCTAGTGCGTGTATGTATGTAATTTCAGTCTCAACTACATAGACAGGTTCCTGGAAATAAACAATATTTCAGTCTAATCCGAACTTGAAAAGTACAGAGTACTTCATAATATGTCAATGATATGCACGTGCTAGTGTGTGTATGTATAAGTATGTATGCAATTTCACATCAAACAAACACAGACATGTTACTATCTGGCTATTAACATAATTATTTTCACACATTACCCTGTGCTGCAAGCTTCACTCAACATACTAACTGAATCTGCTGTTATAACAAAATTATCAGCCCACGCCAGATGTCCCATATGTGGATTTGGTTCTGTGACACAAAAGTAAGTGTTAAATGATTGTTCAGAAATCATCATCACAGAAATCAACTACTCGTATAAATACAAACTTCAAGTGAAAATACCTTCACCATTCCAAATGTATACTTTTGGATGACTACCCAGTTCTTTGATGACAACATTGGAAATCTGTTGATCACACACTAAATAATCAGACTCATTAAACCAAATTTCACTTTAGTGGTGTTCTAAGAAAATCAAGATTTAAAAACCCTGGAATAAGAAGAAATATTTTGGCAATATGTATACCTTTTCAGGCGTCCTTCTGGAGAAGGATATTCTCACACTCCCACATTTCTCAAGGGCATTATGCAGAGAAGCTGTTAACTGTTTAGCAAGGTCTGTGCCATATCTGCAGTACCCTAATCAAAGAAACATATGACAGATACACTCATATTTTAGTTCACTGATGGTTGATATACTAGACAAAAAGGTGACAGTCATTAGGTAGAAGATTAGGTAAAAAATTAATGCCATATTTTGGTAGCAATTTCATGGTGCTCGCAGTTCTTTGATCTTTTTTTTTTTTTTTTTCCAAATGTTTTTCACAATTATATTTGCAACAGTAAGATCCACAATTTTTTCACCTGCAACATTCATGTTTAAAGGCTCATTTCTCAGTCAACGCATATCATTACAAGCTCCTCCATCCTAAAATTATCATTTTTGGTACACTAAGGCTACTACTTAACAAACTTTTGTTGCCACATAGCATAGCTGATAAAAATCTGAGAAAAAATGTTCAACTTCATAAAAATGTGACAACTACAAGAATTTAGAAGTACCAGTCACTTAGCTAAACTATGTTAAACATATACATAGAATCATAATCTCCCAATCATGGCTGTGTATCTATATATATGGGTGTGTATTTCCTTGTTATGAAAAAAGAGAAAAAACAAAGTTTATTTGCTTTAAAGAATTATTAACATGACATTGAGAATCTAAAATGTTGTGGACTATAGGGTCACTTTATTTGAAATCACAAAAGGGAAGATCTCAAGTAAGCTTCCCTAAACCACTTCTTTTACAGCTCACCTTTCAGCTAAAGTCAAAAATACCAAAACAATGTTAACTCAAGCTTCTATATTGCCTTTCTGCTCATGATAAAATTATGGTGTCCAAAATAAAATAAAAATGTTCCATCCTCACAATTATAAAAAATAAAGCTAACATTAGACCACTATAGAGTGAAACATGTGAGTTGAATATAGAAATTCTAGCATTGGAACAATGATGGAAAGAAGGTTACTTGAAGGCCCTCCTATGTTGACCACCAGTAAGGGCTTTGGTAAAGGTGCAAACTCGTCATGCCACGTGATAGCTGCAGTCCGAAGTGCAGTAGAATCAACTTGGTGAAGAGCTCCAACTGTAAGGATCTTCGCAATACATAAAAATAAAAAAGGCACAACTATAGTTATAACTCCATCACAAAATCCAGTAAAAGAAGAAATACCAATGGTATGGATACTTACTACATGCTTATCAGGAGGTTGATTTGGAGTTATCCACCTATGAAGGAGCCGAGGAACTTGCTCTTTTGCTTGAGGCGTTAAGGGAAAATAGTCATGTTTTGGAGTAATAACTAGGTCAAACCTATCCAAGTGGGACCTTGGATGTTGAATCTGAAGTAAAAATGTGAAACAGGGAAATGAAAAATATTGTCTTCTCTAAACAGATTAATATCAAACATGGATAGTAAACCATGTAAACAAATGCAAAAGTTGGATGTGGAAGAGAGAGAGTTTGGGGGAAGAGAGAGAGGGGGAAGGGGGGGGGGGGGGGGGGGGGTTTGGTTGGGTTCTAACTACTCACAGAAGAAACCTCATAAGAGAGTTTCAAGTTTCACAATGATCAGGCCTGCTAACAAACCTGGACAACAAACACATTTTCATGTGCCAATCTTTTTATGGAGCTCGCAATTGATATTGTATCTCTACCAGATGCAACCACTAGTAAAGGACCATCCCTGAAAAATAACAACATTTTGTTCCATCAGAGTGATTTAGCAGGGAATCTATTTGGATGATAGTACATTCACAGAAAGGGATACTGGATGTATTGAAAGAAAGAATGCTAGTTAAATTCATTTATTTAGCATATGAACCCACGGCAATATCAGCTACTATTTTGTAAGGTATTTGTAAAGGTATGTAATTACTAGGGCCCAAAAAAATTCATCTTGGATGGATAGTTGAAAGAAAATAACTAAGCCATCAGCAATTAGAAATCAGTATTTAAGCAGTATGCAAGTTGTTGAATGTTGCAACAACCTCTTGAACAAACCGCCAAAAAGAAAAGGCAGAAACTTACTTCTCAAATGATTCACGAGCAATGTTCACAATACTCTTCACATCAGCTTCAAGAATGGATGACAGGCCAATAGCACCATTTTCCTTGGGCAAATAAACTAGTTTATTTGCCCTACCTCCCCCAGAAGGTGTGAATAGCCACATACTAGGTTTAAGATGTAATATATCCTTTTATGTAGAGAGACTGGGAGCCAATGTAGCCATTCATTAATTCCTCCTCTTGGCCTTGTAACTCGCTGCATGTTTTGACAAACCGAATGACAAAACTCAACCACATGTAAAGATGATGAAATGAGTAAAACTCTTTATAAACACCTTGATTGAAGCATGGTACACTTTTTGGGAACAACATTGACTTGGTAAACCAAGTATATTCAAATAGGAAAAGAGAGGGAAGAGAATAAATCAAGCAAAAGTAAATTTCCATGGTATCCCTTTTTTTAAAGGAAAAAGTGAAAAACAATCTTTATTTAGTAATGGGCGAAGAATGGAGGACTTCCATAGAGAGGACAAGAAGTCCTCAGAAACTGTTTGTTCTGATAATAAACAGATAAAAATGGTTCACATTCTGAAGGAATATAATACTTAACCTGATTCAAGTAGCAGTATAAAACATCTGGAAATTTTACAAGGAAGGAACAGACCATGGGAAGTCCACTAAATCACAAAAAACACTTGAATCACGTAACCGAGTGAGAGCATTATATCTATGTATTACATATAAAAAATGATTTTATCTCAATTATATACAAAATTACAAACAAAAGGGTAGTCATTGGCCTTATCTAAAGTAAATGTTTACTTTGTTATTTAGCCATTCTGTAAATTGTTTGGGTTATCTAATTACTCAGACCATGATCCATGACGCATGGGATGGACAGTATATTCTTGTAAGGACATAAAACAAATGGAAAGTTCCGAATAAAT